CGTTATAAAACTTTTCTTTTTAAAATAAAAACATGACAATTATTGATAAAATGTTTTGGGTACTGTAATATTAAAATTAATAATAAATTACGATTTTGTTCACACAGTTTACAACATATTCTAGACTATGATAATTAATAAGGTAAACATTCCCTAACCCACGAAATAATCCCAAATTTACAATAAACCTTTTTCCTACCAACCCAGAATTGAACGAATCGTCCACATTTTTTACTCTCATACGACTGCTTGGACTCAGTAACGATATGTAAATACATATAAATCCGGTATTTAATTATTATTATTCATATTATTAATACTAAACATAGTATATAAATCGAATATTAGTCAGTGAAATACTCATTTTCATGCAGAATAAATTATTTTCATTAATTATATACAAACTGTAATAACATAAATCACTATTTCAAAACAAATATGTGTAAGATCGTAAAATTACGAACTCTAGTGTAATTACTAAAAAGGCGAAATATACAACGAAATATTTTCTTTTCTTCGCCGTTGCCATAGCGATGACGATGAGATGAAAGTATATCAAAACTGGCGGCCACAGCTACGCAAATCAATACAAACTCGAACTGCGTAATATATAAGGAGGCGCCGAGTGGCGACATGACTAATCACACAACAGAGAATAAAAAAAAACGTTATTCTGGGTCTGAACAATACCACACTTCGAGTGGTACAATGTAGTTTATAAACATGGTTAGGTAATAGGTATAGACGTATAGTGCTTATATACCCTTATAATAACATAAAAAACAATTTTGAACTAACTAGTATCTTCCTCGTAAATATATAATTCATTATTATTTATTATAATCACCTATTACAAAAATGTAAGAAAATAAAAATACATTAATTAAAGGTTTGATACATCGGTTTTATATTTTATTAATATTCTTTATATTAAAATCAACATTTCATCATAAATTTAAATGAATACTAAATAGTTTTAAAACAATATTTAGAGAAATGGATATATCAAACCCTCATTTTCTATAATTTTTGTACAGAGTGATTTTATTATAACAATACTCAAAAACATAAAAAAAAAATGATTTAATGATTTTGAATGATTGCGTTTTGTCTATGTAGTGCGTGGCCCAGAGAGAGAAAATAAATACTAGTTCGCTGACTTATTGCTCATAAACTTAACATTTAAGTTATCGAACTGAATAATAAAAGTGAATATGCTGAATTTAACTTCTAAAATGTAAAATGTAATTCAATGTCAACCTTAACACATATATAATTATCTGACAGCTGACAGTTGGGACTTGGGTATTTAAATTTTTTAATAATAATTATTTTCAATAGCCTAAATACAATGTTGGGAAAGATAACTAATATTGTTTTTTGGGTTAAAGATAAAGATAATGACTGAAAGTTTATCTAAGATAAAGATAAAAGATTAACTTTCAGTTATCTATACAAAATAAAAAGATGAAAGATAATCATTTAAAATAACACTAAAGTCTAATTCTTAGCTATTTTTTTGAAATAAATTTGAGATTCAATTGAATAATCTTAATTTTTTTTTAAAGGTAAAATAAACTATGAATTAATTTAAATTATTATTTATTACTTAGTAGGTATACTTATAAAATATAGAATAAACAAAGACAATAGCTTTCACTCTACTGTCTAAAGTCTTTACATAGTTAGGAATAATATTGTATATACTCGTACCCACGTGCCGGTCATCAATATCAATATGGTTCAACGAATTTAATTTTCTGGCTAATTTTAGTGGTTTTACAATAGTCGATTGAAGTATATACTTTATCTTTATCGATTATTAATGATGAACAATTAAATTATTGCTATTACCTATAACTCCGTTACAGTCAACATCCAATTATTATTTCATGATTATGTCGATTGTGAATTTAATGCAGTCAAGAGCGGGTAATTGTAATAATACAAATATCTAACAAAATATTTTAAAAAAAAATCACCAGTTTGCTTTTAATTAAACATCTATTATTTTTCGGCAGAAAAAGCCCAACAAGATATGTACAATACAAGATATTCTGGCTTTACCTAAATAAAATATAAAACAATATTTTGACGTTATCTGGATTATCTTTTACATAATTTTATGTAGATAGTCCTAACCACAGCTGTAGATAGAATCTAATATATACAATTTTTTTTTTATGAGCGTCTGAAGTTTAGAATTATGACAAAATTTGTAAACATTTTGCAAATTATTTTGATGTATGAATTCAATAAATTGTAAAACCTGGAGAGATAAAATGGGTTTAATTTCCAAACTATTTGGCTTCTTTCTAAAAAGATGCTTGAATACATGGCCATACAAGATAGTGAACTAATAATTCTTTTTCATTTTTGCTACTACAGTTTTACTCCTTTTTGCATTATCGAAGGTAGGCCACGAAAATACGTCAATAACTCGAATAATAAATTAAGCTATACATCTAAGTTATGCTTTAACAGCGTAATGCCAAACTACAGTATACTAGTAAGTAATTCAAAACTTATTTTAGTCAGATTACATTTAATTTGTACTTTACTTTCTTATTTTTAAATTTTGCATTTCTGATACAAACTATTGTGTAATTTTCCTGATGGAAATTCGATAAAATATTTTTAATTTTTTAAACCACTAGGAACTTTTATACATTTTTAAAATGTGTGTAATTTAATATTTTTTGAAGGTAAATTGAATTCAACTATAATGCTACAAGAAAACTGATAGCAGAAATAAAGATCATTTGTATTTTTATGCATTTACATCATTTAAAAAGTACATCCCATTTGTGAACAAAAAATACTGATTAGTGTCTGGGTCTATAAAAAAACCGGAGATACTTAAGTCCCCTATTTTTTTTCAGTTAGTTTTATGATCACATAGGTATTACACAATGATCAGCGTGGACATCATCGCTGCATCAATAATTTAACAATCACATATTTTAATATTTCCTTTGTAGATAGGTGCACATCTAAATCCAACATTATGGTAATTGTTTGTACTTTAATCGTATAGCCACATAAGCTCCTAGTAGGTATTCAAAAATATTGTTGTAATATTCAATGAATTAGATCATACAATTAGGGTCAAAACAATAGCTTTTCCCCACTATAAAATGTCAGCGGGGACCATTGCATACGAATAACGATTCTGAGCAGAGGTTTTCAGACTATATTACTAGATAAGTATTATATTTTATTTTATATTTATATTGTTATTAGTAGGTAATGAATTTATTTTACTGCAATACTTAATATGATAGGAGCCACGGGTAACAACTATTACATTTAAAAGGAAGAGCATTGCTTAGGAAAATAAATGTAACTTTAAGAACCATTTATGAATATTAACAGACTGTAAGTGCAATAGTAATACTAAATGCGTCCTGGACGCAATTTATTAAAAAAAGGTACGTTTTGCCTAACTTATTACCTACGTAATTCGTGTGCAGTCCGTTGTTAAGCATCAAAAGTCTACTGTTCACACCAACTAGCATATTATGCAAGTGAAACGACTATTAAAGGGCAATAATAGACAATATACATAATAAGTAATATACTAATATGTAAGTGTCGGCTGTGTACACTCTACACGCATTTTAGAATCTATCCAGTAGCGAGCCAAACAGGACAAAACCTAATTGTCTATTATAATATGTTAGTAGGTGGGTAATAGGAACATAATTATATATTATTTTATTGTCAAATATTAAAGTAACTCGGCTGGTGTTCGGTGTGCGCTGAGCAGCGGAACACACATTCATCAGGGGTCGGTGGGCACAGAAATCCAAAACGGGAGGGTGGAGTTTCTAACAAGGCGTGAGTCGATCAGTCGCGATCTCCCGCCTACAACTATCAAAATCATCGACCGAACCCACGACTAGATACGACACCACCGCCATAAAGCTTAATATATACTTACATTGTGCCAAACCCGTCAGCGGCACTACGGGGTGGTACAGCAATGAGAGCATAACAACAAAAATAATAACGATTTTCATCCAGCAGCTAGTATGGAATTCCCTTCCGACAGGGCGCTCAATCGTCACCTGATCCCGATCGACCGACTCCGAGTCCCCACCACCCACAGCGCTGAATTATTACCGCTGCGCAGCTCGCTGTTCTAGACGCACCGCTGTTGAATGCTCACCACCCGCATTTGCCTTCCGTTGATAATCAACTCTGGTCGTCGAGTACATTTTCGGTACTTACTGAAAGTTTCATCTTTTGATGTCGTTCATGGAGGTGGAACTAAAGCAGAACCCGAATAACGGAATGCATGACGTCCAGTACTTGTTGGACAACGGTGTCGTAGGACAAGCCGAAGTTGTGTAAGTATATTAGTGGATTAATTACGTGGAGGAGAGATTTAGGTGTCGTATCCTCACAAAGACTTTTTTAAAACAAACTGGCAAACTACATTAATGTATTTATTTAACTATAAGAAGTAATCATACAAAAACCTGAATCCCCTACACCATGTTGTATTGTACAAAAATCAGCCACTAAGTCGTCAAATATTATTTTATCGTTGAGCCATGGCACACATGACACGCCAACGCCAACTCTAAGTATAATACCTACCTATTAGCATTTAAATGTGAATATTTAAATACAACTCCCCCCCCCCTCAAACATGATCAAATTATGTCATATTTTAAGTATTATATTATTATTTATTGTAAATTTTTTTCTGATGGGGGTGGAAATTGTTGTAGTGTTACTACTGAAAATGCCTTGTTTTATGTTTTCCTTCAGAAAGGTGATTAAAGAACGTAAACTGTTTTTGCATAAAGCCGAAATGAAGGATATCAGTCGAGAAGATTATTTGGCACAAATAAGGGCCGAAATACAATTGCTGGACATCTGCAAACACAACATTGATGTAATATCACAACCCTCCGTGTGTTTGTCACACAACTGTGATAGTAATAATAATTCAACGTTAATTGTTGTTTTTATTTACGCAATAGAACCGTTCGCAAGTGGACGAAATGCAGTTAGTTTATGTCAAAGTATTTGACATGCTTATCAATCGCATAGACTTCTTGTATTTCAGTATGCTACAAATGTTCCCCATTATTTTGACGTCATTGCAACAATTTATGGAATTTCGTTTCAATCACGTAAGTTACTACTTATCGATAAATGTATTAATAAATTATTATAAGAAGTAGGTACTTATATAATTCATAAAAGTAGGTATCTATCTAATAATAATAATAACTGCTATATTACTTGGTTTGTATTTGTCTCTTTAATGATACTAGTGAAAAAACCTTACGAAGATAAACTCATCAATATGCGTAGGAACCTACCGTCTGCAGATTTCCACTGCCATCGATTATGCTCGTAGCGATGTCGATCTACTGTTGGCAGTATAGTAGACAATTACATTGCCCTGTTGGTCAAAAGGTTGTCAGTCAATTGTTCATCACTCGACTATAATATAAACATACCTATTCCACTTATTTGATATTTTGGTCTAAACTAGTTATGACTTAATCAAGTTTAATAAGTATTAGATTAGTTCAAGTCCAAACGCTCTTTCCCCAAGAAACTGACCACTTATAATACCTCATCGTAAAGTAAGAACATTATCTGTGTTCTCTAAAAGGGCGATAAATATTTTTTTTTGTAATATCACATGCAGGTATTTTTATTTTTAGTGTTTTATACATTTATTGTTGTTTTTAGACAAACCGCAAAATTAAATAAATTGGTAAAACTAATATATTATAAAATAACGTTAAATAATTTATAATTTTCAGAAAAAATATATCAATGACACGACTTTGTTACGTAAGCTAATGTCGAATAATCACAACGATCCCGAAGTGTATAAATTAGCAGCATTGTTTGAATACAGTAAAATGTGCGATGTTGAAGCCGCTAGACTGTACTTTTCAGAAGGGTTGAAATATCACAAACATTGTAAAATACTATATATTGAAGAATTCAATTTAGAAGTACAGCACGTTGAACATACTAATGGTCAATCACTTCCTATAGCATTGAGCAAGTATAAAAATATGGTTGAATACTTCAAAGGTGATTTGGAATTTCATATAACATTGATAGATAAAGCATTGCAATTTAATACAGTTTGGGAACTGCAATATCATGTTGTAAGGTATTAATTCAATTTTAGAATATTTAATGGGTTGAGTAGCAGGAAATTGACTCTAAACTACTGATTGCACAGGGATATGTTCGAAGAATACAAACACGATGAACGGATGTGGTTAAAGTTGGCTAATATAAGCTTTCAAGGTTTTATATTTGATCACGATTTGGAACTGATGAACTTTGACAGACATTGTAAACGCAGGCTTCTGTAAGTACTATCATATTTTTTTTTACATTTGCTATCTATAATACCTAAACCTACTAATAGTTTATATTGCTTAGATATTCATTGAAAGCATTTGATGATGGTTTGAAAGAAGATTGGACACCCATAAAACGTACACTGTTATGGGACTTGTTAATTGACCATGTTATTGGAATTTGGAAAGAGTATGGTTGGAAAAATGAAACAATTGTTAGTTTTGTAAATGAAACTATGGAGCGAGTGTTTCAAGGAGCGCAAGACGAAGGATTTTTACATAAAGGAGAACATTATGCATATTGGGTGAGTTTTGTGAAGCATCATTCCTAACATTTAATTACCAATAATTATAAAACTGTATTATTTTTTTAAGGCTGTGTATAAAATCGAGAAAAGTGATGAGATTTCGTCAAAGGCAATTGAAATGAATAAAAATAATCCAAAAGTTTGGATGGAATTATTATCAATTTTTATTGAAACCGATTGTCCTTTGAGAGCATTTAAAGTTTTTCAATATGGTATCAAGTCGCTGGAATCAGATGCAATGCCATTGTGTCAAATGATGGAAACATTTTTAATAACACAAAATGAAACTATGGTATAACAATTACAGATTCATTAATTTTGGACTATGGAAATCTATACTTTGTATTACCCATTTTAGCTTTTGATAGCTGCAAGATATTTTTCAGTTTTAGTTATTATTATATCCTGATATGATACACCTACATTTTTAGATTTTTTTAAGTTCTAATTATACTTTATATTTAAAAGAATTTCGTATTTCAAATCAATGTTTATCACCTGTGAGTAGATTTGATATTGGTTAGCCATTATTTTTAAAGTTTTTGTTTAGTTATTAGTAATCTCCTGAGGCCCTTATATCTAAGATTGTTCTATTTATTATTATTTGACGTGAACTTGATATTCAGAATCATGAGTATATTTATCTAACACACTAGCCCTCAACTTCATTACCTTTAACATTTATAGTACTCTGACCAATGTTCACTTAATTCGAAATTTTTTTTATTTTTTTATAAATTATAATATTTTACCAATGATCCTTGGTAAAAAATATTGAAAACTAGACATATTTACCTCCAAAATGTATTGTCTTCTTTCATGTGGTTAAATGTAATATTATATTATATGCAACAAATTTTAACAAGTATTAGTGGGCTAAGCAAAAATATTTAGGTATATATTGTAACATTTTCAATAGGTTGTACAAGCGTACCTATATAAAATATACTAATGCAATAATAATATATTGATATTATTTGAAGTTAAATACAACCATATAGGTTGGTACTGTAGATCCTGTAGGTAATAAGATATTTTTTTTAGCTTTTAGATTTTTACGATCAAGCTACGTATGGATCATCTACCAACATCAGTTTAATTTTCAGGGTAAAATACTTAAAATGGTTTAAAATACGCAATACGTTAACTGCTGTTCGTAAATTGTTCAAAGAATTGATCATTATGAGTCCTCCTTGTAAACATTTGTACATTGAAATGATTTCTTATGAACAGTCTTTAACTTCCGTCAATTTAGATCGAGTCAGTAAATTGTACAACAATGTATGCTGTAACTTGGGACAGGGAGATGTTGGTAAGTATAACCATCAATTTTGGTGAGACATACCTGCCTACTTATAATTCCAAGATGAATACTGATAATAAATTTTATACTTATTTGATATTCATACATATTTATAGAGTTATGGTCTAATTATATTCGATTTGTGTACAAGCATGTTCAACGATGTACAGCAAAGAAGATCTATAAATCGTCTTTGCCGTTTTTGGGACCAGAGTTATTCGGGGATTTGACAAAAGAGTATGAAAACATAAAAAAAGAAATTGCTTAAAGGTATTACTAACAATATGAAAAGTTAACAACATTTTATCTTAGATACAATTGTATCTTGTATCTCGATACAATTATATGAAGTATCTCGTATCTCCTACAGCGTTACATTTTTAGACAATGTATTTAGTATTTCACAAAATAATTTTGTTAAAAATACTCGATACTTTAAAAAATTAATTTTATCATAATCCTACCAGGAATAAATAAAATAAATTATCCGACAATACTTTTGAAAAATTAGTATTTTCAAAAGGAAATAAGAATATGATATGATACCTATCTATATTTTATTTTTATTATTATTTATTTATGTAATTTAACAATAATTGACTTATCATAATATATTTATACTATTATAATTAATTAATATTTGAAATTTTAAGGTTAAATGTATTTAATGTTTATTGTCGTGACATATACTATTCTACATGATATCTATAATTTATTTTTATTATTATTTATTTATGTAATTTAACAATTGACTTATTAAAATATATTTATACTTAACTAATATTTGGAAATTTAAAGTTAAATGCATTCACAAACCTACCTAATTGTGTATAAATAAAATTAAAAAAAAATCCTATGCGTCGTAACTCGTAGGCTATGACTTTTTTCAAATGCATAGAGTACCTAAATTCTTAAAATGTAACTACTCGATACTCCAAAACCAAGTACCTAGTATTTAGTACTGATTTATAATAATTTTTGAGTATCTTGCCCATCCCTGGTTATAATCGGCAAAATGATTTTTGTAATGTGTATCTAGAAAAGATGCAATATTTAAACAAAGATATCATCTTTATGAGCAGCATTGAAACCCTTGTTTCAAACTCTCAGATTAATATTATTTTAAATGTTTCAATTTCTTGAAGATCTGTATTATTATGTTTTAAAAAATTGTCCATAATACTTTTTAAAATTGGCTTTACAGTATAAATTGTGAGAGTTTTTTGATGAAATATTCTAACAACTCCCATTAACTTTCACTCAATTCCAATGTTAATGCAGTTGTTCAGTTATTTAATACCTAACAAATAGCTGGTCTGGAATCGTTAAGTCTGCCTAGCATAACATAAACAGAGTTCCACCTGGTTTTTACTGATTGCACTAATTTGTTTGTTGAAATTTTCAATTTTTTCGTAAAGAGCTTTTGAAGCTGCAGTAGAGTGTTTAAAATGTGATACAATTGATGAAAATGTACTCAGTAAATCTTTAATTGATTTATCTTCTAGGCCTTTAATAACACAAAATTGTAGTGAATGAGCAAAGCAAGTTCTACTTTTTAAATTAGGAGCCATAGAGCCAAACTGCATTTTTCATATTACTTGCATTATCATGAACAATACAAACTACTTTATTATAAACATCCCAGTCAAGTACAATATCTAACATTTTTCTTTTAAGTTGATACTAGCATGATGTTCATCCATAAACTTGGTTGTTATAATTTAGTTCAGTATTTTCCATTCATTAGTGATTGAGATGTATGATTCAGTAGATCTAATAGTCCAACAATCAGTTGTTAAGGCAATACTATTTATACCATTCAAATCACTAGCAACTCGTTTTTGATCAAGTTAAGTCCAAGCATTCTTCTTTTGGTTGTATTTTGGCATGGTATTTCATAGTCTAGCGATACTGTTCTCATGAATTCTAGAAATCTAATCACATCTGCCGAAGCAAATGGAAGCATGTCTTGGGAAATATATATGATTAGACTTTCAGTTACCATTTCTTGCTTTTTAACAGAAGGAGAAAATAATAAATCTGTCATTTTTTTGTTGTTTAATTGAATTTGAAGCTGAACATGAAACTGCAATGGATGTAGATTTTTCAGACATAGTTTGAGTTTTCATAATGAGCTGTAGTTGCAGTAGAATTAGTAAATTCAATTGATTCTTTACCGTTGAGTGTATCATCAGCCAGCATCATCATCACCTTCAAATGGTCTTAATGAAAGTATTCAAAAATAATAATTGACAGCAGCAGCTATCAAAAAATAAATATGTGTTTGAGCATGATTCTGATGACCCATCATCCCACAAACATTTAGTAGAAAATATAAATTACCAATATTTAACTAGTGAGTTAAATATTAAATTACTGTTCATTTTTGGGTGTTTTCAAAATATAATTTTAAAAAAAACATCTTTCCTCCAGAATCCTGGTACCCACCAAATGTTGTTGAAGAAACACATGGACGAAGGACCATAAGAATATAGGATAGCTAATTAACAATTAATAATATACATACTATTAGGAACCTAAAAGTTTTAAAGTTGTAAATACCATAGTAGTATGTAGTTAAATATTTTAAAGTCAAGCTAAATAAAATAATTAAGAATAAAATATGGAGAATTTAATAAATATATGATAACAAATATTATTATATTATGATACATAAATATTGTTATATTAAAAATGGATAAGCTTTTTCCAGTTGCGTCCACCATCGTCTTAAAATTCTCCCAAACTTTTGAATTTTAAAGTTTAACTCTTGCGTCATGCATTCGTATAACTGTGTAAGCTAAATATGAAAAAACCAAATACCAATGATACAACAGTTGTATGACAGCCTACTTCATCATTTATTTTATTTATAATATATAAACGCCAAACGGCAATTTTTAATTAACAGATTAAGTTTAAATTAATAGATATAACAAAAATATAATAATACAAATACACACAAAATTAGAACATATGGAAAAAAAAAAACACAACATAATATAAACTAAATGGTAATACCTTAATTTAGTAATATAAAACTATAATACAACATATTTATAGTAATGATATTATTTGATTACTTATTAAAATCAAAATTAAGATTGTTCAGAGTACGAAGCATTCTGTGCAAGGGGTGATTATGTCCATATAATGTATTGTGAGTTGGAATTTGGAAGAGTGCGTGATTTCTGGAGAAGAAGGAAGGGATACGAAGACATATTTTAGAGAGGAGATCGGGTGCATCTAAGGTGCCACCTAGGAGCGAGGTTATAAAGTGCTCATCAGCATCTTGTCGACGAGTTGACATCATTGGTATTCCCAATGAACTACGAATTAAGGAATAGTCATGCGTAGGGTGAGGTATCTTCATTATGTAGGCAATGTAGGAAAGAAATCTATTTTGTACACGCTCGAGTCTTAGTTCGTCTTTAGCTAGGTAGGGATGCCACACCACCACACCGTATTCTAATATAGAACGTACTAATGAGAAGTACAATGTGCAGAGACAACGAGCCGAAGAAAACTGATTAGTATTGCGTTTAATAAAACCCAGTACTTTTAAAGCTTTACCTACATTGACATTTATATGGTGCTCAAAATTTAAAGATGGTGAGTAATGAATACCAAGATCTTTGTAGAGGAAGACACGGTTAAGAGAAGTGCCATTTAGAGAATAGTTGTGGTGGATAGGAGATCGCTGCCTAGAAAACGACATAACATGACATTTGCTTATATTAAGGCTGAGACCTATGGAGTACGCCCAACTTGCAAAAATATCTAGTTCTGACTGTAGGATATGACATTGATTAAGATTGTCTATTTTAAGGAATATTTTTATGTCATCAGCAAAAAGAAGGAGTTTAGCCTTAGTGATCAATTTGGTTATCGAGTTTACAAACAGAATAAATAAAAGAGGACTATGGTGGCCTCCTTGAGGGACTCCAGATGGTATCACAGCTAACTCCGAAACAGCATTTTTGATTTTTATGAATTGTTTTCTATCTGTGATGTAAGAGTGCAACCATGATAGAAGGGGATTCCCAATGCCTAAAGACTTAAGCACCATTATTAGGCAATCGTGGTCCACTGTGTCAAATGCTTTATTAAAGTCTGTAAAGATTACATCTATCTGATCTCTGTGTTCGATAACTTCTGATAAATAGGAAGAGAAGGCAACACCACTTGTTACGGTTGATTTATGCGATCTAAAACCATGCTGCTCACTTATAATAAGATGATTAAGACTACGCTTTATTCTGGAGTATACAATTGATTCAAATAATTTACCAATATGTGGTATAATAGAAATTGGTCTGTAGTTTTGGATATCAGATGCGTCACCATATTTCAGAACAGGTGCTATAGAAGATATTTTCCAAACCTTAGGAAAAATACCTAAATCTAATGAACGCCTGAATAGTAAATAAATTGGATAAGCAATAGAAAAACGACAATTGTACAAGCATTGAGCGGATATGTCATCTGGACCATTAGAGTAAGTATTTTTTAACGATTTAAGAGCGGAAAAAACATCGTCGACAGTAAACGTTATATTGGAAGGAAGTTCATAGGATAAGTATTCAGATGAGCCAGTAAATGGTGGAAGTTGGAAAGCCGAGGAGTTGAACGTCGAGGAGAAATGAGTTGAAAACAGATTAGCTGATTCAGTTGGAGTATTTGAGACAATATTACCGAGATGGAGTGATGAAGGAATTGGAGGTTTCTGTTTTAGATTTTTTACAAATTTCCAGAATTTGGAGGGGGAAGATGATAGGGCCTCCTCGGTATGCCTAATATGAGCAGAGTAATCAACTTTTGATCATCGCCGATATTGGAATATCAGAGAGGAATAGTGGAATTTCCCCATCGTCTGGTTAATACTTAAAATTAGATTACTATTCAATAAATAAATTTCTATTTTTTTTATTAGAAAAACAAATTTTTATATTTTACACCAGAATCCGGATTGAATTACTAATGCGGATTTAGATCAAAATCCGAATTGTTAATTTTCAATCTGGGATACACAAATGAATACAAATTATGTTTGGTCCTACCCGGATTGATCCAGATTTGATGTCCAGCACTAGTTATGAATCAGATTCTTAAGCAGCTGTTCTAACAGCTATACAATAACAATGTTTTTCCTTAGTATTTTTATTTTATACTTGAAATTTATTTTTTTTTTACTAACAAATAGTTTTAATTTGATTACTATGTTATGTAAACATGAGCCACTATTGTTCTTCTAAACATTATTAAACCCAAAACTTTAGAAACAAATTTAAGGGATGTTAATTTTACCACAAAAAATATTGTAAACATATCTAATTTTTGGCAATGTTTTTCATTGGATATGTAAACGTTAATAAATAAATAAATATAATATATGTATAGACCTAATAGATCTATATAAATTAAACATGTTATTTTATCCATAAAAAATAATATAAAAAACGACAAAACCACTGATGAGTAACTTGAATCTAAATAATTAAAATAAAACCGTGGTATATCTTGAGAAAATAAAAGAAGGAAGTTCTGACTAGGCTACTTCATTCACCGAAAAGAATAGAATAGATGCCCATCTTCGAAAATAGCCAAGGGGTAAAATGTGCCATACCTTTGATTACAGTTTTTTTTCTATTTGCATTTTCATTTTCAAAACAAATCAGAAGGCAGATTTTAAATGGAAAAGTAGTTAACTGTAACGATTTACAGATTACTGACGCGTCATTTATGTCGCGCTTGATGAATTTGCTTAGGTAGACAGAACACAGGAACGTAGAGTACGATAATATAAATCGTTGGTATAACCAACCAATCGAGTTCGATTCGTGAAATTAAGATAAGAGTAATCTACATTTTAAAGTAACATTATTAATTTGATTTACTATAGGTATAATAATAACCTATAAATAACCTACCTTATAGATAAATCATAATAATTCCATTTGTTTAAACTCAAAATCCGCTACTCCTGTAATCTTCAATATACCTTTAAGAGCAGGGTTACTCAGGTGATAGTGTACTGTATAATACTATAACTATTCAAACATTTAATAAACCGTGTATACATTGTTATATCGTGTTCAATTGTTTTAGTCTATGAAGGCATGTCATAAGTTTCTAGGACCTATAAAATATAACTAAGAAAAATTTAATTGTATCAATTCAACAACCCTGTTCCCAAGATCAGTGTGTGTAGTGGGAATAGCTAGACAACTACTCCTTAACTGGATAGAATTAGATATAAATATTGATAACCACTAGGTTTAAACGAGGTAGGCGTGTTGCAGTAACATTATGTAAGCAGCCATCAAATATGTTACGCATCCTAAAAATAACTAATAACTTTTATTAAATTAATAAAAACCTAACAGAATGCGTCAGTATTGTTGGAACATTTTTAATTAAACTAAAATGGGGTCATTTTAAGAATGTGAGTGCAAGTTTATTAGTTTTAACCTTTTTCATTAAATCTAACAAAGCTAAATGAAACAAATAACCTAACCATACATTAGTTAAGTAACACACTTGTGGACAACAACAGAAACAACACAAATACGTTTACTTGGTAAACATGGAACTAAAATAAGTATGTTTAGCAAAGAACCAAATTAATTATCATCAATTACATAAATTATCACAGTAACCAACAGTTAGCAAATAAATGTTGATATAATGAGCAGTGATGCAGGTCCACATACCAGACATTATTCAATAAGGGGGCCAACATTTTTTGGCCCCTCTATGCTTTTGTACCCCCTTCACTAATCTTCTTATCACACAATATCTATAAAAAAAACTTCCTTATTTTAACAATGTATTACCTGGATTGGTTAATAAGTTTATTTAGTGTTTTCCAGTTTTCAATATTCTATTAGAAGGGTTATTGAGTTAAAATAAAACAAAATCTTGGAATCCAATTAATATTAACAATTATTAACAATACATAGTACCTATAATATACATCCGGGATTCAAGACAATTAAACTCCATAAAATTTAAAATATTTAATAATAAAACTGAAGGTGCCAGTTTGAGGCCATTGGCTTTTCTTAGGGGAGGGGGGAGGTCCATTAAGCCTCCTCCCCTTGGTGATGTGCCTGCAATGATAATGAGGTGATCACCAATTTAAAAACATTTATTCAACATTTTAATAAACAAAATTAAAATTAGTCTTATGTATTTATATATTTTTTTTATTTAAATGCTTTACATAATTAAATTATTATATTTTTATTTAAGAGATTCTAAAAACATTAACAAGACACAAAAATAACTATGTACGCATAAAAAAAAAAAAGCTGGAAAATTGACAGTAAAAAATAAAATTATAAATATACTCGAATACATATTTTGTTTTATATTTATAAATATACAATAAGGAGTATCCAATCATGGATGATGTTTTGACTAAATGTTATTGTTTAAAAGTAAATATTCATTTATTGTGTTATTTAAGTATGATAATAATTTTCTACTAATTTGAAATCGAAACAATATGGGACAGTGCAGAAATTAAATAATTACAATTATATGCTATGACATATTGCAGGTGTCACAAAACGTTTAATCAAAACAGATATAAGTACAAATATAAAGTATTAAATACTAAACAAAAAAAAAATAGTTAATAGCTTGCTCTACGTTATTTTAACAATGTATTTTTTTAGACTAGAAACACACTATACAATTATATTATTATTGTTTAAAGATATAAAAATGTGTAAAATTTCAATATTTTTTTTTTATTAATACTATAAGCCTTGGTAAAAAGTTTATCACATACAATTGTGGTGTTAGTATAATTATAGTAATCAATTTTATACTATTATAAGTACATTATTTTATTATTATTAATTATTTTTTTTTTTTTTACAAATATGAAAAACAATATTGCTTACAATTATGAGCCAATGTGAGTTTTGATAAAGTACTGGGTACAAAACAATAATAAAAGATAATTTCAATGAACACAAATTAATTGTGGATACATAAAAAAAAAACTATCGATTGTTTATTACACTCTTGGTTTTTTTTTTTCGGTTAAATATTTAAAACTAACATGGACAATAGAAACTAGGTAAGATTCTCATGTTTAAGTATATAAAAACACATTAATGGACAAGAATAATTAAAAATCTTTCACAGAGATCAGTTTAACTGTACAATTATTAATCAATGTGGTTTAAATAAAATAATAAACCACACAAAATAAATGTCACTTTATTGCACATTGTTTATCATTGCTATTTTTCAATTGCCATCAAGCCAGTTTTAATTACCTATCACTTAAATTTGACTACAATGAACGATTTATAAAAATAATAATTTTCAATTTATCAATGGGTTAAGTATATTTCCATCAGACAATTTAAATTAATATAAATGATACAGAATTTAATTTAATTTTAGAATATATTTTAAATTACTTCTGTTAGGGAAATAAGAAAATATTATATCATTATTGTATTCATGCAAAAAATAGAAGGCTTTATTATATTTAAGTGAATTATTTAACATTTTGTAGCAGTACATATATGTTCACTACATATAGTGTATACATTGACATATTTTTAAATTATTATCCTGTGAAGCATTATTACATCACTGAAGTAGTTTATGATGTAATATGTTAAATGAAGAGAGTTAGTGAAGAGATGTACTACACATATTTAATTGAAAAAATATTCTTTCATTTTAAGCTATTTTATACAAAACACCATGTTAATGAAAAAAGGAAAATATTTGTATATTTTTTGAATATAAAAAGAAATTATGACTGGAGAGTAAAATTATTTCTTTAAATTATAATTTTTAAAGAAATCTCTTATAAGAATAATATATAAGAAAAAAAATGTTTAACATATTAACAACAGTTTCTGTGATGTTGTATAAATGTATTAAAGTAAGAACTGTGTTCACCAATTGATTTTCAATAACAATTTAGTGCAAATTTGATAGTCAAGAGGTAATTTATTTTATGAAAATATGGTAATTTATGTTTTAGAAAATATTTTTTAGTAACGTCAGTAATATCGGCATTTACAATTTTCAATAACAATATAAAACTAGTTATCTGTAATGTGAAATAAGATAACCAAAAGTAAAAACGGAACATGTTTCTGCAAAATAAGTATAGATATGTATTAATTTTGTTACTATACAAATTAGAATCACAGTTTTCCTACCTTATTATACAGGAACTGTTTGATTATAATCATAATTCTGGTATAGTTGATCACAGTGATTTTGAGATTCTATAATTACTTTAGTCTGGGGATGATAATCTGATCTATCATCATTATGTCTCATCTCGATTTCCAAATCATCTAATGTTGTACCAGAATCGTTTGGTGTCAACGTAATTAGAGAATTTGCTGCTGTATGTGGCAAAGGTTGACGTAATACTTCAGGGACATAGTCGTAACCATGTGAATGATCACGTCTTCTTGCCGGACTTGGTTGAACTGTACGTGGATTTCTAACCTTCAAAGGTTAAAAAGTAAATATTTATTTTATACTATAAAGTTTAATATTTAATAATGACATTACAATCTAAATTCATGAAATTGACTTACTTGATAAAGTATTGGACTCCATGCGGTACAATTTCGGAAGAAACATTGAGATAATGTGAATGTTAATGTTATTATAAGTCCAACCAAAGCAAATAAAGTAATATCATGAAGTCCATGGCGCAACATTGACAGTGAAGTAAAACTTACTTGTAAAAGTACTATTGAAACCATAACACAATTTATAGCTGTACTATGTATGCGTTTACTAATTTTTGATTTGCCATATGCAAAATATATATTATAACGATCAACAAAATGTTTAGTAACCATATACAAAAGACCTAAAATCAATAATAAACCATTATTAATTATATAAAAATTATCATTAACATTATTTAAGATAATGCTTACCAAAGGGTGTTATAAGAGGACAGGAAAGACTATACACTGTCACAATTGAAAATATAATTAGCATCCAAGCATATTGTACTCCAAATGGAAATTCCCAAAGAATTAGTCTTCTAGCACTAGCAGATTCTGCTTTTGATCTACAAATTAATAAGTTTCAAAATCAAATATTGGGACCATTAATGATTTGAATTCACTATAGTTGTCAAGAACATAAAGAAGTTATTTTCATGAATGAATAAAATAATAAGATTAGTATCTTTAAAATTCAAGATTCAAGATTAACACTAAATACATTTTATTCACGCACAACAATTTTTAGATGCACAACTTGCTGCTAAGTCCTGTTTAATATTTAATTTCCAAGAGACAAATATATTTATTTAAATCATTATTTATAAAATTAAGCCTCATATCATTCCGTGATCATTGTATAACGATTCTGGTCACTAGCCAATCTTGTCCTTACATACAAAGCTAGTATCTTAGAAAATAAATACTTAATTTAAAAAAAATTCTAGCAAGCAAGTTTTTTTTTTTTTTGAATTATAATCTATATAATTAATACTAAAACATTCTATAGAATTAAAATATTACCAAAATAGTTTATTTTAGATACAGCCTTAGACCATTATCGTAAACTCAGACCTTTTACTTAGTAATCACTGGCTAATTAATTCACCAAAAATTGGAAAACAGTTTAATAGCTTGTTAATATTACTTAAACTCTACTAATACTCTTACTAAATATTTTACATACCTTGACAATGATAATCGGAGAGCATACATAAAAAGTTCTGGAAATCGTATGAGTTCTAAACTTGTTCCAATAAGAGCAGACGTAACTACATAGTTTACAAAGAATGCTCCTTTATCAGGCAAAAACACACATTGCCAACGATAAGTCTCAATACCAGCTTGAAATGCGAACATTAGGAATGCCTGGGCACTAAAATTACATAAACCATTACAATTGTATTATAACTAATGCAGAGATTCCAATGCATTTTGCATTGTTTTCCGAAGCTGGCTATACGATGCTCGTTTTACAATATACGTGTTTTACATTGATTAAATACATAAATAAACCACACCATATTATTTATTAGCAACAATTAATCCAGAGCGAGATATCCTTTTTAATTTTTTCTAAATGCAATAATGTTTCTCAATTAGGAAGCGATTAATTATTAAATTTGAGTTCAAAATGATTGGAGTCTACGTATTAGATATTTGCAAGGCTTGGAACTTGCATTTGCATATGTCTTAAGAATCTGTAAATTCAAAATCTGATTTGATACAAATTTGTTTTATAATGCATACAATCAAAATACAAACATTTATGTTGCTTATTTTAATAAATTTATATTATTTTGCATATTTAGAGATTTCAACCTGCACATGATAATCCAGCAAAAACAACTTCTATTTCTGTAGTTGAAAGTTGAAACACATAATAGATGTCCTTAGATTTTATATACTTCATGTTGGAAAATGTACATTCACATAATAATTATTATGTAAGTAGTTCCAAACATGAATAACATTTTTAGTGTAAAATTGTACAGAAATGGATATTTGCCAATAAGTAATATTTTCCAAAACGACACATCAATCTATTTTGTAGATTAAAAATGGATCGGTTTGCAAACTGCATATTTCTAATTGAGAGCATTTTGCTTTTTAATTTAAACTGCCATAGGATTAAATAAATGTATTTAGGATGCACAAGTTCAACTTCTTAAAAAAGTTTTTTCAATTCTATTAGTGGGTAATTGCTATGTTCAAAATTAAGCTAATCATATACTATAAACCGAATATTAATTGTAAATATTTGGCATACTTTATGCAACATTTTTTCAATAATAACAGTTGTATTATTTTTAAACTAATAATAAACTAATATGATTTAAAATTTGTTTTAGGTATTTCTTATGTATAATTTTTTTTAAATTTAAGACTGGGTATAATGCTTTAAGATCTATAAAAGAAAATTTTACACAAACAATTTGTTCCTCATTCAAAAATAATAACTTTGAATAACTATGCTTCTTCCAAGTTTATTCCCGTATAAATATATTTAATAAAAAAAATAATTGCATATTACACTGCATACTAGCTATACATAGCTTTTTTTAGCGCATCAAGGTTCTGAGCCTTGGATATTAGTAAGTTGTAAAAACTAACTACAGTGAACCTTAATAAAATATAAGTACCTATTAATTATGTCTCACATTTAAGTTGCTAATGTTAACTACAAAAGGAAAAACTTCTATGAACTTCTATGAAGAATAATTTACAAAATTTAAAATATTTCTCATGGCTATAAATAGCTCAAAAATAATCAAAATCGTTAAAAAAAATTTTAAAAAATAAATTGGAAAATGGTAATTTTAACATTTGGTGAAAATTTGAAGTGTGAGGTTGTTTGTTTTTGAATTACAACAAATTGTAGATTGATGAAAAATTGTCAATTGAACGATGAAAATCCAATATAATTAGCAGTATATATAGAAAGGTATATTGATAATATATCTAATTTGCTCAACGACAAGAAAAACTGCAAACAGCTAAAAATATAATGCTAAGCATTTTTTTAAAACAAAAAACATTTTTAATTCTTTATTTTCTATCAATTGATACTCAAACACCAGGAAAAATGAAAATCCATCATAGAAAATTATGTAGAAAACTATGGACTAATGATGAAAAAGACGTCTCTCTCAGACTTTATTATTTATCACCATCAGCTTACAAATATTTAGATCAGATCATATCAATTTACTTGGGCTATATAGGATTACACATTGAGATGAAACTATTAAATTTAAACCTGGCAATAGTTCTAGGTTATAGAAACAACAGTTTCTGGAATATTCAAAAGTTCTAGACATTGTAGAAGGTTACCAAGACTAGAGCACTTTTGAGAGGAGTAATGCAATGGTAAATCAAGTAATGGTGTTCATGATAAGAGGAATTTATTTGTCATGAAAATTACCAATTTCTTATTTTCTTTCATCTATCTCTATTAAAGTAACAACTTTATCAGAGATTATCATGTAACAGATTAATCAGTTAATAAGTTGTAAATTACATGTCGCAGAAATGATATGCAATCGAGGCACTAACAATAGAGCATCATTAACAAAACTAAGTTATAATAAAGAAAATCTATGGATTGAAATAAATGGTAATAAAATATATGCTGTGTATGATGTTCCACATTTTATTAAGAGCATAAGAAATAACTTATTAACGAGTGACATAATATTTAGGAATAATAAATATTTATATTTAATAAATTTTCTTTTCAAGATATCACAAAAACCTAAGTGGTTGATAAACTCAGTCCAACGTATTAAAAAATTAATAGTTTCTTTTCAAGATATCACAAAAACCTAAGTGGTTGATAAACTCAGTCCAACGTCTTAAAAAATGCGAGACTGCCACATAAACCCTGGACCATTTAAAAAAAATTCTTGTTAATTAGCTTTGCAAGTTCTTATAAAACCAACGTATGTCGCAATGCGTATCTACATCATTACTTAAGAGTCTAAGTCATTAACAGCTCCTCATACAACTGGATTTGTAAAATAAGTTAACATTCTGTTTGATTGTTTAATAGTTCAAATCCTTACAATTGTTCCATTTCTGAAGAGAAACCATTAGAAGAGGTAAAGTCTTGGTGTCAGCAGTTAGAAAAATGCAAAGGTTGCGGTATCCGTATACTTTTAGCGGTGTAGAATGGACTACTTGCTATCTGCTTGTTTAGGTCAGAAAACACATTCTCAGTATTTTGACAAAAGGGTTGGTATAACAACAATAAAACAACAAGGAGATTTAGAACTACATTCAAGATTATGACAAAAATGCAACTAATGAAATTATCAACAGCATCAAATTGTGAAGCAAAAACCGATCATAATGTCAGATTTCTTGATTCTAATAAACATTTTCAAGAAAGTAATGATGTTGACAACAATATTCAGTTCCCAGATGTTTGTCTTTATTTTCTTCTTTCAGCGATGAAAAACAATCATAATACAATACTGGTTGTAACACTTTTGTGTTCTGATAAATATTTTAATGGGTATTATAGATAAAAATTAAGAAAATTTTAATTTAATTTAATAATATTAATATTAACTGTCAAAATTGGGTATAACTGCTTTCACAGTTGACTTTAGTGATAAGAACTATTAATTTTATTTAGAAAAATATATAGCTGACTTCCTGTCGAACAGGTTGCCTATAGTACCAGTATATCTGTTAAGGGCAATGTGGAATACTGGGCAATGTATACATTGCCGGTCAATGTGGTCCTGCCACTTTTAGCTATAAATTTCCATAATTATCAATACATTGGGCTATTTACGTATATTTCTGTTTTTAATTGATGTATTTGATTTTTTTTTGAATAAGAATGAGAAGTTTTTATTTTGCAATTTTTAAAGCAATTTAATATTTTTGGGACATTTTTCAAGTTATTGATTCCAAAATTTTATTTTAAGTATTTTACATGCCATTATTATGTTTTTTTTTATACAATTAACAAATCATAACTATGTACAGATAAATAAATATATTTTGATCTATAAAAAAAATTAAAATGTATGGAAATAATTGTTTTTCCGAATTAAAGAAATCTATAACGATAAATTCTGTCTGTTCAACTATTTTACAAGTCTTAAAAATTTATATTAATTTTTATTAAAAATAATTTTAAGGCATACAAGCATTTTGGGTTTTTTTCAGGGTTCTAAAATTCCAGTTCTAATTATAATTATTATTAATAATGTATACCATTTTGCTATAATTACTAACCTTGTTAATCCCAAAGATGGAAGTATCAAACACATAAAAAGAAGAAAAACAAATGTTTTGCGCATAATGGAATGGTTTCTTTTAGATCTTGTCCAATGACTAAGCCACTGATCAGACCTTATAACTAATACCGGTAATAACGCAGCTGCAGTCCACAACAATAATGTAGGCATAAATTCTGATAAGATAGGACTCTATTAAAAAATAAAAATTATTTATTTTTTTTGGAACACTATATGTTTTTGTTTCATACACTGAGAAAAAATAAATATCAACTTACAGCTTTTTCGATTTCTCTAAGCTTAAGAGTGTCCATAACATTCAAAACAATCACGGGAGTAGTCAAAAAAAATAAAATTATCACTAAAAATGAATTTGTTAATACAATTTTACAGTATCGATTGTGAGATGGTTCAGTCAAATTTTCCCTAGAACAAACAACAATAACTAATTATTTTAAAACCAAAATTTACTGTGAATCGACATTATAAATGTATAGGTAAGTAGTTAATAATTTTTTAAACGATAAACCATTTATAAAATTATATTAATCAATTATTTTCTAAAATAACACACAAAAAAAAAATGCAGTTGTGGCATTTCAAATTTTTTTTGTTAATATTAATTGATAAATCCTCAAAAAATGTTGTTAAAGCTTTATTATTTATGGCTACATTATTTTATATCTTAACTAATAATGTGCATATTAATAATTTAAATTACCAAAATATATCATCAGGCGGAGGAGCAAAAGTTACTCTCCAACGATAAGGCTGAAGTAGTCCAGCCACAGAACTGGTAGGTGGATTATGACGACCACATTTGGATAATTTGTAAACGTGGTCTTGGTGAATGAGTCTAGCTGAATGAATTGTTGTCATAGTTACAAAAGCTATACCTAGAGGTCTTTTTAAAGCGGATTCTTTTTCTGCGTCTAACTAAAATAATAAATAAAAAAAAAGTAAGCATAATAAATAAGATTATGTTCTTTGTTAAGAATATATAGCATAATAATGTATAGATGACTACATATATCAAAAGATGAGTAACATTAATTAAGTAAAGACAAGTAACTGTTTTCTTAAAATTTAAAAATCTATGTCATTATTTAAATTGGGCATCAAGTTATCTCAAGAAACTGTTTTGTATAAAATAAAAATTTTAAATTATCATATTCAATATCCATGAAAATAACCTCATCTCATTCCGTGATCATTGTAAAATGATTCTGGTCACAGGCTAGCCAATCTTGTCCTTGCGCACAATGCCAACATCTTATACAAAAACCCTTAATTGCATAAAATTTTAGCAAGCAAGTTTTATTTTTTATTCAAACTATCATCTATAGATTAATACTAAATCATTCTATAGAACTAAACAAATCATCTAAATAAATTATATTAGATACAGCCTTAGACCATCATCAACAACTCAGACCTTTTACTTAGTAATCACTGGATAGTTTACATGATATCAAATATACATTATATTAATCATTAAATTTGAGATTTATAAGAATTTATATTTTGTATTTATTATTATATAGGTATAAACTGAAATGTATTGCCAATTTATAGAGCAGTGATGAAACCATATTCCTTAAATAAATTCAAAATAGTTATTCTGCTATTAAATTTAATTAATTAGTTTTCATTATTAGACATCTAGGAATACAAATCTGTTTTGTAAAATCATGAAGCCTTGTAATTTAATATTAACTCATGTTAAATGTATTTACAATAGAAGCTTAAATTTCTAACAGCTACTTAATCTTATAAGAATACAAATAATACATAACAGATTTAATACAAGGAATTTTATGAAAATATAAGTATTTTTGGATTAATGTTTTAAATCATTTAGTCTCATATTTATTCATCACTGTGTTTGTGTTTTCGGTTAGAATATTTGTTGTGTATATAGTGTATTTAAAATACCTTGGGATTAAAAAATAAATTGTTCAAAACATTTTATGTAAAAATAAATATAAAAAGTTATTATCGATATGCCACGATCGATCATAGTTGTTGAGCAATTATATAGTTGTTTTCACCAACTATTTAAATTATAAAAACACATTTTTTATGTATGGTTACTCTATAAAGACTCAATTAAACTTCTTACTACTTACTTCTGCTTTTAACCGAGCTTCTTCTTGAGAGTAGTAATCAATAGCATCTAAATTATTAGAACTACAAAAACCACAACAAATACAAATATAACCACAAACATGGGGCTGCACTGTAAGACGTTCCCCTACAGTTTTTAAATGATTTTCACAATATTGTTTTGCTTGAACTGCAGCATTTCTATGTGTATAAAACATATAATAGTTAATTAAATAATAAATGAAACTTTATAAAATATAAAATATTTATATGGAACGTGAAAAGTTATAGTATAGCAAACTAGTAAGTTTAAAATAATAAGGGTCATGAATACTAATTACTTTACTATTTATACAATACTATACCTGTCTCTATCTAATTCATTAGCTTTGTTGACATCATAAGCAAGCTGAATATTTTCTACTTCACATTCCGGATATGCCTCTCTAAAAATTAATTTTACAAAACCAGATACATAATATTTAACAATTTGCATTATTATTGAAAAAAATCAATAATAATAAGAATACTGACTTAAAATGTCGATCCATATCATTTATGTCAGAATTTCGTCTAGGAATATTTGTTATCATCAACGTACGTGACCAACATTCACCATTTTCTTCTAATTTAAGATTTACAGAAAACCTTCTCATTATGCAAATAGTTAATGGAAAGTATAACATGGCTATAGTCACATGTACCCACAGCCAAGGTGAACTAGAAATTAAAAGTTTTTAAATTATGTACATATACTAATAAAACATATAAAACTTAACACAAAACTAGATGAAGTCACCAAAAATTTAAGTATAGACTTAAAAACTAATGTTGGCTAAGCATGTTCTTTAGGGTTTAATACTGTAATTTAAAGGATGTGTACACACACGTGAGCATGCATTTGTATCTTGTCCCATCGTTTAGGTGTATACACACGTAGTGCATGTGTACTAATGTGCTCAAATCAATCATACAGACCAAACCCACATCTCGAGTCATTCACAATGTTCAACAAACACATATAAATGCTCATGAACAACATGTAAACGGGCGAACACAAATCCTCGCGCATGCTCACATCTATACGTAGCTTAAGTAATCCAACTAGATATTGTGAGTACTAATAGTATAACTTACTCAGGATGAAGATTGCTAACAGTAGTATGTCCAAATGATCTTTCATCACCTTCTAAGTCACCAGCAAAATTGATTGGTAGTACCACGCCTAAAGAAACTGCAGTAATTATAGCCATTAACACCATTATGTGCCTTTGGAATGATAAATATTGAACAGCATCGTAACCACATTTACGTAAAATTTTTTCATCTCTAAACATTATAGAACACAAAAGAATATAGCAAGTATTCACATCATAAAAAAATATGTACCACCTAGTTAAAAGATGTTGTATTACCTTAGCTGTATAATTGTTAAGAACCAGGAAAATAAACCTCTATCAACAGGCATTGAATTGTCTAATGTAGTTGTAGAATTACCATCTTCAATGTTATTCTCCGAATTTTCATCAGTTGTACCATAAAATATACGAGACCACCTAAACAAAGAATATGTAAAATAATATGATTATTTAAAAAATGTTTTTTTGATAAAAACCTTACTTTTCATAATCTTTATTGACTAATGCTAAACGTCCATAATCCCATGCTCTTTTCCTCATGAATGCAAAAAATAAAACTAAAAGCTGAAACATACATCAAAGATTAGTTCATATTACAGGTAGTATTTTCAGAAATATTCATACTTACAACACATCCTAAGGCATTGAGTAAAAGAGTTTCAGGTATTCCTTCGTAAGCTGTAATAAGAAGTCTGTTTCTCGTTCGATTATAATAATTACATTTATCTTTAGCTGGACCATTAAATTCATGAAATATATTATTATCCATCTTCAGTTAGTATTCCTATTGCAATACATCAAAAACAGTTAAAAATTAGCAATTCAGTGTTTCTGAAAACTAAAAATATACATTTAAGTGACAAAATAAGATATGTACTTATATAAAAACAAAATAATTGATTGGGTCAAAAAAGAATTGAGCAATAGACTGGTAATATGAATATTACAGATTAAATCAGGAATTAGATATAATTCACTAATTATGTAAATACAACTTAAGATAAAAATAAGCATTATTCAATTCTTAAAAAATTTAATAAGTTAATAATTGTAGGTAATTAGGTATTTTAATTATATTCAACAATTTGATAAATTATCTAATTAGAAATTTGTCATTTAAATACTTATGTATGATAATTATTATTACAATTTAATATTTAGTTAATTTACCACAATATAGTTGTTAATAATTATAAGATACAGTTAAGATAAAATAATAAATATTTTTATGATCATAATAAGAATAATAATAAAAGTAACATACCATTTATGAGTCACAATTTATGATAACAAATAATCGTAAATAACTATTCTTAAGATAAATCATGAAATGTTATCTATACATTAATATTAATATTTGCTTTTAATATAAATAGTTGCAAAATTGACATTTTATAAGTAGTATTGTTAAGCATAAAAAATAATTAGTCGCCTATTAATTTGTTTTATTGGATGGATATAAAACACTCATACTTAAGACTCTAATTGTTAGCAAAATGTAAAAAATCAATTTTTATAAAATGTACATACCATTAGGTTGCATATTGTATGATTGTACTAATTATAGTATTCACTACAATAATAGGTATATTACATGCCTAACTAGCATAGGGTTCCAAGATTAAATTTACACTTTTCACATATTTACAAACATTTTTTTTCCACATTAAGTTGTTTTAACATTTTAAATAAATCACTTTAAAACCTATTTTCAAAACTATATTCTTTTTAAATAAATATACATAAAGGTTACCTACATTTATTTGTTAAGAATAATGTCTGTACAAATTACCTAATTATCTCATAAAGTCGACTAAACCTATCAACCAAAAACACAAAAAGTACTAGAAATATATAATATCTACAATTAACATTTTGAGATACTGTAAAATATATGCACTAAAACAATATTGTAGGTTGCATAAGCACTATATGAAAAACTTAAGTAGGTAGGTAAAGTGTCAACTTTTAAAGGAAAAATATAATGAATGTATATTCTTATTTTAATCTTTCTATCACATAAACTGTTAAAATAATTAAATCCATAAGAAAAGGTTACTTGATATCAAGATTAACTATTAAAAGATGTAACACATACATCAAATGAGTAAAAATATTCAACACATTGTACCAAGTAGATTGGGAGCAGGCATATGATAGAGAGCAATGGAAGGAAGTAGTTTTGACGGCAAAAGTCTAAATGGCTCATAAAGACTATAAAAAAAAAATAAAACAATTACATTAAATAAAATGAATATTTAAATAATGTAAGAATATGTACCTATTTTTTTGGAGAAAAATAATTATTTTTAAAAAATTTAATTTATTTTAATATACAGAGTGATCCAACAAGTATGCTCACCCCCATTTTATTCTTTAATAATGAAGTTTTTTCAAAATTTGATTTTCAGAATCTTCAAATATAGGTACTCAACGACCATATTTTCATGTTCTTGAGATTTTTTGTGCCACTTAAGGAGTGTCCTATGGCGATACAAACCTTTGTTTTTCAAATGAGAACCTCACTTTTTTTCTTTAAATTATTTAGCGGATAATTTTTTTGTGAATTTTGATGTATCAAAATCGAAATTCGAAGGAGTAGTTTCCTATTTATTGGACAATTTGTACTAAGGATAATAGTCCATAATAGGGATATGCTTATACAGTTCTACACATTAAATAAGAAAAATAACTAAATAAATCAAAAAGGATTTTACTTGTTATTTACCTAAGTGTTTGACTAAATACATATAAAATTATATATTATTTTATGTTATGTGTATAGACTATAGATAACAATGTATACTGTATAAGTATATCCTTCTTCCCTATTATAAACTACATAATCCTTAGCACAAAATGCATAATAACTAGAAAACTACTAATTAGATTTTTGATTTCAATACATCAAAATTCTCAAACAAAATTCTCCGCTAAATAATTTACAGTAAAAAAGTGGGGTTCCCATTTGAAAAACAAGTTTGTATCGCTATAGGACACTCCTTAAGTGGTACAAAAAAATCTCAAGAATATGAAAATAGGGTATATTGAGTATATATAAAGATTCCAAAAAACAGATTTTGAAAAACTTCATTATTAAAGAAAAAAAGGGGGGTGAGCATACTTGTTGGATCACCCGGTATACCTATATTTTATGTGATTTAATTAATTAGGAACAAGCTATTCAGTTAAAATAAAATATATAGAAAATTATTTTAAGTAGTTCAAAACTATGTACCTAACTTTATAATATTACAAAAATAACCATGTTTAGAAAAATGAATATTTTCTCTAAAGTATAATTTATAACTTATTAAATGTTTATAGTACCAACCATACCTAGGTTTTCAAAATCAAATTGGTTAATGGAGATATGAAAGAAACTTTAAAATAAGTACTAAAAATAATACTAGTTGTGTTATACATTTGATATCCTTACCTACAAAATATAAATTTATCAGAAATATAATTCATGATTAAAAATGTACCAAATAAAAATTACCTGGCTACTGACTAACCACTTATTCTTTTGCTACAGAAGCCTTCTTACTTTAAACATATGCTTCTCTATATTTCTCAATCGTGGAAATACTCTACTCTATTAGTTCAAAACCCACATATCCTACCCGACTCAACTTATTCTTACTGCTCTACCAGTTGCATACCCTTACATCCAAGTCTCAACAATGGTAGATAAAATAATTACTAAACAATACAAAGCTCCCTTACTATTTTTTTTTTTTTGAGTACCTAAACTATTTTTGTTCACTTTTATTTTTTATTCAAATAATGCCAGAAATAATTTTTACAAAAATTTGGAGTGGATTTAAATTGTTGTCAACCTACATAATGAATTTTACATATTTTATGATCAAAAATATTCTTCTGTCTCTTCAATAATTTACACATTAGTCTACCACATACCTACCTTTTTTTTACTATAGTTTATATATTATATTATTATATAATATCATGCTTGTTCTTTGTTTAGTTTAGTAGTGCACGAATATGCCCATTTAACTATTGTATAATCAAATATCTGTGGACTAGTATTAACAATTCACATATGAGTCTGAACCTCAAATTAAGATATTAGCACTAATAATTTTAATTTTTTATTTCCTATTGAAACACATAGGTATTATAGCTATCAAAATGGGAACAATAATATTAAAAAATTACTTTTTTAAGTGACTGAATAAATGAAATGGAATATTGGTAAAATTGTTAAAAAATAAGGCGAGTATAAAATATTAATCCTTATTAATCCATATTCATTTACATGTAACTTAGTTAAGTATATTAAAGCTAAAATGCTACAACTAAGCTGCAATGTAGAATTCAAAATTTAGAAATGATGGAGGATGTGGGGGGAGGTAAAGCCCCCCATGAGTCTAGGTAAATAATTTTGTACTTGAAACACAGTTTTCAAATTGTCGGATTGAGCTCCTGCATACTGTCTTAGAAGAGAATAATCAGTTGGCCAACTGGTTTACGCCAGTGTTGCGCATCTCTCACCAACTTCCAGGTGTTAGCATTATTTCCACGGTTCTCGACACGCCAATCGCATCATTCAGAATGAGCAAAAAGTGTTTTTCTCATTTGAAACAGAGTATACCTTGGAGTAAACTTAATGATTCTCAATTTGACTTCAGCTTTATTCAACCCATTCATCTCTGATATTCCCTACTCAGATAATAGCATTTTGAATAAGTTTGTTGATGATACTGTCATTATCTCAATGATAAATTTATTCCAACTTCTCATACTCGGGTGACTCGAGTCAGGTCTCATTACCATTCAGAATAAGTTCCATTGCAAACTGTCAATGAATCAAGTCAAAGATGCTTACAATGAGAACCACCTCACTAGGCCTGATAGGTAATACTTACAACTAGGTAGGTACCTAAGTAGCACACTCACTGGGTACTTACTTCTTTGAACAGCTGTGTAGTGCCGGTGGGTCAGCTTCAGTTCAGTCCATCGTACTTGAAAACGTATTGTATTTTATCGGCGGCGGAACAGCAGTCATGGCGTGAAAGAAATTATTGATAAGATAGATGAAAAAAGTGTCTTCCGGTATACACTGCGGTTGTACGACGCGGAGTCGTATCTCCGACGAATTGACTAATTTAGTGATTTACAATATTAATAATTACAGTCGGTACTCGATACTCTAGTGGCGTCGGAAAACGAAAAAAAAAAATGAACGACGGAGGACGGAACAATGATTGATGATGTTATCTTTTATTTTATCTACGCATAATTACCGACAATCATAATTCCATCTCGACACGATAATAATAATAATAACAACACGCTCGGCCGATAGGAGTGGTAGGAGGTGTCGAGTCCGGAGTCCGGACGGCAAACATCTCAGTCGTCCAACGAATTTCGATTTTTTTATCTCGAAACCGTCGACAGAATCACAAATGCGGTTTTATCGATCTACCACCTACCAGCCACCTACAACGTACGCGCGGGTATACACCTACACGGCTTACCTAACACACCTACCACAGTGTCGTACTGCCGTCGTAGTGCCGTAAGCGGTAAGCCGTTATCGATTTCGAGCTCAGAAGCGATTAAAGCGGACCCGACGGCTGGCGGGTGGTGGGTACGACGTTTTCGCGTCACTGCCCGGTGCCCACACTCCGCCGCGACGGCGTGTCGCCCGGTGGGAGGCGCTCGCAGTGCGTACCACGATAGTCGGTAACCATAGACCTTGTTCCTGCGGTCCTGGTATGAGCAGCTGGTCTTAGAGTGGTAAGAGATGATAGCACGGCTGACTGACTAGCTTGCTGTTGTAGTAGTCGTACACGACTGTACGGGGCGATCGATTTTCGATTATTACGGTCGACGGGTCAGGTTTCACCTGTATGAAAATACGTAAAATAATATCGCGTTATTTTATCACAGTAGACGCGATCGCAGTCACTGATAAGTAAACGGTATTCCGAACGCTGAACAATCGATAACAGAGCACCGTCGTCGCGCACGCGCCGCCGACGGGTTTTCACTCGTCAGCGACTACGTAAAATGCTAAATGGCCGAGATTTTCTCAGTTTCCCAACCGCCGCCGGCACTCGCTCGCTCACACATGATAACACGTCCTACTCCCGACGCGCACGGGCGCTCCCACCAAAACGGCACACACGTGAATGCTTGACGGTGATATTGTTAACGTAGACCACTTGGAGACTGGAATTCAAGATGCGCAATATCATGTACACATGTTAGTATGTGTGTGCGTGTTAGAATATTGATGTGTTAATGACCGTATAGGGCTAACGTACGTTTCTGTGTGAGAGAGGAGCGATCGATTTTTATTGTGTTATTACGGTCACGTCCTGTGTAATAATACCAAAACAGTTTTATAATATTACGTTTTAATAGATACTAAACGGTTGAATATAATATTGGCAACACTATTATGTATTGCGTGCTTGATATTGTGTTACATTTATTATTTATTTCGTGTTAGCCGGTGCACTTAGGAGCAGTAAAAACGCTTCAATCTTCAACTACGAGTGTGATTTCTGGGGTAAAAATCTGATTTCGTTGGTACTCTGATGAGTAAAAAGTGAAAAAATTCACAGTAATTTTAATAATAATCGGGACCAACAATCCAAGGAAAAATTTAAGCAAAACCAGATTTTAACAAGTTCGATTTTTTTATTTTTTTGTTCTAATTAAGCAATGAATACTTTAGACTTAAATTTTTTTCCAAATATTTATATTTGCTTTTTCTACACATTTCAAAACATAGTGTCTTATTTATATACACTTGAAATGTTGGTATTATTTCAGTTTTTATATGATAAAATGTTTGGGAGTTAAAAAGCTTGAAAACAATTATACAAGATTCTTTATATGTTATTCTCATAGTAAATAAATATTACATAGTCACACTTTTTTTACAAACGCGTTAACTTCAAACATTTAAGGAATTCATCAAAATAAATTACAAAAATATGTTAATTACCTGATGTTCAAATGCATACAAATTTTGATCATAACAGATAGGCAGGTACCCAAAAATTCAAAATTTAAATAAGATATTTATACAAGCATTTTATCATAAGTGTATGGTAACATTTTCGAGCTATTTATTGCTAGGCTATAGCCTTGGTAATTTTTGGAATTTTTAAAAAAATGTTTAATTATTCTTAATAAAATATTTTCCCCTTAATATAAAAGCTTGAAAATTTAATGCAAGGTTCCTCACAAGATTTTTTATCGGACGTTCAATGGTATTAAAGATACATAAGCATGATTATTTTAAATATATACATTTAGAGTTCAAATTTTGACGAAAATCATAAAAATCCCGAAAATTGTCAAATTATTTTTCAGTTAGAAATTCATAAAAATGTTTTCTTTCATAGCCAATATTAGACATTGTAATAGAAGATGTTCAACAAGTTTTCCAACTTTAATCAAAAAAAAAAGTGATACCGGAAAATTACTCTTTTTATTGCTATGAAATATTTTTAATTTTTATTAATTTTTTATTGATTTTACAATGATGTGAGTTTTTTTTATGTCTGTCATCACCTTTGGGGATTGGGGCAGTTTAAATGTTTCGATTTCCTTCAACGCCATCTTTTGTGATAGGAAAGTGAATCTTATAAGTACCTACTTCGTTCAATTCACTTTGTCAAAAGTAAAAAATCCGCAATAGTTTTCAAAGTACCAGGAAAAACAAACAAAACATTAAAGAAAACTGGGAATTTTTACGGAAACCCGATTTTCGACAAAATTTTGTTTTTGGTTTTTGATGAAACTCTAAAAAAAAATTATTGTAGATCCATGAAATATTCACTGAATGTTTATATCCCCATTTTCTATTCACCATACAATTTTAAAAATATTTTTACTCACTTTGAACTATTTGTAGGCATAGGCAATTTTCAATTTTCATTAGTTTGTTTCAGCTAATGTCGATAAAAAATTTTTCACTTTTTCAGAAAATTTGAAAATATAGTACAAGATTCTTAATATATTGTTACAATAGAGATTGAAAAATATTAAAAATATATATAAAGGCACTATTTATTTTTATTAGCGTTTAAAGTTCAAAAGTTAATTTACAATATATTTATCAAGTTGAAAATTTAAATTGATTTATTTGTTAAACATGTATACAATTTTCAATTTTTGTATCGAAGGATTGAAAATTTAAAACAAGGTTTCACTTAAGCAGTTTTTTCCGTAATTAAAAAATCTAAAAAATATATAAATACAGTTATTTTTTACAGAAATTTCAAGTTCCAATTTTTACAAAATTACTTATTAACCCAAAGAATAACGATTTTTGTCATTTTGTTGTTATGCGGTTCCAAATAGAAGCTCTATTTTTCATAAGTGTATTCAATGTTTTTTCAGCATCACTGATAATTTAAGAATAATATTATGTATAATATTAATTCAACTTCCCGGTTACCGTATAAATAGTAAGTAGGTAATAACAATATAAAATATCGTGGACTGTCATACCGTCTCTGCACAGAATTGTTTTTCGTAGGTTAGATTAGACCGACATTTCATGTCGATAAAAACATTTTTGCTGGGTCAAAAAACTTGAATTGTAATACAAGGTTCCTCGTAAGTTGTCGTTAGTGGAAAGTAAAAAAAATTGATCTTAAATCCACAATAATTTTTTATGAGCGTTTGAATTTAAAATGTTGACAAAATTCGTAAAAATCACGAAACTTTGCAAAATTATTTTGAGTTAAAAATGTATAAAAAATGTTTTTTCATATTTAAGATTTCAAAATTTAATTCAAAATTGCTCATAAGTTTGTCTACTTTTCTCAAAAAAAATTTTTACGGGGAAAGATAAATACAATTTTTATGAGCTTTTGAAGTTGAAATTTGTACAACATAAGATAATATTCACTCTATTTCTCATGTAGTGATTTTTTTATTTTGTTGTAATTCAAAACCGAATAACTACTATAAATACTTGAAATGTACACGTAATACGTTCGTTGCACTAGCCTGGCCCATTCTGCAAATCAAATTTTTTTTCGCTCAAATATTTAGTAAGTTATTAACATGAATATACGTACTTGAAATTTACTCCATATGTTTATACTTTATTTTACCAATTCATATACTTGATAACATTTTCATAATACGTGCCTGCATCGCTGATCATTATATCAACATTTATTTACAGATTGTTGGTTACTATGATTATTTATGTAATTTATGACAATTAATTTGGTTCTTTGCTAAACAAAAATATTATAGCTCCATATGCTCATGTTTACCACCTAAACGTATTTGTGTTGTTGCTGTTGGTGTCCACAAGTGCGTAACATAACTAATGTATGGTTAGGTTATTTATTTCATTTAGCTTTGTTGGTTTTATTCAGGGCCGGCTTAATGTGGTAGCAAAATAGGCAGCCGCCTAGGGCGGCACTAGTGTGGGGGCGGCAAATTTCGAATGAACCAAAGTGATTTAATTATTATAATATAATGTAGTATGCTGAATTGTATGTTCATTGTTCAAAATATACAAAAATAAATGTGTAATAACTAATAATAATATACTATTGATACTTCGTTTACCGAGAACGTAACCAAATGTAGCTGTAGCACTTCACATTATTTTAACTATGCTTGTGTCGGTTGCATCTGGTGAACGGAGCTTTTCCAAATTAAAAATAATTAAAAACTATTTGAGGTCTTCTATGAATCAAGAAAGGTTAAGTGATCTTGCTACAATTCCTATTGAAAAGAAGTAATGGAAAACCTGGAGTTTAAAAATTTACCGACTGATTTTGCCCAAGAAAACGCTCGCAAAATTAATTTCATTTAATATATTTTTAATTGTGTAGTTACATATTTTTTAATGTTTAATTAAATACATATTGTTGATCTATGAAAATGATACTGAATGAGTGACGATGGTCAAAAATATTACTTGTTTTATTTCATACCCAACATTTATATTAATTTTATTATTATTATTTTATATTTTGTAAAGAAAACTGAGGTCAGCCAAAACAAGGGTTTATAGTTAAAAATAAATGTCCATATTTTATTCAACCCCCTCCGCTCAAAAAAATTAACTATTGCATATAGGGCAGCCTAAATTAGATTTGCCTAGAGCGGCAAAAGACCTACGGCCGGCCCTGGTTCTATTGATAAAGATTAGAACTAATAAACCTGCACTCACATTCTTAAAAATTTAAATGACGGTTAGCGGTATTAAAAATTTCCCACCAATACCTGCGCATTTGATTAGGTTTTTATTAATTTAATAATAAATATTTACCTAAACACTACAACTACTTACTAAATATGTAAATAATTATACAATAATGTATATTGACAAATTATTAATTAATACATTATTTATTATAGATCAAGGGCGAAGTGTACATGTAGGCACTTTACTGTAAGTACTGCTTACATTTGGAAAAAGAAAAAGATTTTTTGATTAAAATCCAGTAAAAAAATTAATAATTTAATAAAATTAGGTAGCATTATTTTTAGGATGCGTATAACATGTTGGTTGGCTGCTTACACAGTGTTATGGTAGGGCACACGTTCCATGCGGGCCACACGACTCAACACCATCGGACATAGTTACACTTAACGCCAGGTAACGCGAATCGAAACTGCTTAAGCAAGCCGATTAATGTGATATTGGCAAAGCGCTATAGGAGGGGGAACATAATATCGTAGACGACGTAGACCGTAGTAGTATTGTACATTTGTACCTAGAAGTTTATTTCGCTATATAGAGTCATACCATCGAATACAAGTGAGGTGTGCGTCTGTGTAGATCTACATTTTTTATAAAAAATGGGTTCTTCTGGTATAATAACAATTGTAATTGCATTATTAAAAAATTACAATCATTAAATATATAGTTGGCGATTTCACTAAAATATAATAATCGATTTGATATCTAAGAAAATAATGTTCAGTTATGAAAGTTCAGTTTGATACAATTTTAAAAATATTTTGATTCTTTTTGAGTTATTTAAAGAAATATAAAAAAATTTGAAACTTTATTTTCAATAAATGTTGATAAAAAATTTTTGTTAGATCAAAAAGCTTGACAATTTAATGCAAAGTTTCACGTGAGTTGTTACCATAGAATTTTAAAAATGCTTATAATATAATGGCACAACTATTTTTTTTTTAATATTTGAAGTTTAAATTTTTAAAATTAAAAAATTAATAAAATTTTAAAATTCTTAATCAAGAAAATGTTGTTAAAAATGTATTAATTAATGTTCAATTTTTATTGCGAAGGATTAAAAATTGAATTCAAAGTTTCTCATGAAAAGTTTATACTGTAAAAGAAAGATAAAAAAAGTATATATTATGTAGGTACCTAGTCAGTTTATTTTACAGCAATTTTTTCCAAGTTAAAATTTGAACAAAATAAGATATTTTAACGATGCATAACGAGTTTAGTTATTTTGTTTTAATGTAAAAATATAATGTGTATAAATAAAACGCTTTACGACGTTTACGTATATTATTATATTTTAAGCCTAATCACATTTTAAAGTCTAATGTTTTCAGCAAAAAATAATTCAATCTACTTTTTATTACTATAATATATAAGTAAAATAAATTAGTTTAATATCAGCATAAATACACCATAATATAATAATGTAATTTTAAATTTAGGTACTTGAAAAGTTTCAAGTAGATACTCACAAATATAATACATATTTCCGTGATTTGAAAAGTTACGTCAAAATTATACATATTACCTATGTATATTTAATATTTTTGAACTGCTATTATAACAAGTTATTAGGGAATATTGATGATAATATTATTGCTATCAATATTAATTATATTACAGATCTCTAGTTTTTGCAAAATAGAACAATCTTAATTATTCATCAGCCAACGCCTCGCATTTGAGCGGCCGCTCCTTAAAATCATTGTCAATACGCCACTGGGCCTTGTCTAATACAAGCCTAGCATCTTGCGCTTTGCTTCATTTCTTACCCTCCAACCAACTATGCGTGCATAATTTAATACAATTTACCTTGCCAAAAAAAGTTAATGATCTAACTTAAGTGTCCCAAATGTCTGAGTATATATATATATCTAATGTTGCACTGCCAAGTTCACAACGGTAAATACATACTATTTTAATTAGGATTAATATTAGCAGATATTGATCAGGCCCACGGTTATCTACTAAGGTTGGAGCACGGCACGTTATCACATGTACAAGTGGTGTGACTAGTGAACTAAAAGCGCTAGTAGTAGTCGACCCGACTTTTACATGTAATACATACAATAGATTGTAGTTTTGTACTTAAACAAAAAAGCAGTTAAGTTCTGTAAAAAATTGTTCTAAGTAAAAATGTTGAATGTTAAATTGTTCATTGGTTCAACTTGGTTTGAATTATTTAATTAACAGATAAGTCTGTAAATTAGGTTTTTATAAAATAAGCTTTTCTAATTTTTCTAGGTGTAACATATTTTTTAGAAAGATATGAGGGACCATAAAAAATAGTAGGAATGGCTCCTTCGACAAGTCTCCATTGTTTGTATGGAATCTAATATAAATTAAAAATAAATACTTTAGATGATAAAATCTAAAAAAAAAATCACAAATATTAGGTAACTTACTTTAACATCACCCGAAGACCAAAACTTTATTATGTGATTTTCATTAAAATGCTTGTCACAAACATATGTATTTTTCGTAAATACCAAATCTTTTCGAGGTATTGCTTTTGCCCACTTTATTCGGAGATCTTCATTTTTCGGCACACAAAATTGGTGAACTTTTTCAGTGTTACTCTTATACCCCGAAGTACACCCAACCACGCAACATTTGACCATTTTATAAATCTTTAATCTTATGCTACCAAGTATAGGTAATCTCGTAATTAAAACAAAGACACAAACGACACTAACACAAATACTCGAAAAAATAATAAATATCGAGGAATACTATCTGCTCGTTTTTGGAGGGAAAACGTGATATCAATTTTCTATCACAATACTCGCGTAATATTTTGTTTTTAAATACTTTATTATAGTAATTAAAAATTTAAAGTCATCTATTCTATAAAAATAAAATTCATTATTAAAATTAACTAACTTATTTATTAGAACACAATTGTTTATAAATATTAAATAAAAAAAAAAGTTGTTTGTCCTATTCATTATATATTAAAACCGGGCCAACTACTACTAGCGCTTTTAGTTCACTAGTTACGCCACTTCGACACGGCTATAACATGGGGAACATAGTAGCGAGCTCCAACCTTAGTAGATAACCGTGATCAGGCCCCTTTCACAAATTGTTGGTGTTTGTGGGATAACTTTCAAATTTCGTTAATTTTTCTTTTGGCCGGGGTTCAATTTGAACTTTTGAACTGTCAAATTCACAATGCTAAACACATGTGTTTAGAAACATTAGCAGACATAGTAAGATGCATATAACAATAATATATTATTTACATTTCAAATTTTGTTTAGAAAGATTTAATAACTGATAACAATATTGAGGATTATTTATTATATTATTTGAAATTTTTAATGATATGTTCTATATGTTTAAATAGTAGTTTATAATATATTTATTTAAGTACAGACGTATTTTATACATGCCTATATAATATACTATACATATTGCATGTACATTGTACGTGTTTACCTAAATGTTGATAAATATTATTTTAATTAAAATAATGTTTTTATTATTTAAACAAGTGGCATTTTCAGCTCTTAATAGTTTTATATCAGAATTTTTTTTTAACGAAATAATTGACTAACATCATTGTAAATAAATATCTTTAGTATAACTATTAATGTTCATATTTTCAGTTTATTAAATAAAATTTTTTTTAAATACAAGTTAAATGTTACTCAGTACAAAACAAAATCAACTACTAACAACATTGGCAAGTATCTTTCTTATATCTTTTTTAATCTTTGGATGGATAGTATTTTTTATTATAACGAAAACATATTAGAGCCGAGTTTAGATAAGTCGAATCTCAATGGGTATACAAATTAATTCGACTTAAAAATGTATCAAAAACAATATATCTTAAAAGTACCTCAAACAAAACTTATCGATATTTCAAAGGGCAAGAAAAAATCAAGTCATGGTGGTTTTCAAGTTACAACTGACCAACTATAGTTAAGATTTTATACATTAGGTATTTTAGTATTTAGATTTAATCTATAATCGTTTATATTATATAAAACAATAGCCAACTGTAGGCCCAAATTATATGGGGGTGTAATTTAGCAAATTGTTATTTATTATTCTAGACCGGCAAAACTTGTGAGTAAAAAAAATGCTGCCTGATTAGGAAGGCAATTAGTAATTACATAAAAAAAACGGTATCACGTGGGAATGAACTGAATAGGTTGTACTATATTATACTTAGGGGCGCGGGGTTGGGCATTTGCCCCCTGGAATTTAAATGGAATGTTAAACATTTTAACTTTTCATCGATATTTTTACTTAAGTATGTGAGGTTGTTGAGCTTAATAACAATATATTTTAAGGCGTATAAACTATAAAATAACGCGTAAAGATTTCCACCAGACGATTAATCGAGCGCGTCCCTATCTTCAATAACGTGTCATTTTCACTCAAAATTAAATTCTGTAAATCGCGATTAGTGGATAAACCACTTAAGACGACCTATGCACAATTACACACATACTTACACTACGTCTGTCACATAACTAAAAATAAACCGAATGTACAATATTATTACATTACTAGCAAGCATTACTAAAATTTATAATTTCTATGAAATTGAAAATATGTTAGCTAAAAGTGAAAGTTGTTATAGTTTATGGCAAAAAAAAGACTGCCAAAGTATGGACATAATAGATTTACTAGAACATAGCAAAATATTTTTCCCTGGCAATACAATATCATTAGAAATTTTTCTATCTTTACCAGCTACAAGTTGTGCAACCGACAGGTCATTTAGCACTTTATGGAGGATTAAAACTTGGCTTCGATCTACGACGGATGAAGACCGATTGAATAGACTATGTGTGTTAAGTGTCCATCGTGAAAGAGTTGATGTAAGAAAAGATAAATTAATTGAACAGTTAATAACAAGGTTTGCAATAGAACAACCACGAAGACTTCAGTTTTTATTTAATAACTACTCAATAGGTAGCATATAATTCTAGCACACATTGTAGTTTGCCGGGAATAAACTTTTTTAGTGTATTTTTTGGTGTTTGATTTCATTATGCCCCTCCCTAATAAATTTCCTGCGGACACCCATGATTAAACTACTACTGTTATAGATAAAAAAAACAAATTTTCACCACACAAAGCAGCATGGGCAGATACGTACTTTTTTTACCGGGATATATTTATTAGGGCCACATGTACCTAGAGCCTGTATATTGTGTATAAAAAAATTTAACTTCTTTTGAGTTTTATCGCTTGCACATTTACTTAACAAATCTTGAACCATTCTTTTCCTTTTTAAAGCCCACTTTCGAAATTTCGTTTAGACATAATTAATGACTATCATATATCTTATTTAATAAATTAAAACACAATTAGCAAAAAGCCAGTCACAATAGCCAACTAGGAAATGTAAAATAAAAATAATAAAACCTGATAAAATATTAAATAATACCATATAATACCTTTGGACAGGTACGGCAAATCCATGGTACAAGTGCCCGAGGTGACACGTGAAAAATTAAAATATTTTTATTAAAAACACAATTTTAAAACAAATAATTAACAAAATAATAATATTATAATTGTATGTACCTAATCTAACCTTATTTTTATACTAAAGATTAATTATACAATCAAATTACGATATTTTTTTTACCGTATCGAATATAACAAAATATTTTTCATGCATGCCCGAAAAAAGGTAATTTTTGGCACGTAGTGTTCAAAAGGTTTGCCACCTCTGCCATAGAGCATAAAGTAAGAATAGGTAATTTATATTATTGTATTTGCTTACTTTATAGTTTATAGTTTATACTGTTTATTAATGTTGAATGTTGATACAAGAGAAAATGATATTTTAGACATTTACATAAATACACATTGTTTAAAAATAGAACAAAAATCGAATTTATCCCGATACAAAGATATGTATATGTTACAGTTAAAGTGTTGAATTCCGTTATTTTATGAAATAACTTGGTAGTTCATGAATTACCTACGAATGTTAGTTAAAGTATGAAATAATATATGTTAATTGTACTTTAACTAGTTATTTCATAGAATATCTAGTTATTATATACAATTTCAGTTTGATATCCGTTAAAGTATAAAATACATTAAAATTTAAAGTACCTATATATTAAAATATTTTATTTTACTGAATTAATTATAGTTATATTATTTATTTATACTTGTTCATGTAAGGCTATTATGGCATTTAGAGTTGTACAATACTTATTTTTTCAACAAACATATCGCTTCGTGCCACATTTGGTACAAGTTCACTTAAAAAAACCCTGACCAGTTCCCAGTGACTGCGCAGTTGCCGCAGATCTTAATGTAATACTTTTATTTGGAACTTCTACAGCTAACAAATTTTCTTTACATACTGTGAACTGTGAACTGGGATCGAGAGTATAGTTGTAATAACACTCTTGTAATTATAATGTGTAGGTAGGTATCGAATAAATAAAAAATAAAAGGTTAGGTCAATCTTATCTGGTTTTGTTATATTAAATTGATGAAAATGTTAGAACTATATTTATTATATTTTGTTATTTACAATTTGACACATTAACGAAGTGATACTAGGGAATGTATAAAATAACTAGTTAAAGTATAAATTATATACATTACCTACAAGTTTTATTTATTTTATAAATTACCTAGTTATTTCATAAACGAACTGATTCAACACTTTAACTGTAACATATATAAACGTAAATAGTAGATACGTCATACTTAGTTACCACTAATCGAAAAATTAATTATTATTATGGTTGTTTATTTCTGTTATTCGAACATCGATTATATTTACTTATATTTACATTTAATACATTTTTTAGTTTTAGCACAATAGTGTAATAACAAAATAGATATATATTTATACGGGTATCAAAGAGTTTATACAGAGGCCCCTAGGCCGTAATGGAGTATACAAAATATATTACAAATATGCATTAATACTGTACAGCCGCCAGGGTGCCAGCCAGTATTATAAAAATTTACTTTTATATTAAAATTATTATTTTTTTTTAGTTTTTTGTAATTGGGGCCTCTGAGTATAATGGGGTGAGTATTTATGGGGCCCTACCGGAAGAATCCCGATTTTATGATGGGCCTATCCGCCCATGCAAAGAAGAGAACTTTGACTGTGAAATATCGTTTTTATTTTTTCAGGATCACTTACCAAAAAAATTAAACAATAGTAATTATATATGAGTAGTCATAAGGGAAAACAATTTTTTGTTTTTAACTATACTATTTATTTGTATTTCAAACTATTTACATATTACCTATAGCAAATAAAGGGAGACTCCCTGTTTTTTTTACTTTTAATGGAATTTACCGAGAAATGAGATATCACAACCAAGTGATTTTTATTCATAAAAAAGGGTTTATTAACATTTCACATGTTATGGCAAGTCATAAAGCATAATATTTAAAATCTTATGTCCTGATTTTGAGGTTATTTTTTTTATATCAACAAGTAATCAAATAGTATAAGTAAGTAATGGCTCCATGAAAAATGAACATTTACATACATAGAACATTTTCGTTCGCTAGTTTAAATAGTGTGCTGTTAGTTTTGATATTAGAATGATTTTCAACTATAAAAGTTGTAGGTATTATACTATTATCTATTCTTAAGCGTTGGCGGATTTTTGGATATTTCAATTTTCAAGCGTGATATGGGCATTTTTAATTTGTGTTATTTCATATACTCGTATCTTGCATGAAAATAAAAATATCGAAAATCCACCGACGCTTAAGCATAGATAATGTTCTTTCCTAAAAGTTTGATACTACTTAAATTCACTCTGATATCAAAACTAACGGCACACTATTCAAACTAGTGAACGAAAATTTGCTTTGTCATAAGTTGGTAAGACAGAGACAACAAACGCATGGGTAGTGTTTAAGTAGAAATATTGTACATTATACATTTTTTTAGTTGCCATTGATTACAAATGTTAAAATTTAACAATGGTTACGTAAAAAAGGTTGCATTTTTTTCGTCGGACACATTTTTTTTTAAAATATAACACATATTATTGTACCTACTAAAAGACAAATATTTTATTTGAGAGACAATTCAAGCTAAATTATTTAAAAGCAGATGTATGGTGACAATTCGTGAGCTAAACTGAAGGTTATTCGAGTGAGACCTTGTTTTTCGTAATCACAAACTCGTAATATAGTGATGATAATCAGGGCTCGGAGATTTATACATTTGCATATTTGTTCGGGAAGTAAATAGAATAAATCTGATGAGGTACAAATTTGTGTTGTGGTGTTATTTGGAGTTAAACCTTAAAAGTTTATTGTGCATATTTTTTGCATATTTTGGATTTTTTTTACACATGCATATTTTCAAAATTTATCGATTTTTATTGAATATTTTAGAATAGTTTTTGATTATTTACATGTAAATAAATTTTTTTAGTAAATTAGTTAATTAAAAATATTAATGTAAAATTTTCATTTTTGACGCGTTATAAAAATCTTATTTAGGAAACAAAATATGCGTTGGCACAGAAGAAGATGCTGAGTGTTAAAAAATCCAAAGACTTCCCATTCAACAGTTTGGCCTTTTTTTAAATAATGTACTATATAGTATGCTTAAGATATACATTTTTAGTAGTATGTACAAGATATGTTTTTTAAATTAAATTTCTACGGAATGCTACATACGAAGTTGCGTGTAGAATGTTTCTTAAAATATAATAGTAGTACTCGTATATCTAAATTAGTTTATTTAGGTATAGTTAAATTATATAGTAACTTGTTTTTTTTTTTAATTTTACAACCTAGGTTTTTTTATCAATATTTGCTGAAATCAAAGGATTTCAATGGAGAAAAAATAAAGAAAAGAAAGAAGCGAAATTACGAAAACAAAGAGCTGATAAAGAAATAGAAATGAAAGGAATTTGTAAAACCCTAAACGATTTCTATTATCAACATGCATTAAATCGAGAAACTACTAAATTTATTCATACCCCTGAAGGAAAAGGTTTAAAAAAGCGCTTACTCAAGAAAAAACCAATTAGAACCGAAAGTTGTGGTGACTCAAAGGACTATAATGAATTTACTATTTTCGTATTAAAAAAATCACCACCTGAGATGAGGCAACTACAATGTGATTTGATTAAACCTAAAATACAATCAGTATCCGATAAACAATGCAATTCATTTGAGGAATATTTAATTCAATTTGGTTTAAGAGTGTGCTATAATTTTTTTAAACATATTTTTAGTATAGGGAAAAAAAATGAAAGAAATTCCATTTTAAAAAAGTTGACTAAGTATCTTAAAAATTATATTATAAGACATGAGAAGGTCAAGGATGAGACTATCAAAAAGAAGGATACATCAAGAATTCGAGGAGTAATTAAATATTACTATAAAATACTCTGCAAGAAGATTATGCCACATTATAATTTATTTTTCACATTTTATAAGAAGTATTTAAAGTCTAAAGAAGGTAAGGGTTATAAAACTCCTGAATTAACTTGTGATTATTTTTCACGCATACCTAGAGAAAATATGAACATCGAGGACTAATCAAATGATCCTTAAATTATAGATCCACGTTTTAGTGAAAAAACGTTCACGTATCTAAGTAACAATGTATGCACCTATTTTTATATATTTAATTTTTTTTTGTTTTTAATCACATCCTTTACCAATCAATAATCATACTAAGCACATATTATTATAACCACACTTTTATTGTAAACCGAAAGAGTAAAATAGAGACAAGTAATTACATCATACTTTATTTATTACTTATATTATGTTGATGTTTTTTTATTTAGTGTCTTTATTATTGAATTAGTTAATATACATAAAAATTTGGTGATATTTTTATTTATTAGTTTAATACAATGAAATATAAAAATTACTACCTAACAGTTAATCAAAAATAAGAAGTGTAGGTACTTAAAAAAATTTTCTTTCTTTATCTAAGATTTGTAAATTTAATTCAAAATTCCTCATAATTTTATCTACTTTCCTCAAAAAAAAAAAATTCTCCTGGAAAGTCAAATAAAATTTTTATGAGTGTTTGAAGTTGAAATTTTGACAACATTAGTTATTTGCTCGATTTCTTATATGTAGCAATTTTTTTATTTTGTTCTAATTCAAAAACGAATTACTGTAGAAACTTGAATGTTACACCATATTGTGTTTATTGCATCAATTTATACCCTTGATAAAATTTTCAAAATATTTTGATTTGTTTTAAGAGGTCATTTTAAAATTTTTTTTATAAATGTTAATAAAATTGTATTTGTCGGGTCAAAAAGCGTGAACATTAAATACTAGGTTCCTGATATATTGTTTCAATATCAGTTGAAAAGTATTAAAAATACAAATTTAAGATTGTGTTTTTATAAGCATTTTAACTTTAAATTTCAAATTTTGACAACATTTATCAAATTTAAAAATGATTTTATATTTAAAAATGTATAAAATATTCAATTTATATAGCTAAGGATTGGAAATTTAAGACAAGGCTCCACCTAAGCAGTTTTTTTTAACAAAAAAATCTAAAGAATATATAAATAGGTACAGTTATTTTTACCGACATTTTAAGTTCAAATTAGGACTAAAATCTCATACTAACACAAATTATAACGATTTTTGTCATTTAAAATTTCATAATACGCTCCTTCACTAGTTATAAACCGAAAGAGTTCCTTGGGGTGTCCTTATGGTCGTCTATCAACACTTTGGTAACTGTCTTGATTAATAGAGTACAAACTGAACTCTGAAGTCTATATTAAACTTAGAAGTACACGTCATGTATTTACCAAATGTGGCACAAGATCATCAAGTTCGAGACAGACAAAATCGAAATGAACAATTTATAACTGAGTATACACATGGAGATCTTGACAGATAGAGTCACTAACTATTTTAATTTAATGTCAATATTTTTATTTCATTTTGTCTTAGAATTCCGGGTATGAATTCGTAAAAAAAATATCATACAACTATAGTAAGTTATAAGAATGTTAATTATTAGGGAACGACATTTATATGACTTTATATATTATATGACTGATATTTATGTTCAATAAAATTAAAATTTTAATTTGATTTATAAATAATATAACACTTTTTATTAGTGGTAAGAAATACTATTTTTTGAACATTTTTTTATTATAATTAAATTGTATTTAAATAAACAAGATTTTAATGACTTTTATATATTATATGACTGCTATTTATGTGTAATAACACTTTTTATTAGTATTAATATTATTTAAATACTATACTAACGAAAAATAGAATAAATTTGGTGAAAAATTGAATTGGGGGAAAAGGGAAAGGTACACGTATGGTAGAAACTGGCCACGCCCATCAAAAGAGCGACTCATCTGATTAGATAGAAAAAATCAAAAGTCAAAAGACAATATTAAAGGACAGACCAAAAACAGCGTCTTATGCGAAAAGGTATCTTAATAAACGAGTTTTACTGTATTGTAGTAAAATGATTTTTATGATTATTTATGATTATGAAATTTATTGAAAAATATTCCATAAATGTTGTCTTTATTCCAATTTTATTAAATTATTATTTTTCAATCTTGATTGGTTGTCATCAGCTGAGCGATGGTCTTCTAGCTACGATCTCGCGCGCATTTCTGGGTTGAACACTTCCATAGGTGGTCCGTTACTTTTAATTAACATTAAACTTGATACGTTTGAAATTAAAAGTGATGCCCTCAAATTTGTAATAATATTATTCATAAGGCTAAAACCTCTTTCGCACTCAGCTGTGGAACATGGTAATGATGCGATTATATTTAAAATGGGTTTAAAATTATCTGGTATCAGTTCATTGTTTTCTATAAAGGCTCTTAATCCTTGAACAGCTTGTACTTCATCAACATAAAAACGCCTACAAATTCTTCGTAATTCTAATTCTCCACACCTAATACTTCCACTACTCATAGTTTTTATGTTATTTAGATCTAGTGCTGAAATATCACTAAGTAATTGATAGTTCTCATCTTCTGACCTCGAACATAATCGAGTCGTCATTCTATCAACTATACTTTGGTTTTGATTTATAGCAACAATTTTTTTATTCGGAACAAGTTTAATCTTATTAAATAATAGTTTTGATTTAGAATTTAATACTATTTGTGTATATTCTCCTGGTTCTTGTTTAAAACTTTCAATTATTCTAATTGTTCTTTTTATTGACTGTTCAGCTTTTGGCAGCGTAATTGTTCGAGACTGTAATTCATTCGATAACATTGAAAGTTCTTGAAGTACATCATACATAACACCTAGATCTAAAATGAATTCTGGACTTTCAAGTCTCTTTTTCAAACCAATAAATACAGCAATTGTATTTTTATCATTACTTTGGTCATCACAAGAATTTTTGAAATGAGAATGAAGGGCAGCAAATGACTTCCAAACTACTCTTACTGTCCTTAAATTGCTGGATACCCATCGAGTACTAAGTACATGACCTATTTTATTAAACTGCAGTTTTAGATCTTGGCAACAACTTTCCAGAGCACGAGAATGTTTTGGTGATTGATTGTACAAACTATATAACTTATCTATAAAGCATTTAAAATGGTCAATTCCTCGTACGTCTTTTATTGTATCGGATACTGATAGTTCAAGCCTATGATTAAAGCAATGCCAAGTAAAGAGTTTTGGATATTTCTCACGTAATCGAGTTACTACACCTGAATTTTTACCAACCATAACACTAGCTTCATCTGTAGCTATAGCCACCCAATTTTTTTGTTAGTATTTTTCATGTAAACCATTTGATTTCAATGTGTATAAAAGTTGTTTTTCTATTTGTTCAGCATCTTGTGATTGTAATTCACATAAATCCAAGAATACATATTCAGGATTATTTCCACCTAAATAAGTTTTCAAATAAACTACCAAAGTAGTTTTATTACTTAAGCTAGTAGATTCGTCAATAAGAATACTTAATTTTGAGTTTAAAGTGATAATCCTAGATATTAATTGTTTTCTCATTATATTCGATATGTGATTTATTATATTTGTTGAGGAATATCTAGAATGAAGTATTATACCTCTAGATTTACACCATTTATTTCTTGTAATTTAATTAAATCATCGTGATCAGAAAACGGTCTAGTTTGCATGTTGTCTGTTCGTGATCGACAATACTTTTTTGCATAGACACTTCGATGGATTTTTCTTTTCCTTCTTTATTTATTTTGTCAGCAAGTTGGTGCCCTTCAGATGCATAGTGTTTTTTAATTTTGGTACGAAGATTTGATAGTTGGCTGGTATGATCTTTCCCAGAAGCCTCAATTAAACCATTACTCCACTCTTTAGAAATCCGTAATCTTTCTTTCTTTGAAGCCCCCAAGCATGTTATAGACGAACAAATACAGGGACGGATTGGGATCAAAATTCGGCCCGGGAAATTATAAACAAGGAGGCCCATTAGTATTGACCAATATATTATAAACTTACCAAAATTCTTAGTAATTTATTATAAAACAATATTTTAAAATTATTTTTTTCATTACAAATTTTAAACAGTTTCAACTTAAAACATTAGACTTTTATACAGCAAATCACTTTGTTGAGAGACTACTTTAATGATTTCATCGTGGTCTAGAGAAGCCAATTTTTCTTTTTCTACACCCATCATCATAAAAGCTTCAAGCTTTGAATCAGTTAACTGACTACGGAGTCTTGTTTTAATATTTTTTAGTTGTGAAAATGATCTTTCGCATGTGACTTGTGTTGAAGGTAAGGTCAGTACATATTTATATGCAAGATATAGATTTGAGTATGTTTGACAATATAAGTTATATTTCGTTAAAACAGTGTAACAGCACAAAAAACAGTTTTTACAACTCTTACAAAGTGTTGTTGAATCATTGTCATTTGTTTGTGTGTCTACTAATACTTCTTCATCTTCTTCTTCATTATTATTTTTCATATAAATAGTTGCATAGGTTTCAGGGATACTTTTTTTTAATTTGTTCCAATTCTCTGCAAAACTTTTAAGTTCATTTTTAATATTTTCATTTGAAGCATTTTTATTAAACTGTTGAAGTTTGTTACTTAAAGTGGTTAATGCAATATTAGATAGTCCTTGTTCAGTTATTTCTTTAAAGTTTGTAGGTGAAAGGCATGATAAATCAGTATATAAGTCTCGATGTTTTAGAAACCTTCTTCTCATACTTTCTACAATAGTATCTAGAATTTTATTATGTACATCAACGGTAAATTTTTGAAGTTGATTATTAATTATATAATCTTCCACCATCTCTCCTGGCAATATTTTGCGTTTCCGGCTTCTAATTCTGGGGAAATGTTCTTCAACAACTATATCCAAATTAAATTTGTTCAATTCAGATTTAATCTGTTGAACAAAAACATCCCCACTCAATTTTACTCCATCCATATCTCTTTGAATTTCAATAAGTTTTTCTAAAGCTGTGTCAACTAATTCTTGAGATTTTAAAAGATCCATTTCTTTAGTCTGTAGATATTTAGAAAGTGGACCAGTTATACTAAAAATTCTAATATAAATAAATGCTGTAAGTATAGTAGAATATTTCAGAAGGGACGTTCTCATATGATCAGCTTTAACTTTAATGTCCGGTTTGAAATTATCACTATTAATTACATCACTCAATGCCAATATTACTTCTATGTACATGCCTTTAGACGGATCATTAATCTTTCCAAATATTCTATTAAGAGCAATTTCTTTTCCCCACCAACGAGTTTCACCAATTGATTGCAAACGACGATTGCTTGTACATCTTTTAGTAAAATATTCCATGCGTTTATATGATTCTTTAAAAAAAATGGCCAAGCTATTCAATAAGGTAAATAATGCTGCTGCGGGTAAAGGTGATTTTGATGCGTCAGACATTACTAAGTTGAGAACATGACTGTAACACCACACATGTACTTGGTTAGGTGCTGTTTCATTTAACCATGCATTAAAACCGTTATATTCACCCTGCATATTTGCTGCACCATCTGTGGCATTTGCCACACAATTTTTTACATTAATATCATTTGATTTTAAAACATCCTTAAGTAATTGACACATACCTTGACCTGTTGTATCTGTACAATTTATCAATGAAATTAACCTTTCATGCACACTATTGTTGCCAACATATCTGATAACAATTGCACATTGATCTTTAGCAGCGATGTCTTGTGTAGTATCTAGCATAACTGAATACATTTGAGCTTTGTTCACATCTTCGCTGATTGATTTTTTGATTAACGAAGATATTGCTGAAATTACATAATCTACTGTAGTTTTTGAAATAAATGTAAGAGAATTTCCTCTTCCTTTACTACCAGCTTTATTCGCTTTTATACTTTTTTGAGTAACTGTATCTAAATGATCTTTAATGACTGAGTCATAATTACTTAAGAATAACAATAACTCCAAAAAGTTTCCATGATCATGCAAATTATTTAAAGAATAAGCTGCCTCAAACTTATTACCTCTATAGCTTAATCCACGTTTGCCAATAAATATTACACTATCTATTATCCTTTTAAAAACCTCTCTATTCTTTTTAACTTCTTCCTTTCTTTTGTCTTTTTGCACAGAAAATAATAAAGTGTTAATGTCACGTTTTTGAGTAAATAAAAGATATGATTCAACACAGTGGTTGTGAATTTTGCTTCCTTCATGTTCATTGATACGTTGATAAACATACTTCCAAGAACTCATACCTGTTGTAAATGAGTTACTTTCATTGGAAAATGTTAGACACAAGAAACAGAATAACTGTTTAGAATTACTATTATAAGTCAACCACATGCGCTGTACTCCATCACTTCTAAAAAAAGTTTTTTGAAAATTAAATGGAGTTGACAAATTCATTTTTGGTAACAGTGGATGACTTTTTAAAAATGTTTCCATTCCATGTTGTGTTGGTTTTTTGAAGAGATCTAAAAGAATATCCAATTAAATCAACTAATGATAAACAGTTCATAAAACATTTTTTTTAGTATTCCTTAAAATAATATATAATAATGAAATTGTATATACCATCATCCACTGTACGTGGCAACATTTCTTCCACCACTGTACTCAGGTCCAGGTGTTCTCTTAAACATGAACTATCACCTTGAAGCTCCTACACCAGAATATGTTAATATTAATATTTTGTATATAAAACATTTTAATTAATGTGTGCAAACAAATAGGTAGCAATGGCAAACGTTAAGGTTTTTTTATTATTAATTAATTGGTTTCAATTCACACAACTAATCAAATTAATACATACTGCAGTTGTTTTCAATGTTTCATTCAGGCTACTTCCAACGGTTGAAGGATCTAGTTTTTTACTAGATTCCTTGACAATATCTAACAAAAAAAATTTTATATTTAAAAATAAATATATAATATTACATTTGTATTTAATAAGTAATGTGATGATTTGAGCAAGCCCTCATTCCACATTACATTAAATTAAATGCATTTATTTCTTAGCTAAGCATTTAAAATATTGTAAGGCTTTATACATTTTATTTAAAACTGTATAATCAAATTGTAAGAACTCAACTGTTTACTTAAGTGAAGTTTATGATAGTTGATAATCGTTTATTAATTATAATATAAGTATATTTTGTTTAACTTACCTAATAATACATTTTCTGAAACATTACTCGTACTTGTTAACGATATATTATTTGTAGATTTAGATTTTGAAAACAGTTCCATAATTTTTAAACACTTATTACTGGAGTTCAATAACAATTTTTTATTATTGTCGCGACGTTTTTCAGCGCCTCCCTTTCGTTTTCCGGAACTAGACATATTATTATTTAAATAAATATCACTATATCTGCAGTAGTCAGTAAATTAAACACATAAGAGCATAAGGCTAAAATACTTGTAGTCACTAGTCAGTACTGTATCAACTTTCAGTAACGTGATACTGTGAATAGTGGTCTGCGACGTGCGAGTACTATCCTACCAAGTATCTTATAATATACAATATTGTTAGTTGCTGCCTGCTTGTAGGCGATGCGGTGCGTACAGCGATAAGCATACGGGCGTCGTCGGGAGGCTATGAAAAACCATTCTATTTTTAGATAATTTTACTTTAAAATTCTTAGATTCTTAACCTGATCGAAAGTGGCATATACACATATATAGTCCTATAATGTTAATACTTATTTTTATTTATTACTGCTATAACCAAAAGAACCGGCACTAAAAGAAGAGCTCATTTTTATTTTCGAATCTCCTGACGAGATAATTATATTACAATATTATAGTTAATAATATTGAATTATAAATGTAGACAGCGGCCCACCGGGAATTTTCCAATTTCCCGGTGGGCCAATCCGTCCCTGAACAAATATTACATCCTAATTTTCCATCTGCACTAACAATCCACGGATATTTTTCTTTAAATTCGATCCATTGAGACTCATTCCATACCATTGGCCATTTTTTGCTTTCGAAAGTTTCGATATTACTGTTACTACTACTAGGACTCACTAACGTTACATTATCGGTGGTTTTAGATATTTCTAGTAAAATAATATCATTATTTTTTTTTATTTTATTCGAAGGGTTTTCATTATTTTCCAATTTTCTTTTTCTGTCTTATAAACTTCCCGTTTTTAACCAACTATCCATATTATAACTGGTTATTAAAATAGATTTGCAAATAAAATAAACACGTACCTTTTTATTGATCGACTGGACATAACTTATACACAGATATGATAAACGAATCACTTTCAACGGCAAAATGAAAAATGAACGAATGCATACGCTACACAGTACACAGTATTGAGTATACAGTACACACAATACATACGGTAATGTGCGACGGCTGGATATTTTATTTTTATCTTAAATACAGAAATTACAGCACTAATGTTATTTGATTGTTATATTATCTAATCTACAGTTCATTGCCGTCAATCGCCAAATACAGTAGAATCTCGATTATCCGTGACTCGATTATCCGTGTTTGCGATTAACCGTGCTCACTCTTCCGAAAATTTAAAAATAAGTATGGACTGTAGATATACATGTAGTTATAATCGAAAATTTTATAGAAGTGAAGTAAGGAAAATTATTTCAAACCAAAAAAAACGAAGACTGATAACTTCACATTTTAAGCCCTAATAATTTGTTGTATACAATATTATGGATGTATGTATAACATTATTATATGTATACGTCTTCTTATGTATATTTCTAATTATAATTGAATCAACATTCTTAAAATTTCATTATTATAAAATTGTACCTATGTATTTCTAATTATAATTAAATAAAAAATTTCATTATTATGAAAAGTCTTGATTAACCGTGATTTTCATTTATCCGTGTGACCCCCTCCCCATCATTACCCCGGATAATCGAGGTTCCACTGTATATATAATATATATTTAATTATACAGGGTGTTTCTGAAGTGTGTGAGGTAATTAGTATACGCATACTCACTGTGATGCCACAATGAAGATTTTTTTTCTAACTTCAAAATCTGGATTTTTTAAATTTATTTTTAGAATATTATCTTGAATGTAAAAATAAACACTCTAGTCGTATTTTTTGCAAAATTCTCACGCGAATCGAGATATCGCATCATTTTTGCGCTTGTCAAGCGTTTTTCGCGCTCGAATCGCCAACTAAAAAAAGAGTCGTGCGACACATCGATTTGTATGAGAATACTGCAAGATAATCAGTGGTGATAATTATTTGTTGTCATTGATAATACACGATTATTTAACGCATTGTTTTACATTGTCGACTAATAAAAAATATGAAATAATAACAAAATTAGGGTTAACAGAGTTTTAAACGATCAAATTTACTAGCATACATTTGTGTCATACCTTTATTAAATAACTTTTAACTTTATAAAGTTATAATAGTTAGAGATAAAAAAAAACTACCTATTTGTGTGTTTATACTGAAATTCCAGTTTTTGGATATCATAGTACTTAACATGCTTATTTTGACTCTATAAGATAAACATTTTATATATAAATTATGTTTTATACAAATTGTCTAACTTAACATTCTTAGTTTTTCTATCAAAAATTTTTATAATAATCTAATGACTTTTATCTTTATATTATTTGTTAATTTCACTACAACAGAGAGTATACGACTTTAATCAGAAGGTATACGGAGTTTATTAGAAATAACCAGAAAGTATACGGCGTATACCGCCGTATACCATCCACTACAGCACTGGATATTTTATATTGTTATTACTTATTATTTATATGGTAGTCGGTAAGTCGAATTAATATTATTCTTAAATTATCAGTTATGCTGGAAAAATATTAAACATAGGTACCTATGTAAAATTTTGATGTTTTGGAACCCAATTACGACAAAATGATACACGTTATTCTTTATGTTAATATGCAATTTCGTCTAAATTTTAACTAAAAATGCCTGTAAAAAATAACTGTACTCATATATTTTTTAGATTTATTAGTCATGGAAAAAACTGCTTAAGTGGAACCTTGTTTTAAATTTTCAATCCTTAGCTATAAAAATTGAAAATTTTATATATTTTTAACTACAAAATCATTTTCAATTTTCAATTTGATAAATATTGTCAAAATTTGAACTTTAACATTTAAATGCTTATAAAAAAATCATGCCTATGTATTTTTAATATTTTGTAACGAGTTATCAAGAATCTTGTATTAAATTGTCATGCTTTTTAACCCAACCAATACAATTTTATTGACTTTTATAAAAAAAAAAATTAAAGAAAAAGAAAATTGAAAATGTCCATCACCAGCTTATAACGAGTCAAAATAATTTGAAAATTTTATCAAGTATATAAATTGTTGAAATAAACATTTGGTGTAAATTTAGTATAAATTCAAGCCTGGGCATAAACGAGTTAAAAAGTTAAAGTTAAATTAATTTTAACTTTTTTAAATTAAATTTGCAATAACTTAATTTTTTAATTTAACTTATTTTAATTAAAATAAATAAGGAGTTACTTTTAATCAGATTCAAGTTAATTTAATTTATGAATAAGTAAATAAATAAATATAACAAAATTATTATTGATGAATGATGATACATATTACACAACCATTTACTAGAATAGGAAATTAAAAATATAAGTATATCTCAAATATTCAAGAAAAATAACTTAATTAAATATGTATATATAGCCATATAGGTGTATCGTATAACATATAAAGGTATATTATACCATACTGCGGCATACGGACATACTGTAATAATAACAATAATAATAATTAATAAATACCAATAACTAATAAGTAATATGATATTATATTATTATATTGATAAGAAAATTAAGATACAAATCAGTAATCACAAATGTACAATTCTTAATAATATATTATATAATATAAATAAGTTATTTTTAAATTAAACCAATTGGGTCATTGCTCGTATAGTCGTATATATTAGAATTAATATTTTAAATGTTTAAGTTTATAAACAGCCAATATAATCTTCAAGCCGAAAGGTGTGCAAAAATACATAACATCCTATTATTATTATTTATTATTATAAACAAACGCAAACAATAAACGGGGCTTACTAAAAAGATACCTTGCGATCGACGTCTAATTACTCGGCGGAGAGTGGTTGAATAAAATTTTGTTCCATGCAAGTTACTACTATATTATACTAATAATTATTTACTACTTACACAACGACAAGGCAAATTGCTGGATGTATAAGGAGTTGCCTATAAAATGTTCCTTGGAATCCAATAGCATGGAGGCCCCTTAACGTAAATATATATGTGCTTGTTCAAAATTTCAAACATCCGATGATCAGAGTGTCATACTGCTGTGACTCTTGACATTCAGATATTTTATCAAACCAATAGGCATACTGGAAATCTAAAAGGTAACTGAATTGTATGATTTAATTTTTTTTGAATCAGGTAGTCTAAATTCGTTTAGGTTCATATAGTTTACACTATACCTGTTCAAATCTTTGGAATCCTAGGACAAGTGATAAAATCATTAAACCTTATATCTGGGTGGAAAGATGTCGAGACTTATTTGCAAGCCAGTAATCTGTGCAGTGCTATATTAGAAGGGGAATTTATTATTTTTATGCTTATAGTGGCTAAATGCTTTAGTTTTGATCTTCCTTGACCTTGGCGAAGCGATCCAATTAGTGGAGGATACAGTAAAAGAACTTGAAGGTTTTCGAAAAAATGCTGATTCTATAATCCAAGATATTTTTGAAAATGCCGTTTGACTTGATAATACATTTGGTGTTACTATGCGTATCCCTATAATTATAAAAAGACAAAGAAACCGTGTAAATGTTGAAACAGATTCAATAGAAGTATACCTACTATAGAATCGCTATATTTATACCTTATACTGAAACATTTATTGAACAATTAAAAGCTCGATTTACCAGTCATAAAGCTATTTTAGTTAATTTTAATTCACTCATAAGTCTTAATACTGATGAAACAATTTTTTGTCATCAGTCGAAACAAACATGGAAGATCTTTGTTCATCCTCCAAGACAGTATTATTATCGAAGTATATAATTTGTGGGAAATACGACTGAGAAATGTTGAAACAAATAACTATAGAAATGCAATGGAAGCTTTGTCTCTATGTAATCCTGAAATATACCCAAATATTTTTAATTATTAACAATTTTTGCGACACTACCAGTTACAACTGCATAAAACGAAAGATCCTTTTCATCACTTAAAAAGATAAAAACTTACATACATAATTCTATGGGGCAAGTAAGTTTATTATTTTTTAACTAAGTCTAAATTATACTAATAAAATAAAATTGATAAATAATTGTTTTATTTAGGAAAGGCTAAATGGGTTAGCCATGCCATCAATAAATCGGAAGGATCGTATTAAAAGTAAGCAAGTATTGGACGAATTGGTAGTAAAAAATTACGTCTACCTTATATTGTGAGGTTAAAGCATAACAATGTTAGTATTTTTTTCTTTTATTATATATGATAATATATTAGTACACAAAATAAATTAAACTTATACGAAAAAATACTCAGTAAGTTTTTGTGTAAGATTGGTTTTATTTGATTCATTAAAATTTGTTTATACTTCATTCCTGTCATAATTTTACTATAACTAACAATTTAAGTAGCAATCCCTAGGTTTTTTTACAGAAAAAATTACTTCTTATATGAGGTTTTAAGATGTATTATAATCGGGTATGAATTGGTGATGAAACTATGTTAATATTTGTGGAGATAAACTGCATAGGCGTGCGCAGAGTTTCAAGTCGGGGGCAGCAAATATTTTAACCGGCCCATACATGTGCCAAGTTGGGTGTAAAGTTAACATTTTTAAGCTCAAAATCAAAATTTAACCTTTGACCTTTAAATAAAACTATTTTAAACGATAATCATTGATTAATCATAGATTGTTTTTGCTCAACACCGGTATACCATATCAAAATTAACAATACATCAAATATTAATATTATTCTTTATTATTATAATACAAGCCGACGTTTAATTGGGAATGAGTGTTTAAATTCATCAATCACACTATTTACATCAACACTATTAGTTAGTTCTTGTTCAACAAATAAAAAAAGTAAAGCATTTAATCTTTCTTGGCCAATAGTATTCCTTAACTTGTTCTTGACAATAGTTAATTTCGAAAACGTACGCTCACAAGTACAGCTCGTAACAGGAATGATTGTAAACATCTTAAGACAACAAAAAAATTGCTTGAAAATGGAAGATCTATCATACTGACTTAACCAATCAAGCCAATTAAACACTGAAACAGAATTTGTTCCCTTTGGTGTTTTAGTTTTAATAGCACTTAAAATTTTAACTTCAGCGCGCAATTCTTCAGTTAAAATACCAAAATATTTAGATAATAAATCATAACTTGTAGTTTCTATCTCAGTGCTTAAATTTGTCAACATTCCAACAGCATGTATTAAGTCTAATGTATCTTGTTTAAATCTAGTGTCTAATCCTTGACATAGTGTGTCCAAAGTATAATAAAATACCAGCACTCTGAGTTCATCATATTTGGTTTCAAATAAATGTTGATTTTTATTATCATCTAATTTTCTTGGTATAGTTTTTTTTTTCACTGTTGGAATTTCTATATTTATTTCTTTGCACATTTTTTCTGTATTTTCAAAAATAAGTTGATAATCAATAGGAGAGTTTCTTAATGAATTTAAAGACACTTTTAAAGATTTTATAGATTCAATTGCAGTTAATAATTCCAAGTTTGGCGTTTGTAAAAAAGAACTTACTTTTAATACAATTTGCAAAATGGGGTGCATCATATTTAAGCAAAATATAAAGTTAAAACTTTTTAGTTGATATAAGAGGCCTTGACCTTTGGCTCTCATTTCAGGTACTGAACAATTAGAAATTATTTCTTTTAAAGTTCTAAGTAATACCAAATAATTATTTTTAATAGCACTTACGGCTTCTGCTCGACATGCCCATCTGGTCGTTGAACATGATTTTAACGTTTGTACAGATTCACCATTTTCTTTTGATATTTTTTCAAACACAGCATGTCGCATTGGACTACCTTCAATAAACGAGTAAACAAACTGGACAGTGCCCAGAAAGTTAAATACAGTTCTATCTTTCTTAACATCTCTTTTACTATTAGAACTAGCGCATATAGAATCAATTAATGATAAGTTTAAACAGTGTGCATAACAATGCACATATAAAATATTACTATTCTTTTCTTTGCATTTTGCTTGAACTCCTCCAATATTCCCTGCCATTGTTGATGCACCATCAAAACATACTGAAAGTACTGAAGTCCATTGTAACCCTAATTCAATAGTTAGAACATCATCTACAGTTTGAAAAATTGAATTAGCAGTAACAGAAATCATCCTTTTTAATGTTATAAAACTTTCAACTGGCCGATAAGTTGCAGAATCAAAATAACGAACAACTATTGACAATTGTTCTTCATGTCCAATGTCACTTGTTTCGTCAGCAATAATTGAAACATAAGAATTTTGTAAATTACTCTGAATTTTTTTCAATAAAACTTTATGTATTGAAAATATTATGTCATTTTGAATTCTGTTGCTAATATATTGAGCATTTTTAGGTCCAAAATTTACATGGTTTTTCAAAACATTATCATATTTAACTAATAAGTTGACTAATTCTCTGAAGAGACCTTGCTGGTGACCATCATTTTTTTCGTTATGGCCACGAAATGGTCGTCCTCCTTTAGCAAGACATATTGTAATATTTATTAATCGTTCCATAATTTTACGATTATTAGACTGTTCAATCTCACGTTTTTGCACAACTAATTTCATGTTAGAATCTATTATTTCATCAATAGATTTAGAATTTAAAAATTCAGATAATGATTTAGCGCTGTTAATATGAGCTTTTGATTGTTGATGTTTTTTAAACCTATCTATAGCTCTATACCAATTTTTAAAACCAATTTTAGAAAAAACATATTCTAATTGACTTGAGTTTCCCTCATTACCAGAAAAACAACGACAAGGAAAACAAAATACTGTGTCAGCTACAATACTATATTCAAGCCATTTGAATTCTTTATACCAACCTTCTTGAAATGACCGGAAATATTGTCCTTGTTTAGTTCTTGGGAATAATGACAAAACTGGACGATAAGGCCCTTTGAGTATTCTTTCTTTCAGTTCAAGTCTGTTGGTAGGTAGACAATGAATTGGATCGTTTATGTTAGAAGTTTCACCTTAAGTATAACATTTTTACTTAATTTAATACATTCATTTTTTAATATTTCATTCTGTATTTAATATTTTAATATTTTTTCCAATAATAATTTAAAAATTATTTATATTTACCTGTAGATTCTGCTTCTAATTGTTTCACAAAAGAATTTGTTAATGATAAATTGTCATTTTCTACAGTAGCCTGATCAGTTTTTATACTATGTTTAGCGACTTCAGCACCAGTATGTATAAATATCTCTCCAACTATATAAAAAATGTATGATATAAGTACTTGTATTAATTTAACATTTTAATATTTTTCCAATAATAATTTAAAAAATATTTATTTTTACCTGTAGATTCTGTTTCTAATTGTTTCACAAAAGAATTTGTTAATGATAAATTGTCATTTTCTACAGTAGCCTGATCAGTTTTTATACTATGTTCAGTGACTTCAGTACTTGATCCTTTAAAATAGTTAATAAATTATAAACCAAAATCAGATTGTATAAAAAAACCAAACCGAATTACTTATTTTATTATAATACTTAGATATACATGGGTACATTGTGCATATTTTAATAATATTCAATACTAAATTTGTTTACATAGTTAGTAGGTACCTATTAATTATAATTTATAAAAGATATTCAAATACAAACAATTTAAACAAAAATTGAATTTGTATGCTAACAAATAAATGTACTTTATAAACTATATATAGGTATCTATTATGATTATTTGTAAAATGTAAATAATTTAAATTGTATGTACACAAATCGAGATTAAGTAAAAAGTTTATGATGGTATTTATCATCAAATAGTAGGTATAAATTAATAAGTACCTACCGATACACTTATTGTTAATTATTAAATTATTATTAATTTTATTTCATTTTATAAATTATATTAATTATTACCAGTAGATTCTGTAAGCTCCTTATTTGATGAGTTGTGTGTATCATTTTTTACTTTGAAAAAATCATACATTTTGGTACATTTTTCTCCTACTGATGCCAAAAGTTTCATTTTTTTCTCTCGGATTTTCTCTGCACCACCTTTACGTTTATTTGAATTCATTTGAATTATATTTTTAACAACTAATATTATTCAAGTTTAAAATGATTCAAAATAATTAAAATTGCACTGTTAAAACTGTTAAACGTATGGTTAAGACAACAAAACTACAAAACAATGTTGCATAAATGCGTGATATTATACGCGACTGCCGACTAGTGAAGACTAGACGAGTATGCATCAACAACAATCAACAGCAAACGTGATAATGACAAATCGAATGTAATAAAGTATTAATAGAATGAGGGAGTGATGGTGAGGGAGAGGGACAGTGGTAAATTGATAATGAAATTATTAATAGTATCTGTGTACTGCATCGTTATGACGGAACACGGGAATCATGTTTATTTTTAGTTTACATTTTTCAATAAATTATACTATTGTCTATTACTATATAGATAAATTCTCATACTATGCATTTATGCACATGTCTGGTGCCACATGATAGTATACATCTGTAATTAACAATGGTCATTGGTCATAGAATACTGTAGAAGTCTGTTGTCGCTGTGTTTTTTTGTCTTTTTGGATAACCAACTCATTTTTTATTGAGCATTACCGGTGTGGTGGCCCATCTTGGACCAGTTCGGCCCATACAAATATATTCAAACCGTTCAGGGGCAGCAAGAGCACACCTTGCTGCCCCTGTGCGCACGCCTATGAGATAAAGCATTGCCAGGAGTCAGGACACCTCCCAAAATACGCCCCTGCATACTCATATATAGGGTGTTTCATAAAGAACATAGTTTTTAAATTTTATGCAATTTTTGTTGTTAGGTTGGTGCCTGGTGGCATTGTTCTTGTAATTTTATTACCTACATGGATGTTGATGTTTATAAGGATTGATCAATATATTGTGTAGGTATTTTGTTTATTTCTCGTTATGGAGCGGTATACAATGAAGCAACGTGTTTTACCAATTAAAACCCATCATAAGTAGTTCTGTGGTAGGTGGTAACTGCCGGTAGGAAACTTCGTACAATTCTCGGACAAAGTGAAGCATTGACTACAGCTACAATAATGAGGCTGGTCAGTAAATTTGAATAGACAGAATCAACTACATTAAAAATTAAAAACTAAGTTCTTTATGAAAACACCTTATATATACATGCATATAAGTACATGTTTATAAACATAATTCAATACTACTAGTCTGGATGGTGGTGCGTTATTATTGTATTGGTAAAAATATACGCTGGTATACGCTTTTTTGACGCGGTTAAATCTTAAATGTCAATGATGGTATACCTATAGGCGGAAAAAAAATCACAGAAAAACAAACACAAGAAAAAAATCTCAACGGAATAAACACACCACGGAAATAAAGTCTATGCTAGTGCCATAAAATAATAATATTTTATATTTTAAAAATATTTTGTTGATTAAAATTTGAAAAAAAACATAATATAATAATAGGTACTTAATAGTACATAATATAGATAACAGATAATAATAAGTAATAACTAATGGCCTAGTAGGTATAGCAGCTGATGTACTAAGATGAATAATTTTAAAAAAGTAGGTCAATTAATGTGTATTCATTCCCATTGTATTAAACTTCAACAACGAACAAATATTATGGGTACTACCTACCACCTGTTATACATTGACTTATTATATTATTATTTTTATAGTTTTGTTATTTTAGTATAAATGTAGTTTATAATTAAGGCTGGTGTATTTTGATTGCAGGTTCTATATTATATCATAACCTACCTAATGACTCAATATAAGTATATAACACAATTTATAATTATAAATTATAACTTAATATACCTATTATGAATACATCATACATATGTTCATATTTATATTTACATTTTTTATTTGGAGAGAGGAGACTTTTTTATGTGGTGTTTATTTTTTTTTGGCTTTTTTCCGTGGGCTTTTTTTCGCAATTTGGTAATCTTAACATTAAGTGAAAAAAAAAATTTTTCTCGTTTCACTCCAATTCACTTACAAGTTACAACCATTATTATAAGTATCAGATTAGAACTATTAAATTATTTTTCAACACCTAAGGAAAACAATGAAACCACACAACGACTTTTTATTTTAAATATAGTAAATATAAATAGTAAATATAGTATAATAATACTCTTAAAATAAAATGTACTATGACCTTTGAAATTAAAATTGTCAAAATATGCACCAAAAATGTTGAATAGGTATTTGACCTCAAATGTTGTGAATTGTATTTTGTTACTCACATTCACAAAATTAATTTTAATTAACATTCTTATAAATTAAAGATTCAAAATTGAGGTACAAAGAATATATATATACTTATACTTGTACCTGTATGGCTGCATATATAACAGCCACATTAGTGGCACTCGTTTCGCCCAGATACCCGTCTCGACCAAAGCCATTTTAGTCATTTTTAAATAATATAATTTATTTATTATTGTTAACTATTTAAAAAGAAAAGCATTGCACAAATTACATTATATTATTTTTTACTAAAATGTTTGTAAAATGTCATAGCAAAAGATTTAAAAAAAATACATATTCAATCATGCATTATTACAGTTATAATACAAATGAGTAATGACCAATTAATATTGTCTACTAAAAACTATTTTAAAATAATAGGTTATATAATAATATAATATATTAGACTAGTAATTATAATATATTGTCGCGATCACATACCTACTATCTTCCGATAACATTTATACACCTTTATATTTCACTATCCAATTAATGACACGTTAGTCGACTGAAGGAGTTTCCACATTATTATAACAGTTACCTACATGACGTCGAAGCTAGAAGTCGCTAGTTATTGAGTTTCAAGTTGTGGACAGTTTTAGTTTAAAATATTTGCTTAAATCAATATTTAACGATGGCTATGTATGTAAAAAGTAAGCGAAAATACGAGATAAAGACACGGTAGCTTTTAATAAATATGAATACATATTCGATTCAAACATTTTAAGCTCTGATGGAATTTGTTTGCGTACGTATTCAGCTTTACATTATACAAGTGCAATTCTAAAGTGGTGAATGAAGAGGATATTTTAAATACTGACATGGTCTTAAAAATGGTTATTATAAACCATTAATATTTATTTTACTTCCGGACAAAAAATACGAAATTTATGAGTATACGTTTAAATAAATAGTAAATAAATGCAAAGAATTAAGTCTAGTTATTCTACCAAAATGTGTTACTATTGACTTTAAAAATGCAATTTATTTAGCAGTCAATGAAGTTTGGCCTTCATCGCGAATAATTGGTTGTCGTTTTCACCTGACACAAGCTCGGTATAGGAACGTTAAAAATATGGTTTAAGAACTGAATACCAAAATAATTAGAGTATTGGCAATTATAATAGCTAGGATTGTAATGACCTAAAAATACACGAAAATGCACTAAAAAAATGCAAAAATGACCTAAAAACTCTAAAAAATTAACTTCAAACATGACCGAAAAGTGTACTTAGATGTGAGCGAAAACAATTTAATTTTGCAATAAATTTTATTATTAATTATTAATTATTATTTATTCATTCTTTATATTACACAAAAAACGTAAAAATTTGTTTTAAGAAGTAAATTAAACAAATATATTCAAATTTGAGTTGACTTGTGAGTTTTTATAAAAGTAATTATATTACTTTTTCAATTCATATACCCACTTTGCCAAATCCCAATTCGCTGACAACTCAGTTTGCCGACAAATATAAGTACCTAGGTACCAGTTTTAAAATATTTTTATATTTTTTTATTATTATATAGTTTCAATTTTCCCCATTCTCCGACGCCCGACAGGTGACTATAATTAGAGAAATATTGTTGTACAAAACTAACTACATTTGAATATGATATAAGAATAAGAATAATAATTAATAACATCATTAATAACTATACTAAGATACTCAGTAGTACAGTTCCGCAATATTGTGAATAACAACACAAAACATGGCTATTCAAAGCATTATCATTTAGTTGATATTTACGTGGTAACTACTAACTAGATACTACAAGTTACAACTGTACTCTATATACTACTGAAGTAGCTAATAAATAAATAAAATCGTTATCGTTCAACGGGTATTCCCAATTCCCCGCGAACGATTTTTTATAGCGAGGGAGGGGTCACACACTGTTTAAAATTAAAAAAAAAAAAATTATAAAATACTGCAAAAAATAGCAAATACGGCCAATGAGGGGGAGGGGGCATGGCCACTGTGGCTCCCATTGGGTGGGTGGTAGCCGGTAGGTCAATCAAAAAATTAATTGCCCGATAAAAAATTTCACTTCGCCACGCCACTCGCTGAAGTACCCTATTTCTTTACTCAAGATTTAATGACTGAATGTCCAACTGACGAAAAATTAGTTAAGTATTACGATTATTTAGTAGACAACTATATTTCTGAAGACAGTGTTTTTAGTCCAACATTATGGGCATGCAATTTGACGAGCATACAGGTCACAAAAAATGCTTGTGAATCGTTTTATTCGAATTTCAAGAAAAACTTTTATTCTAACTCTCCATCAATCATAAGTTGGTTAAATATTATACACAATGACATCCACACAGAAACGTATACCTATCAAAATAAATACCTAGCGTTTAAATTCCCAAAAATACGAAGGAAGACAAGAATTCAACGAAAAACATGTACTTTTATATAGATCTGGTGAAATTATTACGAATTATGAGTTTGTAAAAAGCATGTGTAGACATTTTAAAAAATCATAATTTTTGTTAGTGTATTTATAATAATTATGTAAATGTATAATTGAGTATGTATTTGTTAAAAACTTTTGTGATGGCCACAAAAATAAAAACTTTTAACTAACCATTAACTTAATTTAAATATGACTTAAATGGCTTTGGGTATCTGGGCGAAACGAGCAGCACACTCGTATAAATATATACAACTACACAACTTGTATAATACAAGTATAACGAGTAAAAAATAGACATACTATATTTATATCTGTGTATAATATCTACAACTGGTAATTGGTTCTCAAAATATTTTTTGATAATCAACCAATAATATTATTATGTGCTAAATAATAAAAACTATTTGAGAAATGAAAATTACAAGTAATTATAGAACATTCTGTTTTCATCACCGAAAATTCTTATAGATATAGAGGGCTTTAGGGCCGTATATCGTCATTTATTTAGACCTTAGAGTATTCGCTAAAAAAAACTAGGGAGGTGAGTATATGCTGTATACCCCCGTATACCTCCCAATACACCACTGATACCAAGTCGAATATAAATAATGTAATACTGATATTTAATAATCAAACACATATGCATTGAAATATTGCATAAGATCCTCCTGATTCACCACGTTAACATCACCCATAAATTCGAATATTTCAATTAATTGGTTTATTTGGTCCATTTTTTATAATAACTCACCAATTAATCGAATTTTATTCGACTTATCAATCTATATCGACTATACCTACATCGTTTGGGTGGACCATGCTTATTGAAAAATATATTCCAACTGCTATACAGTATGAAAAGAAATTTCTTATGCATTTTTAACTACAAAATAATTTGCTAAATTGATCAAAAAGTGTCTAAATATTTTGAAATTTTATAATTTATGTAAAATTGTTATATGGGCAACATTTGATGAGAATTTAATGTATCAACGGTTGTTAATTTTGAACTACACCAAAAAGTAAACTTCGACAACTTTTTTCAAACATTAATTATACTTAAAAATTATCAGTTTTTCTTTCATTTTTTTTTTTATGTTTTTATAACAACTAAGATATTTTTATTTTTGACCACTCAAATTACTAACTTATAGATTCACTTTCCTACCAAAAAAGATGCTAAAGTAGGAGTAGAAAATCAAAGCGTTTTTCTTCCCCAAAAGGTAAACACAATAAAAAGTACATCACGGTAAAATCGATGCATTCACCGCTCAAATTATAAATTATAAAAACATGAATAAAACATTTATAAAAATCTTGACAGTTTAAAATAAAATATAAATTACCTAGGTATCTCATGTATACTACTTAGCACAGCCAAAACAATGATACTGTCGTATTCGACAACGAATATAGTAGACACGCAATTTTAATAGTCAAGGATAATTTTGAGTTCTTAACTATATATTATAAATGTTTAACATATTACATATTTGACATTTGTTATGATATTATCAACTTACTCTAGTAGTGTATAATATAAAGTAGGTAAAGGTGGGCGTTTTCATACACACCTAGTTATATCATATAGGTATATGAAATGCATTTATATGTTTACCCAAATGTTGATAAAATATATTAGTTTTAATTAAAATCACGTATTATTAGGTATTTAAACAAGTGGCATTTCAGTTATTTACAGTCCTTTATTTAATTTTAGCAACTACTTTTTTTTTAACAAAATAATTGACAAATGGCATTGGCAATAAATAACTTACTATATTATATGAGTAGGGACCTACCTATTTAATATACTTTCAGTTTATTAAATTACATTTTTTCTTTAAATGTAATTTAAATGTTACTCGATATAAAACTAAAACAACTACTAATAACGTTGGTAAGTATCTATTTTATTCTTTCGACAACAGTAGATTTTTATTCGAACAAAAACATGTTAGATACAGTCGATACTGTCGTTGATGGTCGAATAAATTGGCTACTTTTTCTACTTTTCTTGAGAACACACGACTCTCGTATTTGAATTTGATTATTAATGATTATGAAGGTAGGAGTGAATGCAAATTGTATACAACATCTTATACATTCTTACAAAATACATTATGTTTATTACATGAAAAACGCTTTAAAATTGTAATTTTACTATTTAAGATTCTAAGGAGAGCGATGAATTTATTAATTTTACAATAATGTGTGTATGTTTTTTTTCTGTAAACATTTTTATTTGTAGAAATGTAGAATTAATAATCTTTCAATTTTCAGTTTCATTATATTTGAAAGTGAATTTAGTTTTAAATTCACTGTTTTCAAAAACGTCGGGAAAAATAAAAATAAAATTAAGGAAAACGAGGATGTGTATGCAAAACCAAATTTTGACAAAACCAATTCAGTGTTTTTGGTGTAACTTAGAATACTCAGAACATGAGAAAAATTTGTCTTTGTTATAGATTTTATATGATTGAAAACTTATGGATAGCTGGAAACATATTTTTAATTGAGTGTCTTGTTGATTATCATGATCTCGGCATCTTTCTCTGCCCCGGAAAAAACATTTAAACGCCCCGAAAACAATTTTGTTTAGAGGCTTTTGGGCATATCTTATTAAGTCGATTTTTTTTACTGAGCCATAATTTTGTTGGTGGTAAGTGGTATATTGTTATATTTATGTACTTAAAGTTGACATGTTAACTAATGTTAAGAGCATCTTTCATAGTATCTACGACTATGATCTAATACCAAGATAAATCTTAATAATAAGTAGGTAGTTATCACTTATCACTCGCATTAAACGGGGTTTTTTAACATTCCACAACTAACAATATACTTAGCCATGTCTTCTCAGTGTTCACTTATAGCTAGTAAAACAATTTATCCTAAAAAAATGCACAATTTTTTAGTACCTATGGGTACTTAATTTTTCAGTTTTCAAGTAGCTTTATGTATCATAATAAAAATAAGTATTCGTTTTGACCTATGTGTGGGTGACTTTTACCTGATTATGCAGGAAACTGTAAACTCACATTCAACCTAAAATATAATATAATATATTATATTACTATATTGCCAATATTTAAAATCAGTAGGCATACATATTATAATATGACATAATATTAATATACACATATTATCCGCATAGTAATCGTAATATGTCGGAAAAATATTTGTTTTTTTTCAATTACATAATAATGTTTATATTTTTTTATATAATTTTAGTTTCTGAGAGTACGAAGAATGTATTGATTTTATAATGATGTGTGTGTGTTTTTTTTTGTGTCTGTGTACACGATATAAGTAGTCGAAATAATGCTTCGATTTTCAACTTCAGTATCTTTTCCGGTGGAAAAGTGAATCAAGGTGATACATTCGGGAGGTCAAAATTTAAAATTCAGATAAGTTTACGAAAGCACAGAGAAAAACAAACAAAAAATTAAGAAAAATGGAATTTTTACGCAAAATCGGCTTTCGACAAAATCGATTTTGATTTTTGGTGTATCCACCGCTAGAAACGTGAAAAATTTACTGAATGTATATATGTTAGTATTCCCTATACCTACACCATACAATTTTTGAAATATTTTAACTCATGTTAGGCTAGGTATATGAAATTTTTGATTATCATTGTTTTTTAAAACTAATATCGATAAAAATATTTTCGCTCGACCAAAAAAATTTGAAAATGTAATGTTACCTCATAAGTTGTTGTTAGTGGAAATTAAAAAAAGTTGAGAGTAAATCCAAAATATTTTTTTATGAGGTCATTTTCAAATTGTTGTAGTTCAAATTTTTACAATCGTCAATACAATTTTTTGGGGGGGGTTAAAAAGCTTGAAATTTTAATACAAGGTTTCTGATATATTGTTACATCAGCAGTTCAAAAATATTTAAAATACATAGGCACTATTTGTTTTTATAAGCATTTAAAAATCAAATTTTTATAAAATTTATGAAATTTAAAATTTAAAACAAGGTTTCACGTAAGTAGGTCATTCTGTAACCGAAAAATATATAAACACAGTTTTTTTTTTTATTTGTTTCATGATCAAATTTGGACGAAATTACATATTGAATAACCAAATATAATGATTTAATTTATTTTGTTGTAATTTAAAAATTACAATTGAATTCAAATTTAACACCGTGTATTACATTAGCCCACGTGTAACCTACTGTACTGCAAAGTGACATCCACTTACCCGCTTTTTTATTGCTTTTAGGTGTGATATATTTATTATGTTAACAATTATTTACATTTAAAATTAAATAATTTCATGTTTACTAAAATTTCAAAGAAAATACCTATATTTAAACCTAAGAAAAATTAGAACATTTTTTTAAATTATTTGTTATTAATTAAAATGTTTTGACTATAGCTTATATCTAATGGCTGCTACGAGCAGGACCAAGAACTTACAATTATCCAGTTTTCACTTGAGTTAAACTACCTACCTATAATAAATCAAAATAAGTGAAACTAAAAATAATTTAATACTAAAACCGTAGTTTGTGTTATGTTTCATATTATTACAAAAGAAATACATAATTGTATTTAGAACAATATTATATTAATATATTTATATATACAATAATTAAAAATCGAAACATATTTTAATAAGCAACACCATAACAGGGAGTGCTTTTAGGAACTAAGATTACAAACGGGGGAAAACATAAGTTTACAATAATGATTTTTAGGTTACCTGCTGGATATAGCTGAGTGATCATACATAACAGTTTGTTTTCATAATACCATATTATTTGTAATATCTACATTAAAATAAGTTTAGGTAACGATCTTTCCCCGATTATGATCATCGACGTATAAAATGAAATAATATCAAAACCATGGCTTGAAGCCGATATCAAAAATCGTTAAATATCGTCTAAGAAATCAAAAGTAATATCAAAATCAAATATTTATTTTAATGATATTCAAAATTTATAGTGAAATCAAAAAAAAACGTTTTCATTAAATTATACCAAAAATTAGGTACATATATAACAGTTTTATATGTTTTATAATATCGATTTAAAATTTAAATTCAACAATATCTGATAGGTCCATAATGTTGTTCACCATGTTCGGTATCTCAACATCAGAATTAAAAGCGTAAAATTCATAAAATTATGTAAACAATTTATCAAGATCATAATACAATAAAATCAATAGTTAGAGTAACCTCGGGGTATAATAGCGCAGCTAACATATGTGATGTGGTAGCATACACGTTTTAGAAATATTGTTACTTATGTTGTTTTCCTATTAAACATAGGTATAATACTAAAATGTAGATTTCAATTTTCCAGTCAAACGTTAATTTTATCAGAGCAAATGCCAAAAATTCTAAATAATTAGAAATTATAGCAAATGCGTCTTTTCGCCCCAATCATGAGGTAAAAGTGCGTATGCTAAATTAATTCCTTCAATAAATGTATTTTGTTGATAGAACATTATATAACATAACTTAAAAAACAGTTAGTTTTAATTCTATATTTCTAAATAAAATAACTGTAAAACAACAAATAAAATTAAAACAATATCAACTATGAAAGCAACACCTAACTTGTTGTTAAAAAATGTATATAAATATAAGGTACTACTTCTAAAATACTCAAATATTACACCAAATCAACAAAATTAATAGGCACTTTATTACATATTGCAGCCAAAACTCCAACAGAATCCGAGAAAATGTTTGGCCATGATAGTATGATACCAAAGTCCAAAGATATTACCCAGATAGAAAATATTAAACTATATTTATGCACTATATAATTTATTATGTTGCCCTATTTTACGCCAGACAGCAGGCAGGCACTCCTAGAAACTTTTATCTGCGAAAGTCCTGACTAAAGATTATTACTCTATACAGCCAACGACATGGCCAACGGAGTAGGTACTAAATAAGAAGTTGCTTATAGAATGTTCTACAATATCTAGTTGTAATAATGTACAAATTAAGCATATTATGTGTATATATTTAAATTTTTTTTTTAAATTTTTAAATATAGGTTTTTACATCAATATTTGCTGAAATCACAGGAAGAACATGGGGAGAGGTTAAAGAAGCAAAAAAAGAAAAAAAAATTGGAGATAAGATTTATAAAGAAAATCAAGGACTTTGTCAATCACTTAGAGACTTCTATCAACAAAAAATATTTAAAAAACAAGCTGAGCAGTTTTTTAAAACTGAAGAAGGAAAAGGTCTAAAAACCCGAGTAAATGCTGGTAAAAAAAAAAGACGTAAAAAACAACCTAGAACCCATAATTGTTTAGACTCAGTGGATTATAATGCATTTTTAACATATTATTACAAAAATAAAAACATCAAAAAGCCGATCAAATTAGAATGTGATTTACTTAAGCCTAAATTATCATTTGTATCTGATGCTCTGTGCAAAACAATTGGAAGATATTTTATTCAATTCGGTATTAAAGTGTATTATAATTTTTTTAAATATTTATTTGGTATAGGAAAAAAAGCAAAAAGAGGTTTTTTGTCAAGAAAATTAACTGGTAAAATGAAAAGTCTTGTTAAAAAATATGAGGCGGTTAAGGAGGAAGAAAAGAAAAAGCAAGAGTTAAAAATTCAAAATTTGATTGATAGTTATTATAAGCTGGGTTGCCGTAAGATTATTCCACATTATAATGAGTTTTACATATTTTATAATAATTATTCAAAGTCTAAGGAAAATGAAGGTTTTGTTAAATCCGCAACTTGTGATTATTTTGTACGCATAACTAGGGTAGACACAGAGCATACAATAAATGAGGAGTTAACAAAGAAACCATCTACATTTTTGAAAAGGGTTCATTTGAAAAAAAAATTACCTAAGTAACGATATAGGAACATATTTTTTTCAATTGCATCTTATATCTATTATATTATGGACATTTTAATTTAATACTTATATTGTGAAACTGAAGACTAAAACAAAGAAAAATAATTATATAGGTACGTAATACTTTACCTACTTATACTTTGTAGTTGTTGTTTATGTAATGTTTGTACTATTAAGTAATCAAAGTTAATATATTCAAATTCGATAATATTTTTAATTCTTTATTCAATAGAAGGCAATATAAAAAGACTACTAATAAATTCAGGGCTTGCAAACGTTATAATAACGTTATGATTATAACGTTATATTTGATAAAAAACGATTGAAATTTGTAAACGTAATTATAACGGAAAACGATAAACGTAAATAAATAAATAACACAAAACAAAACGTAACGTTTAACAAAATATATGATGTATCATTAAACAAAACATAACGCAAAACGGTATATATTGTATTTCATTAAACGAAATAATTAATTCCCAATTATTTAATAATACTTAGTAGTATTCAATTATTTATTCAATCCAAAAATTAATTTTATTCCGTATCCGGCCTATCCGGGGATCCCGTATTAGATATTATTTTAAAACTTAATAAGAAGTTATTAATAGAATAATTTAATTACCAATAGCTAATAATAGTGATGCTCTGATAATATTGTACTGTACTATCTGTACTACGGTCGAAATTTATACCACTCAAGTTATTCAACTATTGTGTTCGGTGTTCAGTTTGCTCAGATTTATTCACTCGTCAGTGTTTGTCTAATTGTTGTCAAATGTTTAATATTTATATTTTATACTAATATACTTATAGTTTTAACGTGCATACGTTTTCTTTATATTAGTTTAACCCATTTAATTAAATAAATAAAATTAAACAATACCTACTAAAAACTCAGAATAGGGAAATTATGTCCCCAAAAAAAGGTCATAGTCGTATACTTTTAAATTTTAAATAACGATAAACGCAAAAATTGTATAACGTTTAAATTTTGAATAACGATAAACTCAACATTTGTATAACGTTTTGATTGTAAATAACGTAAAACAAAATTTATTTTTCAAATGCAAGCCCTGCTAATAATATAACATAATATAATACTACCTAATAGTTAATTAAAAGTAAGGATTGTATTTAATATCCCAAAATAGTAAACTATGATTATAATAATTTAAACTTATTGATTCCACCAATATAACTAGTATGTAGTTTACTAAATAATGAGGTATAGATTTCATCAACTACCATAGAGTCCTAAGATCATCACCGTTACCTCTTAACTATATTAATTAATTAAAAATTAAGCTTCAGCTCATAATAATTGACACAAAATATTATTTTAGACATGCACCAATAGCTTTGGTTGGAATTGAATTTTGTTGTCTTTAAATTTATATAGAAAAAAACTGTGTATTGTTAAAATAAAAATTCATGTTTTCAATATTTTATTTGTGATATTTTTAATATTTATACAAGTTTAATTGATTAGTAAACATTAAAATATGACAAACGTGAAAAGTAATGCTAGTATATTTAACGCCACTATGCTACCATGGAGTGATTTATGTCAAGACATCATTGTAAAAATATTTATACATAGGTACCTACAAACGTCTTAGACAGTTAGACATCATGTGCCTACCAGTAATCGTAGTATGTAATTAATAAGGTTAATAAAAGATGACTAAAAGATGTTTGAAGCTTCAATATGAATGGTTGATTGACATACTTGGCTTTAATACACAGGAAAAAGAAAAAAGGACACTATAAATACTGTGTTGTGTTTTCAAAAACTTATGCCACCAAGTAAAAAATACTTTTTGTTTTTGTTATAACGTTGTCTACATAAAGTCAAAATTCATGTCCTCTCCATTTTAAAAATATGAACACATTATCACTAAATTTTAGTTAATTAACTGAAATTGATTTTTTATTACAACCTTGTCCAACATTGAGTATTATAGTGTCTATAAGTCATAAGATATACCTAATATTCAAATCATGGTTTGGATTGGACACATACCATACAAATCTGTATACTGTATAGGCATTATGCATTTATGCATAAACATAAAATCATAAAAAATTGTATGTTTAAAATTCAATAGTTGATGTTTCATCGGAACTGTGAGTATCTTATTTTAAAACAGGTTAACAGCCACCTACTTTTTTCATACATTGCCAGGAAGGCCATGTGTACATTTTTGTGTACACGCCATAAATTGCCAAACTTGCTTTTGTGTACACTGACATTTTTGAACTCACCATCTCAGTGTACAAAATCCTGACACGGTACTGTTGATTTTAGATAGGAATATGAATCTCGTGGCCCTTAAGACCATTTCTATATTTTTAGCTTACACATAGCAGTAATTTTTACTATTGTAATCTACTTTTAATTTTAACTTTTAGTTTTTTTTTAGCCAAATCGAATACTTCTTCCATAATTTGTTTTCGCCAATCAGTGTCAGTACGCTCCTATACATTTTTTATTGTATATTTTCCAAACGGTTTTGAGTATATAATACATTACTTTACCTCGTATAACGAGATCCCAACGATGAAAATTTAAAAGCTGAAAAATACGTTCGTTTACAAAGGAGTGTAAACCTAAAATGCGGTTGATAGTGGTTCGACTTCATAGAACATGTCTTATTTTGGATGAAAACATAATTTAATTATCTAAATAGTAAATAGAGTATTTTCATACTTCCATTCATTGTTGTGTCTACGAATTTATTTATAACAGAATTGAATACAGCAAAATTTATAAATAAATAACCTAGACCGCGTTGGTGATTCCTGTATAAAAGTATAGGCCGCCGCTGCGCCGTGTGATCTTGTGAAATCACCCGGCTATCTCTCTTGGGCTTTAGTTCTTCAAAGAATCAACGTATACAAATTGTAGTACTATGGTTAGTTATAGTAATTAACTATTTATCAATTAATCCAAAATCATTTTTTTGTTTCATAATCCTTTAAGTAGTTTTATTTTTTTAGACCTCAATAGTTCAGAATGTTCAGATTGTTCTAAACAGTGTGTCTGCTGAAGGTTTTAATGTATAGGCTGCAAAAGGTGTATATTCTGATTATTCTGCAGAACATTCTATATAGTGCTGGTCGGAAGTGCCTGAAGTTCAACAATACATTTTCACACATTTTGGTATTTCAGTAAACAGAAATTGTTTATGGGAGATTTTTCAAGTTTTGATGACATAGAAAGTCCTAACAGTATTGGAATGCACCTCAAAATACTGTGGACAGCAAAGAAAAAAAAGAGAACTATTATAAACTAAAATTAGTATCTTAAAAAAAAATTAACAATCTAAATTCATTGTTAACACATTTAAAAAAAGAAAAAACTGAATAAATTATAATTGTTAAAGGTATATTAATATATTAATATTATTATGTTTACTTTAAGTTTCCTGGAATAATTTTTGGCAAAACATCAAGTATAGAACTTTTCAATATTTTATGTATTAACTTTAAAACTATGTTATTTTATCTAGATGTTTAATAACATTCGGTTTTGCTTAATTGCGGGCTTTTTAAGCACATTTCACCAATAACCTGCAACTGTAGTCTCTGTCAGTACAAGAAGTATGTATAAATGTTATAAATGTATGATCATATTCTGGTGGTAACGTGGTGGTGTTATTTTGTGAAATTGTAAAAATTATCTACTTAAATATTATTATTATTAGTTTTATTTAACTATGTAGAATGTAACAAGAAGATATGAGTTATTTCCTTATTGGAAGTATTTTTGTTCTAATCAAGTTAAATTTTTTTTTATATATTAATTAGCATTACAAGTATAATATAACATATTTTTATTTTTTAATACTGAAAAATAAAAATTTTTTTTTACATTTCAAAATAACCAATTTGTATCATTATTATTTTATATTATATATCCGACTTTAAGATGGATGTTGATTGTACAAAAATGTATCAAAGTCAAGTGACTTATTTTTTATGATTTTTTAAAATACCAAAATATTTTAAAGTAACTCATTAATTTCAAAAGTATTAACTTTTAAAAAATATTTAGATTTCACCAAGTACCTACTTACAAATTCTCATAAAATATTTAAAAAGTTTATACTTTTTGAATTTAAAATGTTTATTTATAACTGGGTTAACTTGAGTTACCAAAAAAAAAAAATGAGATTTCAAAAAATTCTAAAAATTTAACAAGATTTAAATAAATATTTTTACAATAAAATGTTCATAGAACCCAGATTATAGACCTTGTATAATATAATAATTTATATTTTTAAATATAATATGTCATGCTGCATATTATTTAATTAATTAAAGTTTATTTAGCTTTAGACAGTATAATGGATCCACCTTCCAAATTGTATTGAATCGGGTTAATGTCAAGCAAATTTTACTCATTACATTTCTAAGTTGATATATTTTATACGTTTCATATTATTCTACCTCATTAATTTTAGGGATTTCATAATTAAATCAAGATTTATTTTGTATAGTTTTAATATTATTCAATAACAATAGGTATACACTAAACATTGTTTTTCATTAGGTAATGGTATAATAAAATAAATAAATAAATAATATATTATATATTTATGTAATTGTAATATAGTACTTTCGTCATTTCAAGATAAACTAGAATGTCAATTTCTTTAGTTTGATTGAAAATAATCTAAGGTATAGTGTGTTCAAAAATCATATATATTATTCAATATAATATTTAGTATTATATTAATATATTAAAAATTACTGTAGAAAAAAAGAGCATGATTTTCTACAGCTGTAACAAGGGTGATACGGGAGTTTTGGGACACACTATGTATGGTGAATAATAATTAATATTATATATATAAGAATTCTACTTATATTTATCCAATTAAAGATAATTTTTCCCCGACATTTTTGGGTATGAAGAGGCTTTATTTTCTGAGGATTTTATTTCAGGGCTTTTTTTTCAGATAACCGTGACAAATTAATGAGTAGTTAAGAATAAAATGTGCAATCAACTGTAAGTGTTGTGGTAGGTAAAGCATTTATTTGTAGATTAGTAATTTTGGTATCAATAATTACCTAGTTCTAAGTTGTATCTCAAATTCAGTATAAATGGAACATAGGCACACAAACTCAACATCGATACTAAATCTAAATAAATACAAGTTCGCGAAGCGCTGACGAACAAAGAGGGCTTTTTTAAACATTAATAATGGATAATATATTTTTGTATTGGCTATGGACAAACTTCATAGGTATTATGCCGGATAAACATTGTAATTCGTATTGATTAAACTTTAAGTCACAAAACACCAAACATGATCACGGTTATACATAAAGTACGACTAGTACGAGTACCTATACACTCTATAGTGGTGGACCGTGGTCACGATGTAGGTAGATCAAAGAATTGTATCAGCATAATTCGCGTTCAAGACAATATATTGTCAAAGATTCTTTTATTATCTATGGCAAACCGTTTGCTTTCGTTATCTCCGCGAAAACATGCCAAGTGATAACGACATTGTTGATAATTTCAAAACGTGATAGCTGTAATCGTAAATACAACCTGTTTCAAAATATTCAAATTTAAACAATTTACTTAATAGTTAAATATTTTATAGTTTCACACACATATTTTTAATACAACTCTTTATATTTAACCACGACTGCTCTACTTTAATTAGCCGTTAATATGTCCGCCGACGGGAGTACTAACCCGTTCAAGTATTTTCTAGCTGGTGGTTTCGGCGGTGTGTGCACGGTGTTAGTGGGTCATCCATTAGACACTATTAAAGTATGTTAACAACAATCCATTCTGTTATTGAACTATTTTGAATTATAATGTATTAGGCTAACAAGTGCTTCACGAGACTTGCTACTAAGTTATATCATATATGCGAATATGCTATAAGTACAGGTTTATATTTAAGAAAAGAGTATTTTATAATATGTTGGGTCTTGGGACATTCATAATGCTGTGTTTACCTGATTTAAAGACCAATGATATTTTTAGGCCTCTATATCTGTCTGGTAACTGATAAATTAGTACCACAGTTCTTAATTAATAAGATGTATACGTTCAATATTATATAGTTTTATGCATATTATTCAACATATTTACGACTAAATTGGCACATGATATCATTATTTAATAGCAAAAAACATGCTATGTCATTATCATCTTCTTTTATTTATTTGGGTCTCTGCTCTTAGGAAGTTGGGAAGAAAAAATTGTTTTTGATAGTTAATTTTATTTTGGTCATTATTTAAACACAAATTAATCAACATCGTTTATCTTTTACAGAAATTGATTTTAATTTTATGTTCTAATTATTTGTTAATATTTATTATTATTATTTTTTTTTTTATAATATTTTTATAGATAATAATATTTGTCATTAATAATTAAGACTTATTAAGTTTCTATGAATTTATTGATAATTGGCTTATATTATTTCTCTATGATATAGGAGACATGTAAAATTATATTATATACTTCTTTGAATATAAATATTATTAAAAAAAAAATTTTATTTATGTATCTTAAACATAATAAGTTTCTACTGCCAGAATTCTGGTACCAAAACGCACTCTCATACAACATGTGTATACTCCTATTGGACATTGACTATTAGTGAATTATGTGATGTATTCATTTATTTATAGTAATTGCTAAAATAATCTAAATAAAAACTGCAAAACTAGTTTAAATAAATACAAGAATATGTGTTCAAATGTTGTAAAATAGTTAAAATAAATATCTATAAACCTTATATATTGATTAAAAAGTAAAAGGTATTTGTACTTTTTGAATTTCTTATAAAATAATAAACAATGAGTAAACTGAGTGATGCTTTGCCAAATGTCCACTACACAAAAAATGTATCTGGACATATTTTGAAGTTTAATATCTGTTTTTGAGAATTGTTATTTTTTTACCTGTGACCTATAACTTTTTTTTATAGCATTCACTGTACAAGGAACTTTCAACTATAAAATTTAATTTAATTATTGTGTTATCTTTTGATAAAAAAAATACATGTATAGTGTATACCATTTATGTTAAGCAATGTATATAATATATATTAAAATTATTAAGTTTACAATCTTTCTGATTCTTTTACTATCTACCCTTAGGTTAGATTACAAACAATGCCACCAGCTCAGTTAGGTAAAATACCTATTTACAATGGTGCATGGGATTGTGCAGTTAAAACTATCAAGAGAGAAGGTTTTTTTGGTTTATATAAAGGTAAGAATACTACACATTTCATGTAATAAAAGTAGGAATATTAAATTATTTAAATTTCAGTAAAATAATATACTATTAAAGACAATGATATTCGATGATATTGAAGTTTATCGCTTAAACCAAAATGTCTGTTTAATTTAATTGTGAATAATTTACATTTTATTAAACATATTTGTTAATGATCTCTGCAACATATTTATCCATTATAAATGTCTATTATTTGCGAATAATTTAAAAATATATTTAAATATTAATTCTGAACTGTATGTAAGAAATTACAAAATTACCTACTTTATTTTGAAAATTGGTGTTATAATAATTCTTTAAATACAATGTATCAAAATGTTCACAAACTACCTGTACTAAAAGTAAAAAATCAAGTTAATTGTTGTTACAACTTAAAATACTCATAACTCTCTTTAAAATTAAAATATAATAAAAAGCCCACGAGAAGCCTTCTGTAATTATCTTGCCTTTAATTTTTATTAGAAATCAATTCAATCTAATTTTTAAGCTAACAGAACTAAGCATGATCTGCTGAACGTAAAATTTGATATGTTATGCTCTTATAAGACGGGGATAACATATGCGGGTAAAACGTCCTCTTAATTATTTTATTGAGAACAGCAATATTAATTCTCATGGACCTCGGTATAACTTTATACAGTGAGTTAGTGTTTAATGAGCATATTACACTTATTTGCATTAAATTAATACAAATGTTTGGTTTCATAAAATGTAGCTGTCAAGAGTTTAACAACCCTACTTGTTTGAAAACTTTATATTGCTCATTTGTACGTTCATTGGTTGAATATGGCTCTATACCATGGTGTCCTTATCAATCTGGTTGTATTACACAAATCGAAAAGTACATAAATGTTTTCTTCATATGATTGGTTTCAAATTAGGGAAGATTATCACTTCATCTAATATATTAACTAAAGAAATAAACCTCCAATCCCTCGAAGATAGACAATTTTAAATGATATATTTTTCTTATATAAATTACTAAATAATTTAATTGATTGTCCTGAATTATCAGCCAAAATGTCATTTATTATACCTCATCATACTGTCCCCACTACAACACACATTTTGTATACAACCGTAAAAAAACATAATTACTATAATTATGCCCCTTTTAAAAAGAAATTATATTAAATGGTTATACAGTGAAAAATGTTGATTCCTTTTTTGTTCCACTAAGAAAGTTGAACAGTTCTAATTTTATATTCTTTTTATTATTTGTAAAACACTTAGATATAAGTTATCAATTTATTATGTAATTAAATAGGTATATTTTTGCATCATTTTTTGTTCTGTCCTGTTACTCCACATGTTTTGATAACTTGTAAAATATTATTTGTTTTTATAATAATTTCTGTATTTTATGCTTTATCACTTTTTGTAAATTTCATAGAACACAATTATTATTTTTATATTTGTGTGTTCTAATGGTTATGAAAATCAATTCTAAAAAATACCAAGTATTAACTAGTTTTAAATTTAAATGTTAAACACCATTTCACAAATTCTTGATTTTAAAATAAACATTATACTTACTAAAAATGTTTATTAAATTGAAGTTCCATTCAGATGTTCTTATATACATACTATTAAGCTTAAGAAATGTATTTCAAAAATATCTGAAATTTAAGGTATAATTTTTTGATTAACAGTAACTATTTATAAATAGTAATTTAAATATAAATGTATGATATTTTATCTGTTTAAATTCTACAAAAAAAAAATATAGACACAGGATTAGATAATAATTACAGTTTTTAAACCAATTTTAAATAATATTTCCAAATAAAATATTTATAATACCTATAATTTAAATATGAATCCTTCCGATAACAAAATATCCATCATAATTTTTTAGTTATTGTAAGACTTTAAATGTTTAAGTATAATAGAAATCTGTTTAATATGATGAATGTTTTACATCAATTCAAAACTTCAACGTAGAATGTAGATGTTACATATTTGAATATTTAGGAATTCATCATCAATAATAATTACCAAAATTAAGCAAAAAATAAATGTTAAGCTTAAAAATGTTATCATTATATTAGTAATTTTAGTATACAAATATAATTTTTTTTTTGCATATTCTTAGTTTAATTAACTTATATATATTTTATAACATATTTAATTTTTAGGTATGGCAGCTCCAATAACTGGTGTAGCTCCAATATTTGCCATTAGTTTCTTAGGGTTTGGACTGGGGAAAAAAATGTTTTCATCTACTGGAGATAAAAAAGAAGACTTAACTCCCTCGCGACTTTTTTGTGCTGGAGCATTTTCTGGTATTTTTACAGCAATCATAATGGTGCCCGGAGAACGCATAAAATGTATTTTACAAGTGCAGGAATTGGGTAACCAAAAATATGATGGCCCAATCAGTGTTATTAAAAACTTGTACACTGAAGGTGGAATAAGAAGCTTGTACAAAGGAACATGTGCGACATTACTTAGAGGTAATTAATTTCAATTATACCATTTATATTTCACCATTAAAAATACTCAGCAATACTAAACAATTACTGTGTATTTAAAATTGGTTCAATTTTTATTGTTTGTTGTTAATATTCTTTAAAAATAATATATAGTCTACTGATATTTAAATATTATGTTATAATGTATATTATTTTTTAAATTAATAGTAAGTATTTCAATATTAATTTCATAATTTGTTTTCAACTTAAGAATCTGAATTTTTTACTTTATATTTTCTTTTCATTTTAGAAATTTCTTCTTTCAATAATAACTTGCTTATAAATGTTCCATTGTTCAAAAGTATACTTCTTTCTGTAGTAATGTATACTGTATTATTGGTGATTGATTCCGGCTTTGATTCAATAATTTCCATTGTTATATTTGGTGCTGAAATAGTGTTGTGTCTGATGCTTGTTGTGTTATTTAAAATAAAATCAGAAAAATTAGTCTTTATAGTTGCAGTACTTTGTTTAATATCTTGTTCACTAACTTGTTTATGAAGCTTTAGTTCTTTATACTTTTTTTTCATGTTACTTATGCTATGTGATTCACTGTTGCAATTCATGTACTTTCTCAAAGCATATGAAACTGTTTTTCCTTTTAATTTTGATGGACTAGAACATATTGGTTCTAACTTTTTTTTATAAATATATGTAGTTGTACTTTTAATTTTACAGCTATATCCTTTCTTTGAATGTTCCCACTTGCAAGTATGGTTATTTATTACTTTTGCGCTTTTAGTCATTAATGAAACATCCCACAATTTCATCCTGCATGTACAGTGTAGCGAGTTCATATCTAATCGTATTAATTTAAGATTAGATACTGTTTTAAATATATCATCTGGTAAATCAATCAGTTGATTGTTATTTAAAATTAATTCCTTGAGAAACAATTGTTTATCAAATAATCCAGGAGGCAATTCCTGGAGTTTATTATAAGACAAATCTAAATGTTCTAAATTATAAATCCCATAAAATGAATCCATTGACACAGATTGTATTGAACAGTTACTGATTGTGAGATGTTTAATGTTTGGTATTTCAACAAATGCATCAAAAGCTATATGTTGTATGGAACCTTCGATTTTAAGTTCTACAAGATTAGGAAGTCCAATCATAAAGGGTCTTTCTAAAATTGTCACATGTACGCCAATTAATTTTAATTTTTCTAAAGAATCTAAACCAATAAATGCATTTTGATGTAAATGTAGTTGTTTGTTATTTGTTCCCAGTGCAAGTTCTATAGTAGCATTTAGCACTTCAAATGTATGCGGATACACCATTTCAATTGGATTATTACTTAAATCTGCAACTTTTAATTTTGGTAATGGTGGGAATGTTGTTTCGGATAATACAGTTATAGCATTGTTTTTCAAATTTAAATAGTTCAAATCAAGAAGACCAGCTAAACCAGTTGTCTGCAAATGTTTAATTTTATTATTAGCTAATGATAAGCTTTTTAGTACAGTAGCACCATAAAAAGAAAAATCTGGAATTTATTCAATATCATTGTTGTCTAGAATAAGGGTCTCCAATGAATCCAATCCATTAAATAAATCCCAAGATATATCTTTTAGACCACAATTTGTAATTCTTAAAAACAACAAATCTTTATTGATTAAAAATAGGCTATTTGATTTTGCTGTTCTTTTAGTTTTTTTGTAGGTTTCATAAGGAACCATGTCAATATCTTTGGGCTGTAAAAATATCAAATGGTTTTTTATATTATTGTTATGTTCTTTATGTAAATACATAGGTAAGACTGGTGAAAGTTCATTAAATGCATATGAATTTTCTTTTTTATAGATAGAAGTGTCCATTATTGGAATTGGTTCATTACTTTCTAAAGTTAATTTATCTAATGATACACCTTGAATGTTAATATATTTTATGTTATCCATATATTTGAATATTTTATCTGTTATGTAGATTTTTGTCAGATTATTATTGCCATGAATTTCGAATAAAATTAGTTTTGGCAGCTTTATATCATCTTCTATTGTAATCTTGTCTGAATCAGTTGTTTGAAATAAAATTAATGCCTGAAAAATACATAGATACGTTTTATTATGTTGATATAATTTATCTTAATGTGTTTCAAATTTAATTATTATATTAAATCTAAGATTAAACCAAAATATTATAATATTTTAATGTTATTAGTTCAAAATAATGTTAATGTACTTCACTTCTCATTGAATTTTGATAAATTTATTATTTCATAATACAATGAACCAAATTAATAATTTTAGATTTTGAGTGGAGCGATTTGTGTATTGGTTTTGTAATGATGAGTGTTTTTTTTAATTTTTGTTATTGTGTCTGTTATCATGTTTTTGGACAGTAAAAATGTTCAACAGCATATTTTCTTATAGGTACCAATATGTGAAATTGAATGAATGTTTATAATGTATATGCCCCATAGGCCATAACATCATAACTTCTTCGAAATATTGGGATTTTTTTAGATATTCATAGCCATAGTATAATGTTGAGTTTTATTCATTTTTTTTTTAAAATTATTGTTGATAAAAAAAGTTTTGCTCGGTTAAAAACTTAAAAATGTAATGTCATTAGTTGTTGTTCTTGGAAATTACAAATAAAAGGTTGAGCGGTAATCTATTGAATCCGAACATGGAGTTATTATAAAAATTCATTAAAACCACAAAATTGGTAAAGTTTCTGTTTAGATTTTTAAATTGTATACAAGATTAAGATTTCCTAACATTAACAAAAAAAAGTTACGAGCCTTTGAATTACGATATTAATTATTCACCAGTAAATTAACAACTACTCAAACATTCGTTCTCTATAAAAAAAACTAATTATTTTAGGTATTTGAAATATTCAACAATTGTTTCTTTTATTATCTTTTAGATATAATTTTTAAAATATTTCGACTAGTTTTGAGCTATTTATGGACATTTGAAAATAAATTTTTTTTTGGTTAGGAGGGTTGAAATTCTAAAAAAAGTTTATACAAGATATTAAAGATACAGAGTCACAATTTTTTTTTTATAAGTATTGAAAGTTCAAATTTTGACAACATTTCTCAAAATCTCGAAAATGTTCAAATTATTTTGATGTTAAAAATTATAAAATTATAGAATATTTAATTTTTATAGCTGAGGATTCAAAATTGTATACAACATTTTCATAAATAGATGTTTATTTAACCAATTAATCAAAAAAATAATTTAAAAACAGTTCTTTTTAACAGACCTTTTAAGTCAAAATTTGAATGAAATTACATATTTAAACCAATAATAACGATTTTAGTTGTTTTGTTGTAATTAAAAAATATTATTGTTGGATAATATATAACATTTTTAGTGTATATCATTTTATTTTATACACACTATGACTTTTTCATATGTAATTTTTTTTTTTTTTAAATGTATTTGTCTTTAATGCCTAATAGTAAAATAAATTACTTTAATCACAATAATATCATCAAATATACTTAGTAGTATCATTTTTTGTATGTAATGGTTTCATTTCATTGAATTTAAAGTTAACACATCCATTACAGTGACTCTATTGACACCTAATGTTCATCAATGCGTTACCCACTTAACTGCTTTTTTTTATTCTTATACATTTTTTAAAACTTTAACGGTATTAATTCAATAACTCTTTGTATCAGCTATATTTTATATGTTTATTCAGAACATTTTTGAACATCATATGTGTACTTACCTCTGTGTCTAATGGAAGAAAATTTAAAAAGTCTTTTGGTTTTGTTACATTCATAAACATACATAATGCAGTTTTGAAAAACTGTGTATTGTGCTGAGTTATTGGCTCTTCTTCATTTTCTTCGACAACCTTTAATTAAGAGCATTGTATTTAAGTAATCTGTACAATTATTTAAGTATATTTTAAACTATTGTATCTTGTTACTTCATTTTGTGTATTTGAGGTATTTGGTTCTAGTTCAGTTTGTAGTCCGTTATACATCCATTTAACTAGTGGTAAGTCAATAAAATCTGTGTTCTTACAGTTACATGCTCTTGGACAATCTTTGCCCCATTCTAAATTTATATCAGAACTTTGTACCTGCCACAAAATTATAATTTATAACCATCATAAAAATATCATAAAAGTTCTAAAAATAACAACCATTAAAAATAACTATATGTATTATAAAAATCATAATATGTACAAAAATTAATTCATTAAAAAACATTAATGTATTTTTATTTTTTTAGAGATTAGTTTGTTTTATAATATTAAAACTATGGAATATTTATATTTGTGAATATTTTAATGGACACAAATATGATGCATTTTAGGAAATTGTGAGTTTTTAAAAAAGGCTTAATAATTGTTATGATTCTAAAACATTAATTTAACAAGAATATTGGAATGAAAAATAGACAAATGTTCATAAACTTAAATATAAAATGCAGTCTATAAACAGAATATAAGGTTTAAGTTAATGTACAACATAAAAGTTTATGATATTTTATAACCAGTTTGAGATTAATCCAAGTAAGAGATAACAATGTTTATGACCTATGGGCTGTAATTTAAAATTTTAAACTAAATAAATTGCTCTATTCTCTTATTGACCTAAAGGAATTTTGGAAATAATTTTAAACAAATTATTACTCATTATTTACCTTAAAAATTAAATAGATGCATGTTTAAAATAACCAATAAACTATTTTTACAAGATATCGAATGATTCGACAATTATTCATTTATATCTGATATAATATTATTTAGGAACAGTTAAGTTAGATTGTTTTATTAAGAACAATTTCATAAGAATAAATATATTTATAAAATAATAATTAATATTTATTTTGTATGATCCTAAAACATCTAATATTTTAAAATTATATTTGAATCTTATTTTAAATTTAACTATTTTATACAAATGCACATTTAATATCAACCAAAGTGTACATGTGCTTGAGTTTTAAAATGACATAATAATATTTATATAATTCTTAAAATATTTAATGCATTTTTAAGTATGAAAAATATACTATTAATAACCTAACACTTTATGAATACATTTTTTCATATGTTTTCGGGTTTAAAATTAATAGTCAAGTAGGTAGTATAATTGTTGGTACATTACTATAGAAATAGAAATGTTTTTTTAAGATTTTGATTATTTTACCTATAACATTATAAATTAATAAAATTGTATTCAATACCAACAGTTGTATAATGTGTTAAAACTTAATGACATCTAGATTTTAGATTGAACAAAGAAATGGAAATCAGAAATAAATGTTTGTCTATCATGTTTTTTGTTATTTCTTAACCCATTACATTTGCCAATTTTTTTTTTTTAATTAAGAAAACGTATACCCACATGTGTTGTCACTGTCTTACAAATGTATAACATAGCAATAACTGTTTTGCGCAGGATAGAATCACTTAGTGTGTAGTTCTTGTTGAAACGTCAAAAGTGTACACAATATAGAAGATAATATTTTCTGTATCATAGTTTTTTTAGTTGTTTGATATCATTAATAAGATAAAAGTTATAATACTTTAAAAAATCTGATATTTTTAAGTTTTTCAAACTTAAATAACTTCTGATGTAATTTACTATTAAAATATTTGTTATTATCACTATTTTTTAAAATTATTTAGTAATAATATTTAATTGAGCTTCAAGCCCACTGATATGTCTGAAATAGTAAAATGTCATGGAACTATGTTTATATCATATAATTTGTTTTTGTACATTTTAAAATGATCACAACTTACTTAAAAATAATAATATCAATCAAATCCTCAGAAATGACATATATAATATTCTTACCTTTAAATTTTTAAGAGATAAATTCACTCTAATTTTAGAAATTATCGAGTAAAACGTATTATTGCGAACGTGAAATTTGCTTTGTTGTACGTTTGTAAGATTGAGACAACAAATGCCTGTGCGGCGTCCTCTTAATATACAATTTGTCACTTATTTCTGGTTAAGATAATTTGTTACTATTATTAATTATTCCTTATAAATATATAAAATATTTTTTGGTGTTTACTATTACTATACTGAGTTGCTATTTTCAAATTTTAAGATTTTAATTTTAATTAAATAAATTTATTATCTCATATCTCAAAAAAAATACCCCTCTATCCTTCAGAGTACTTATATTTTTCATTATCTCAAATATTTTGCTGTTCCCAGAGATTTCAGTTAGGTTACTGTAAGTTGAATGAATTTATAAATAATTTTATTAAAAAACAATAGGTAAATGAAAATTGAAAAAATTAAAATTAAACACTATCCCATAGTGAAATTACCTTCAAAAAAACACTCATCACAATAATATACCACATTAAATAAAACTTGCTGCAAATCATTTTAATGTATTTTTAAAAATAATTTAATTTACACAAATGTTTAATTTTAATATAATGTATCATAATAATAATAATTTAATATTTATAATTCACTACTAAATGAAATGTTTGACCATTGAATATCATTATCTTATTTTATTTTCCTTCCTGTTGTAACTAAACAGGAACTGGATTAATATGTTTGTCGTGGGAGTAAAATTATACTTTGTAAATTTATCAGTTGTGTATCACAAGGATACTGTGTGTTTGGCATTACTTATTAAATTTAATATTCAAAAATGTCGAGTATTATTTTATCATATAACATATTATAATATGTATAAATATTTATATTATTGTTACTAACTAAGTCAATACTAGCTATAGGTTAAAACGGTGTGAATTGAAGTATGATATAACTAGGTTAAAATCAGTTAAATTGTTAAAAGTTAAAATGCCATCATGTATCTATTGAAAATAAAAGTATGGGTGGTAATATAGAACACTATAGGTATATTATAATTGCTTAAAGTTTCAACTATCTACTAAAAAATAATGGTTATTTATCATTTGAATATACAATTTTATCAAAATTTGAGTTACTTATATAAATAAATTATGCCTAGGTATATATTTTCGATGTTGTTAAATTTTGATGATATGTGAACTAATGAGGAACCTAGCACTAAATTTTAAGCATTTTGAGGCATAAAAAAATGCGATTATAGCAGGACGTCCAACGTCGTACCATTTTGACGTGTTGTCTCCATTTCACTAAAACATGATACACCAAAATGCCCAAATTAACTTATGGTAACAAATTTAATTTAGTTAGTATTTACATTTACGAAGTTTGCAAAACATTAACAAAAGCCGGGGGGGAAACTAGAATATTTTCGGAACAGACAACAATTCTATTGTTTGATAAAATTGATCGTTTTTATTATAGCTTTAAAGTTTAATGACTAAGAAATGAAAGTCAGACTATGTGGCCAATATTGGCAAGGTGAGTTTGCATGAATGTGAAAATATATTATAATGGCCCAAAACTACTTAAATGTGAACAACTGTATGTATTTTGTTGTTACCTTAATTATTTGAGTGAATTGATCTATTATCAAACTTAAAGATAAAATAATCATCTGTATTCCCTTATTAAATTTTTACGATGTTTAAGTTTTTAGTAATATACATATTTTAATATACTGCTCATAATTCACTTATAAAACCAACGAGAGAATAAGCTGATGTTTTTACATTTCAGTTTGATATTAGTTCAATTCAATCTATTAATAAAGCTAAGTTCATCAAATTGGAACTGCTAGACATCAATTTTGTTAGGTGTAGCCGTGTAATTATTATATACGTTTAAGTTTTAGTTTCAATACGGAAACAGCACATATGCGGCCTCTTATGCTTAGGTACAGATGTACCTACTGTACTTAGTTCACATTAAATTAGTTTTAGGCCAGTATACTACATACCTATTCATGCAGACACCACCCAGGCCAATATTGACAATATAGTCCGTCTCTTTTTTCTAAGTTTTTAAACTTTAAATTTAAATCTACAATAAAAACATGATCAATTTTATCAAACAATAGTGTTGTTGTCTATTCCGGAAATGTTCTCGGTTTTTCGTCGGTTTTTGACGTTTGTTAATGTTTCCCAAAATTCGTTAATAGTAAATACCTACTAACTAAATTCAATTTACTACGAATCTGAATGTTGAAGATTGAATCATTTTTACTGCGTTTTAATGAAGACAGACAATTGTTTTTTTTAAAACCTACATCATTTTAACAATCAATTTCACTCAGAATCAAAATGGAAGAAAATCTACAGCCGCAAAATATAACTATACCTGTATATATGTATATGTAATATACTAATATGTATTCTGAAGATTTGGGGCGATATGTATCACATCATAAAATATGTAATTATACTGATATACTTACACCGTCCTCACGAAATTCGTGATTAAAACTGATTTAACAAAATATGGGTTGTATACTTATGTATGTATGTCTTATAAATAATTATTATGCTTAGGTTATTTATAATTTTTACCTAAAATGTCGATTATTATTTACTATAATACTCCTGACTCCACATAGTGTAAAGTGGTACTCATTGTTGTATTCTATATTCAATTCAAATTGAAAGTTGGTGTGTATGTTACACTAACCTTTGTCTAACAGAACTTGTGAATTACTTCGGCAACATCGCCATTATTCATTAATTAATTACAATTAATGGCATACCTATAACAATTTACGAAACTCCGGGAAAGCCGGAGACTACTTTCTATAGCTTTCACGACCTTACGTGAACACTATGATATTATCAGTATCATTTTTCATGGTTTTATACCTACTTACGTGTTTCATACCATATTATTGTTGAAAATAAACCATGAATTGCATTTATTTAAAAATGTATTTTTTATATAGGTAGGTAGGAACGATCGCAATTTACCATATACTTAGTACCTACATTAAAAAATGTTATTTAACACAGTTGGACATCGGCAGACTGCAACCTGATTAACTTTTTACTGAGGCCTACCTAATATTTCTCAAGGTGTCTAAAATCATAATTTTGTGTTTTGGATTTTGATAAAAATTAATTTGTATTATACTACCACTATAGTTTTGATTCTAATCGCACGGAAAGCTCCGGAAATTTCCGTAAGCTCTACAACAAAGTTTTCAAGCGTAAAATTTGTTTTGCGGATCAAAGAATAAAACAATGCAACTTTTATTTTGCATTATTAATTAACTTTTTTGATTTTTTGGGCATATTATTTTAAAGGCATTTTCAGTATAATATTAGCAAACGTGTAAATATATATATCAAACTATCTCCTCAAACTGTATATTTTACTTTTAATAACAGATACGAAAGTAGCAGAAAACAGCCTCTCCCCACAAGCCTGTATTTCCAAAAATGGTTAAAAACAAAATTACAAAAAAAACATATTATTCCATTAACAGTTTTCTGACAATTATGACATGGCAGTGAACTATAAATTTCAAATAATTTTACTGTAATAGTCGAACCTTTTCCCTTATCTCTCAATTAATATTTTATTAAGTATAAGTACATGTAAAATGACAGGTACCTAATCGTAAAAATCAGACGTTCCTAGAAGTTCCGCCAAAGTCAACCAGGTTGAAAAAGAACCATTTAGATTAAGTTTAATAATATAAAAAATTACATTTTTTTATTTTTACATCAGTTTTTTAGTGCATTAAGTAGTATTTTATTTGCGTATTTTTGAGATTTATAAAAGCTTTAAAATACAAACTTTAGTATTTACCAAAAAATTGAAACTGAATATATGATGTTTGATTTATACAAAAGATCTTTAACAGCATCTGTTACATAGACGGACATTTGGTTGAATGTGTAGGGATGCTAGAATAATCCAATAATAATAATTCAAAAATCCTCCGAATAGTTTTGTTTCCTCACCGATGTCCTCATATGATTTATAAGCTTACGATTTACCTACATATTTTTTTTGTTAACAGATATTCCGGCTTGTGGTGTGTACTTTACTACATACGAACTATTAGTGAGGTATCAAAAAAATAACAACTCGGAAGGACTCATAAACACAATATTCGCTGGGGGTATGGCTGGTATACTGAACTGGTTAATTGCTATGCCTGCGGACGTACTCAAGAGTCGTTTACAAATCGGTTTGTTTCATCCCTCTATATATATTTAAAACTATTATTTATAGTTTATAGTACTATATACTAAAACATACTTGGATAGTATTCCAAATACAGTATTTGAAATACTTTTAGAATACTGTTGCCCATATTTAATGATGTATTCTGAATACTGTGGAAAATATTTAGAATACTATATAATGTATAGAATTATTCAGAATACTATTATTATATTAGGCAGTGGCGGATCTAGGTTTTTTATGGTGAGTGCTAGTATGAATAATAGTCCTAAAGTACGATTATTAGTTATTGTGGAAATAAAAAATCGTGAGTGTTGCAATGAAAAAAAGGTTCATCACGGTCAAACATTAAGTTTGTAATGGGAAAATAAAAAAAAAATATCAATTAAAACTAATTTATTATTATACCTAATACAAAGATAAGAAAAATTGACTATTATTTTTTAGCACGGAAATCTCTGGGTTCAAACAAACGACGACCAGATTTTGATGGCCGGCGTCACAGATTTCTATAAAGTATAAATTTATTTTTTATATACTCCCATATTTCTATATATTTCTGTAATTTAGTATAGGAGTCTGTGACCGCCTTCTGGTTTGTAAAATATATATAGAATTAGGGTTGACGGTATTGAAATCGAATACCGAAAAACCGTAATGCCGGAAACAGCAGTTAGGTATTACCTTCTTACAAGTGCGTTACATACCAAATTTAAGCTCAGCAGATCACGCGGAGCTCCGTTAGTTTAAAAATTAGAGTGAATCAATCTATTTTGAAACTTGATGTTAAGAACATTTTCTGTGTTCCTAGGCTGATTTTTTTGCGTTAGTCCAATTTTTTAGCAAGTTGTATATATACAATATAGCGTAAATTCAAAATGCTCATAAAATTATAACTCACTTAAAAATTGAATTATCGTAAAAACCAACATACACAAACACAGATAATGTTCTTACCTAAAAGTTTCATAATAGGTCGACTCACTCTAATTATTAAACTAACGAAGCTACACGTGATCTGCTGAACGTAAATTTGATGTGTTACGCACTTATAAGACGGAGACAACAAAAATGCCTAGTGTTACGTCCTCAGTATGACAATTTGGAAGGTTAGTCTGGACCACAGCCTGAGTGGTTCTATCGAGCGCAGAACAGTTTTTTTCTGGTATAGGTACTCTAATAAGACTGAGACAACACTTGTGGCGTCCTCTAAATTAAATTAATATTTTTGAAATATTTAGACTAATTTTAAGATATTTATGCCATTATAACCTATTCACACCATTCTATAGTACTCAATGGTTTCTGTGATATTCATGTGATTATCACATTATCACTGTTTTTTTATTGATATCATTATTTTATACTTTCAGCACCTGAAGGAATGTACCCGAGAGGCATTCGAGACGTATTTGCTAAACTATACAAAGAAGAAGGACTGAAAGCATTGTACGCTGGTGTGACGCCTGTTATGCTCCGAGCATTCCCTGCAAATGCCGCGTGTTTCTTGGGCGTAGAGCTAGGGTTAAAGGGCTTAGATTTTATTTTCCCTCCGAACAATAATAAATCCATAGAAATTAACTAACAGATATCCTCAAATTTCTTATAACTGAGGTTCATGAAACAATTTTATAATAGTTATTTGGTTTTATATTTTTTGTTGGGTGGTATGGGTGATCGTATTATAATATTTATACAGGCTGTGCATAGCAAAAATATGTATTATATAAAATATTGCGTTGTATTAATTTTAAAGTTATCTTAAGTTATACTATCAATGATTGTATTGTTTTAGGTTCCAATTGTTTGAATATAATATACATATGTGTAAATTAATTGGTGTAAATTTAATTAGGTAAAGACAATAATTTTAGTTTAAGTGAATTTCGAAGAATTTCTATTTACTGTGTTGTGCTTGGTAGGAATACAGCTATTTTTTTTAAATTCAAACTATTGATTTTATTGTGCTTACCTAAGTATATACATAATAAGAATACAGTTATAAAGAATAAATTATATTTTATTATATGCTAATATTTATTTAAAAATATATTTGATATTTTGATTGAAAAGTAGAACAAATGGTTCTATTTATTGCAAAAAAGTTGATCATTAAAATTTTCAGTTATTTGATGTATTTTGATTGCCTAAAAGATAATGATTTAAAATTCGACTCTTTAGTAACTTGTAGGTAGAATGTTATAACAACTAAATTTATATTATATTCTAAAATAATTTTATTTTTACTATTAGCTTTTAAAACTGGAAAAATGACAAGTATTTTAGTTAATTCAAATAGGTGCTGAATTGATGGTTCAAATGCCCAGATAAAAAATGTATGTTAGGTTAATATAATATTGTAGAAGATATGGATTTTGCGGAAGTGATGAAATACTCTACACTTAAGTTAGTTACATGTCATTACTGGGAGCTATTATTTGAATAATTGTACATATTGTTTTTTTCAAAATATTGAATATTTTAAATATTTTATAGATTCATTGTTGAAATACTCTTTTAGAGTATCACCAAAAATGCACGTTGTAAAATATATTATTCGTGTGTTGTAGCCACTTTTTAGGATATATATGAAAATATTTCACAAAATGGTCACTTTTTCATGAAATGGTCAAGCCAATTTAGGTCTGTGTAATTATTTTCACACTGTGGTCGCTCACTCTGTGTATTTATATACAACATTTATTGGACACGTAAAGTTTGATTATATCCATTAACCATGTGCCCATGTCAAATACAATAAGAAGGTACTATCTATATTACATACAACTTACTATTATACTGCAATTACCAGACTATCTGAAATGTGTAGACTGTAAATGATAGTTATTGGTTTTGATAAGTCATAAATCATAATTATAATGTCACATCAGCATTTTGGTAATACCTTAATATGAATGTGTGTAGTTGTTGTATGGATCATTTTATCACATTAAATTCTAAAGGTTAACCTATCTACGTAGTATACTTGGTTAGCTTACAAGAGCGCAATAGATGTGATGTGCAAATGGCCACATAAAAAATTCATTAATGTGTCCATCTTGTGAAAAGAAATTAAACTTAACCTAAGATTATTCATTACATTATTTCAAATTAGTAAATGATAAATAATATGGTAAGCATATGAATATTTTATTTATATGCTACTGTTTTTTTTTCACCTACCTATATATGATTTATTTATAGAGCCTACAACTGGCAGAAACTAAAATAGGTGAAAAAAATATTAATATTTGTAACTATATACTATATAGTACCCTAAGTACATAGGTACCTAAAATGTTATTGCAATTTAAAATGATATTATAATATATGATATTTTACATGTTATGTAGAATATTTTTTTTCATTTTTCAAGAATATAAATATTTTTTATTAATACAACATGTATAATAATTTAGATTCATTCAATGAAGCAATTTCAAAATTGTGATGTACTATTAATTTGTCTGATTCAGAAAATGCTATTAATCTTGGGTGTGAAACGAAGAAAAAAACAATGTATAAGTTCTCTTTTTCAAAATATTGATGATGATGATAATGCTGATTCCTCTTCAGATGAAAATGAGGAACAGTGTTATATTCATGTATTTAATATATTAGTTTTAAACTAACAATTGTGTTAATAACTATATTAATATTTTATAGAAGTTGCAGGAAGTACATCATAATTTTATACGTAGAATATCATGTTTTAATTAACTTCAAATCCTCCAATAGAACATTCCAATCAAGGTGATGATAATGTAAGAACTGTGGTACCAGTAATTATAACGGTTAATAGGTTCACCATACAATATTTATTAATATTAATGCCTATCTATAAACAAAATTTATATATTTCTATTTCTATTTTATTTTTATATGTTATTAATTTTATGTATTTATGTATGTAGATATTAAAATACAATCTTATATTAAAATGTTTAAAAATATGTTTAATAAGTATCACATCAATATCAAATCAAAATGTTGTTTCACCACCATACTCGTGTCCTACGCCATTGTTGAAGGCTATGATAGAAAATGGAAATTTTTCTCAAAATACATCATCAATGGTAATAATTATGTATTAATTGTTTGTATTGTACACCACTCACCTGTTCATGTTTTTATAATCACTTATGATATACTATATACTATATAGTGATGTAACTGTTTTTTGTGCTAATGTTTTTTAATGATATATGTTAGCTATTTGGAAAACATTTAAGTTGAATTACATATTTAGTTTAGTAATATTCAATTAATTTGACATACATGTAACTTCAATAACATCAATGGACATCTTTTATTATGTTAACTATGTATAATATTAGTTTTTAATTTAAATTTGTTTTAAGATACTTGTTAGTGCGGATAATCGACGCTCCACTGTACATAAACAACTCCAACAACCTCATTTGACATCCTATCAGATCATCTCACACGCAACATCGATATGAATACCATTGTCTCCAGTCAAACAATTTAACGACAAGTACTAAACACACATACTTGAGCCTTGTGTGAAAGATACAAACATCCCACAAAATAAAACAAATAATGCATCTTCAGCTAATATACTTACATCCTTTATACATTTTTAGATGAATTTAAATCTATAATTATACCCCTACCCATCTTGACCCTGTAATTTCTAAACTAATTGACTACAAAAATGATAAATAACGTATACACTTCAGAGTTTGCTCTCTCTGCATTAAATTATGAAACACAACAGGCAATCCTAAAATAAAAAGACAGCAGTATCATGAACTGCTTATCTAAAATAAAATATGTAGATTATTAATCTGAATTTTAAAATTATTAAACTAAATAAATTGAGTTATTTTTTTTTCATGTTAAATAAAAATGTTGAAAAATAAAATATTAATTTCAGTGAAACTTGCAAAACAAATATTTGGTATAATAATAGTTTGCTAAAATAATACAAAAATATTTCCATAATCAAACTATCAAATATGAAAAAAATTAAAAATAATAATTTACTTTATTATAAATGTAGGTAAATCTACACAATGAAATAGGTAATAACATCAGAATAAACATTAAAGTAAGACATGAAATAGTAATATAATTTTAACAACTAAGCTAATATTTACTGAGCAGTCATTTTGTATAATTCTGGTGGAATAGGTTGGTTAGACTTTTTTAAAACATCAATAAGGGGAGAAGCGTTGAGTTTATCATATTGAGAAAACAAAGTAATAGCTGAACCTGTTTTTCCTGCTCTGCCAGTCCTACCAACTCTGTGAACATACTCTTCAATATTCAAAGGAAAATCATAGTTAATAACCAAACTGATATCATGAATATCTATTCCTCTGGATGCCACATCTGTAGCAATAAGAATGGATACAACACCATTGCGTATATCGGCCAATGATGCTTCTCGATCAGCTTGTACTCTTCCACCATGTATGCATCTATAAATCAAAAGGCTGGTTTCAAATTTTATTCATAAAATGTAATAATGTTTGTTCTATTACCTGCACTCAATATTTATACTGTTGAAATGTTCATACATTTTGTCAACCGATGTTTTTTTGCGCATAAATATTATGACTTTATCATCCTCGGAGAGGTAATTGCTAATGAAGTCATCCAACCAATCTTCCTTTTGATGTTCTTTAAGTATTATAATTTTTTGAGTTACAGTATCCACAGTAGATAAATCAAGAGAACCGACTGTAATATGTAATGGATTTTTTGCAAAGTAATTGGCCAAATTTTGAACAGCTACTGGCCATGTGGCGCTCGTCAAAATTGTTTGCTTATCTGGGCGTATATGTCTTAGAGACAATTCTATTTGATTCTTAAAACCCATATCTAACATGCGATCTGCTTCATCAAGGACCATATAAGATACGTGATCGAGTTTAACAGCTTGTATACCAACCAAATCATTAAGCCTTCCTGGTGTGGCCACAATAATGTCTGGTTTCTTAGCTTGTATAAGTTGTTGATGAGTTACTGCTGATACGCCACCACCGTATACACATACAACTTTAATATTGTTATGTAAATATTTTGTTATTTCATCGTGGATTTGTAATACCAGCTCTCTTGTTGGTCCCAATATAAGCACAGATGGTCCAATACGTTTATTGCGTGGAGTGGGCTGTTGAATCAAATGAATTAAAGCTGGCAGTATGTATGCCAATGTCTTGCCTGTACCCGTTTGCGCAATGGCTATTAAGTCATGTCCACTCATAATTATAGGCCAGGCTTGACACTGAATGGGCGAGGGTGTGGTAAAATTTTGTTTTTTAATCACTTTCATGATATCTGGATATGAGCTAAAAGCATGCTCAAATGTTTTTACTGGCTTCGGTATTGTTCGGGTATATTCAGCGCCATCCACATACTTAACGGTAATCTCGTTTTGAGCAGTTCTGAATGACTGAACTTCCTCGTCGGACATAGCCTTTACTTGGCTATGCTCCACATAGAAATCCTTTTTGATCGGTGGCAACAATTTTAACAACTCGAGCTCTTTTTCCCTGTTCTCTCGGAGGACTTCCTCCCAAACATCGTCGCTGCAATTGATCTTCTCTTCCGGCGACACCGCTCGCTTGACTAATCGCGGCCTGCCTGCACCACCACCACCGCCACCATCACGGGGTTTTCGTCTTGGCGGTGGCGGTGGCGTGGAAATCGTTTCTGACCGCACCAATTTTCCGACGATTTTCTCGATCATGTCACTGGCCAAACGCTGCGAGTCTTCACTGCCAATTATTTTTACGTTTCGAGTGTCCTCCGTGTCACCGTTGGTTAGTTTTACCATCGCGCCGCTATCCTGTTGGATGCTCTTAATCGTAGCCCCGCCACGACCGATCACCAGACCAGCCATAGCTGACTCAATCACCAAGAGAGTAGACATGGAAGTTGGTTAAAGGTATACGGAAAATAGATATAAACGGCGGGAATAGAACCCTCGGCCGAAGGAAAGTGGTAAAATTGAAAATTAGAATGTTATAAATGACGCGTGTAAACAACGCAACGAAAAATGAACGCTCCAAGAAGAACACTGGACACTAGACACAATAAGACCGAAAGTAGGAGTGAATAAATGATTGTAACTATCTTCCATTTTGGGTCCAGCTTTGACAATTGATCAATTTTATGTTAATATTATATGTCGACAGAATTTCGACAATCTGTTGCTGATAACCTGATATCTGGCCTGATAACTGACCGTATCAGTGATAAGATCAAACGGGCCTTTGTTCAACAACTTACAGGCTCGAAAACGATACTTTTTTAACTGTTTTTTTTTACAAATTCTATCGTTATAAAATGAACTTCATTACATTACCCTCATTACTGTCGTCCGCCATCGTGTACCTACATACCACAGAACATAGAGAGAGTATGATACTTTCAACTACTCAACTCAAACACGATAGATACGTGTAAAAGTTTACTCACACCAAAGCATGCATAATATTATCAGACGTGAAAATATACGATTTCTTTTTCAAATAAAATTATGTAAACTAGAGTGTTGACAAAGTTTTTCGCAAGGCAAGAGGACCATGAATGTCTTTAGACTAATTCAACTTGTGTGGAGACTTGTTTGAGTAAGATATTCAATCGTAAATTTAACAATATTATCGCCATAGAATGAAATATCAATGTCAGTTTCAAATAAGTAAGTTATGGTGATGAATATTTTAATTACTTATTTTCATACTATTCACGGCCCAATTTGTATGTTTTTTTTTGTAGATGCTAAGGACCAGTGAAGATAATGATGCATCATTCATATTCTAATCATGAAAATATAAATGTACAATGGATCGAGACTGAACTCCACTGGAAATCATTTACGGCCAAAACTACAAACAATATTTTTGATGAATCAGAAGAAACAATAAATATAAAAGAGTGATCCATAACATTTTTGGTAAAATTGTATTTAATACAACTATCTTACTGTGTATCCATTATCATTTACCTCATAAAATATTCAAAAGTCTTTGTTCATTGATTGCCAACGCTTTAGGTTATTATTTATGTATATTATGACATATCTATATCATATTGGCACTGTACTCATATCTATGAACGTCCAAAGTATGTGAACCTTAGAATGAAATATCAATGTCAATAAATTGTTTAAATTATTTTATGCAATAAATTGAACGAATTGAACATTAACACTTATCGGTTATAAACATCAACTACAGGTTCTGATATAATATATTCTATGTAAATAATTAATAAAAAAAAGAGATTGAGAATTGATTGACAAATCATTATGCATTTTTCTAAAATTCCATGAAAAGTAGCAGTTTACAGAGATTCATACACTAGGAAATCTAAAAATATTCTCTACGACAAGGAATTAGTTTATAATTCTACCCTGTATCTGAATAATAAAATTTGTATTTCACAAAAATGAAATCGCAATTATTTGACATTCAGTCGGCATTATATTAAAAAACGACCAGAAATCAGATAAATATACAGTTTTTTCTCCAAATATTATATTACACAACAGAATTTATTCAACTATTGATTTACATTTTGATTTCAGATAATATATTATACATCAATGTGGATAAAACCTATCACCAATGATTATCGTTATGTATTATACCTTCCGCTCTGTCAACACTTATTCAGTTTCAAATAAGTTAAGTAAGTTATGGGTGATGAATATTTTAATTACTTATTTTTATGCTATTCACGGCCCAATTTGTATATGTTCTTTTGGAGATGCTAAGGACCAGTGAAGATAATGACGCATCATTCATATTCTAATCACCAAAATATAAATGTACAATGGATTGAGACTGAACTCCACTGGAAATCATTTACAGCCAAAACTACAAACAATATTTTTGACGAAACAGAAGAAACAATAAATATAAAATAGTGAACCATAAAATTTTTGGTAAAATTGTATTTAATACTACAATCTTACTGTGTATTTGTCGTAGGCATATAGTCAAATCAGGCATTTTATTAAATGCCTAGGCATATAGTCAAAGAAATTAATGTTTATGTAATTTTACTATCCGCCTAGACATTTAGTTAAATGTCTATTTCGTGTCAGGCAAATAATAAAAAAAACATTTTGTATTATTTTAAAAATTTAAATATATTTTCTATCAGTTATTTATTGCTATTTTATACATAAAAATGTATGTATTATTTATTAATATGTCAAACACGTAGAAAATAAAATAATAATAATAATAACACAATAATTATGTGAAATAATATAATATTTAATTTCGTGTCCACTACTACAATTGTTTTTAAAAATGAAATCATAAAAAATAAATTAAAAGTTATAATATAATTACAAGATTTTGTTACCTATTACTTGTTGTCACATGTTGTTATTTATTGGCATTTGCTGGAACATTTGAGATTTTTCTTAAAATATAAGCACCGATTGGTTTGACATTGCCGCTTTCCTGATTGACATTGACATTTAACAAAACCTTGACCGTCGTAAATTGACAAGTTTGCTACTGCTTCACGTATGAACACAAATTTCTTTTTTTACTTTGCTGTTTTCTAAGCCATTATTTGACATTATTTAAAGTTATTTTCTTAAACACCAATTTTTTATTTTACTCACATCCGTACCAATTTGATAAACGCCATTCCGAATGTCTATTACTAACCTATTTATATTTTGACTATCGAGAGGTCCTCGGTCTACTTTTGGAACACTTAATACTATTTGATCACCAACCTTTATTTCTTTAAATAGTTTTTCACTATTTTACGGTACTCAATATAGATAAGGTTCTCATACAACCAAGGTAAAAACCAATGGAACTTTTATTTTTATTTAATAAGAATTTATAGTACAGTGTACTCGTCTACTCGTACTATAGACTATACTGACTGTAGCCTATAGGGTATACAATATACTCGTACTATCATCTACGTCTATCACAACTAATTATTTATTACCTGTATATATTTATAAATTCATTTTTAAAACAATAGTAATAATGCACACAAAATTAAACATATTATTTCATATACTAACGTGTTTTTCATATTAATAAATAATACATAGCTTCTTTATACGTAAAATAGCAATAAATAACTGATAGAAAATATATTTAAATTTTTTAAATAATACAAAATGTTTTTTTATTATTTGCCTGACATGAAATAGGCATTTAACTAAATGTCTAAGCGGATAATAAAATTACATAAACATAAAATTCTTTGACTATATACCTAGGCATTTAACAAAATGCCTGATTTGACTATATGCCTACAACATATCCGTTATCATTTACCTCATAAAATATTCAACAGTCTTTGTTCATTGATTGCCAACGCTGTAGGTTATTATTTATGTATATTATGACATATCTATATCAAATTGGCACTATACTCATATCTATGAACTTCCAAAGTATGTGTTCATGTTTATGGGATGTAATATTTAAATTTTTTTGTATTCTTCTGAGTAATTGTGCATAAATTACATCCACCTGTGCTCAATTTAATAGACTCGGCTTAATAGTATTTTATCAGTTTATTTTTTATGTTTAATTTCAAAATATTCAAGATAACTCACTTCTGCATTATGTTTAGTTTGAAAAGTTTCATTAACTGTGTCAATACGTTTTCTTTATTGTAACTTGTGAAAATGAAAAATCTGTAGATTTCTCTTGAATACTGATGGTACTCTTGGAATGTGAGCACATTCCATTCGCATTCAACCGTTTTATTCACAATGGTTTCTGCTTTCCGTTTTGTTTCATTTCTAAAATTGAATATGTATATTATTTTCTCCCACATAAATTTCAGTTACTTACTCTTATCGGAAATGTTGTTATTACGTTTTATCGATTTCTTCAATCAAAAATTTAAATAAATTAAAAATATTTCTTTCAATTTTATAAATTAGAGTGTTGACTTCATTCATGGATAGAGTGCAAATTACAAAGTTTTTCTCAAGGCAAGTGGACCATGAATATCTTTAGACTAATTCAACTTGGGTGGAGACTTGTTTGAGTAAAATATCCAACTGTAAATTTTACAATATCATCTTAGAATGAAATATCAATGTCAATAAATTGTTTAAATTATTTTATGTAATAAATTGAACGAATTGAACATTAACACTTATCGGTTATAAACATCAACTACAGGTTCTGATATAATATATTCTATGTAAATAAATAAAAAAAAGAGATTGAGAATTGATTGACAAATCATTATGCATTTTTCTAAAATTCCATGAAAAGTAGCTGTTTACAGAGATTCATACACTAGAAAATCTAAAAATATTCTCTACGACAAGTAATTAGTTTATAATTCTACCCTGTATCTGAATAATAAAATTTGTATTTCACAAAAATGAAATCGCAATTATTTGACATTCAGTTGGCATTATATTAAAAAACGACCAGAAATCAGATAAATATACAGTTTTTTCTCCAAATATTATATTACACAACAGAATTTATTGTTCAACTATTGATGTACATTTTGATTTCAGATAATATATTATACATCAATGTGGATAAAACCAATATCAATACAATATACAATATCATCGCCTTAGAATGAAATATCAATGTCAATAAATTTTTTAAATTATTTTTTGAAATAAATTTACCAAATGACACTATTTGGTCAATATTAGATGTTAAGTTCAATTAAATCGAAAGGATAATACTTTATTTTGTATGACTGAAGTATAGTTTTTGTAAAACAGATTAAAAAATGGGTGAAATTATGTTAGATAATGTATATTTAATACATTTTTTCATGTGTGAAATAACCCAATTTGTTTAATTTGAACTTATTATCAAATGCGATTTTAATATTTTTTGTTCCATCTCCCGGTTCAAAAGCTGAAGTTTTAAGTTTGTTACACACAAGTAATAATTAATATATTACTTTATCTTATAATAATGTATTAAATGTTATTCAACTCAATTTTCCTTGTATAATTTTTGTATACAATTGTTCATGTACATCCATTGATTCCAATTTTTTTTATCATTCTTTGGCTTGTTTTTACCATATCTGGTTATGTGTTGGTTAACACTAAACAGCCGATGGTAGATTTTATTACGGCAGAATTCCGTGGGTTAAATGTCTGTTAACATAAACCGGACATTGTGAGAATGGCCCTACGAGTAGATTCTAATTTGCAATATGCTTATTTTTGTATTACTTTTTTAGTTATAAAGTTTTTTTCTTCCTTTGTACAGTTGTATCGTACTTCTTTCATTTTTTGTAAATGTTTACTAGCTAATTTCTAATTATACAACCATACAGCCAAGATTTATTAACCACAAAGGAGAGAAGTTTAGTTACCTGCAGTTTAAAAGTATAAGGAAACTGTTAATATATCCAATGCATATCCAATTAGGAAAGAATTGTGTGAACTGGATTGAAATATTGATATGATGTTCAGTTGCAATTTTTAATACTAAGAAGTTACTATTTTATATCCCTGTGATAAACCTATTTGAGTACTTAACCTATGCAAAGTATATTTAATACTGTTATACATCACATACTGAAGGCACATTTGGATATCACAAAGTAGTCCTATTTGTGATGTTACATTTCGCATCAACTTCACTCAACCTGGCGTTTAACATCTATATAATAACATCTCAGAGAAGTTTATATAGTCATATAAACATTTATAATCAACTTCATGTTTTTGCAATATATTGCGTATTTTAATTGATCACCATGCCTGTTTTTTTATGTGTTAATCAATTCCCAGTACTTGTCTTAACTCTTTGGACAAATCAAAAAATGTTTTCATTGGTAACATTTAAAAAATATTTTTCGATCCAATCATGGACACTTGAAATTTTTCCACAATAACTTTTTAAGAGTGTTTTAAGTTAGAATTTTGACAAATTTCATTAAAATCAGGAAATTTTACAAGCTAATTTGTAAGTATGTAGGTAGATAAAAATTCCTAAAATATTTAATTATTTTACCAAAGAATTGAAAATGTAATACTAAATTCATAATAATATGTAGTTTATTCTGAAATCAAAAATATCTGAAAAAACACTCAACATTTTTTTCTTAGACATTAGAAGTTCAAATTTTGACAAATTCAATTAAATATTAAACATAACAGGTACCTATTTAAATTAAGAATGACAACTTTAATTATTTGTTGTAATTAGTAATTCAATAATATCATTCTTGGGAACTCGAAAGTAGTAACCATACTTTTTATTCATATATTATTATACTTTATACATTCAATGTCATTTCAAAACATTTAGATTCACTTTGAGCTATTTATAAAGCACGCAGAGATAATCACTCAATCTCACCGTTCTGTGGTATTGGATTTAAAGTTAATGACAATAATAAAGTACATACATATATACTATTATAATAATTAATAACTAGTATCGACAGTATCGCCCATTGGTTTTTTTTCTCCAGAAAAACCGTTTTAATTGTAAAATTAACACACTCCAAAACAAGGTATGCTTGTTAGTGGCAACACATACAAATTCAACAAACATTTTATACAAATTTTTAATTGTATTCATTACTTCCAATACAATATCCAATACTAATGCCGGGTTAAATGAACAATCACTAAACATTAAACGAATCAATAGTGAGCTAATGGTCCTTTCAACTTGATTCAGTGGTACATGATTGGTCCATTAAATTAAAACATTTTTCATGCAACCTGGTATTATTGAATTACAGTTTATCAGAAGAAAAGACAGAGAAGTTATTTATCATCCATAGTAAGTACTCCAATTTTGGTATTTAACTTGCCTTAACGGTAACATATTATTTTATGTAAAATGTTTATTTTTCTCCTATACAAGCGGAGTTATTGGTGCGACAAAAGTGCTTGCATATGTATATAGGTAATTAATATTAATTGGTATATATATTGTATAAAAAATGCATTGTTTTTGCAAAAATTAAATCAGCATACAGTACTAAATACTAATACTAATAAATTACTTTAAATTTAATAGCAATATCATAAAGGGAACAAATAGGCGCCTAACTGGCAACCGTTCTGCTGTACAGTAGAACTCAAGTATACATCATCTTTGAGTAGGTCATTACTCGTTTGTGATAAAATCAACGCATTCTAACAACGATTTTCAGCAGAGACAGTATGTAAAGCTTCAGCCTTTTATCATATAAATATTATATTTAATTAAAAAATAATAAATTTGCATTAATTATTCTAGTAATTCATTTTACTATTTATAGTAAGTATAAACTAAATACAATTAATCAAAATGTTTTCAAGATGTAATTGTGATGTATAAATTATAAAATAAGTATAACTATATACGTAAAAGTTTCAAAGCCCTACGAAAAATATATTTTTATTACAATAAAATCACTAAAATGATAATCCTATGTTTATATATATCGAATTATGTCCTAATTTAAGTCATGACTTACAGAAAGATAAAAAATGTGAAATGTCTATAAATAGCTCAAAAAGAGTGAAATTATTTTGAAAATTACACCATTTATGGAAAATGATAATATTATAGACATTTTGAGTAGCTATAGTTCTTTGTTTTTTATTACAATTTACAACAATATAAGAAAATAGTTATTTTATGTGTGAATATTATATTTTTGTCAACATTTAAAACCCCAGACACCTATTGAAAATATTAATTTGAAAAATCTCACTTATTTTTATTTTTTAAATCCAATAGTTACAATTTATGAAAACCTTGTACAACTACATTTTAAAATCTTATGTGCTAATATTAAACATTTTATAAATGTGTAACTAAAAAATAATTTTCAACTTTTAAGGCTTATAACAAAATATTAATATAATATTGCTGCTGCCTTTTTGAGTAGGTGGGTATCTACATAATTCAATAACTGATGTGTGACCGTGACTGGAGATAAAATTCTGATTGTATCATTACGTATGCCATAAAAATGTATATTTGAAAAACAATAATGTTTTACTGATGATTGAGTAAATCACAAATGACTACTAAAAAAAATACCAAAAAATTAAGAATACCTTCTATTATTATACAATCCCAATAAGTTATTTTTCAAAGATAAGAAATTCTAGTGAAAGTATCTACTACCTACCTATTAAACGTAATTAAGTATAATCTAATATTTTAAAATACTAATTAACTACATAATTACTTTATAATTCTGTGTTACAATTTTTTTTTGTGACAAAATGTTTTATGTATCTATATCTATATATACACAGATTGGTACACCTATGAATCACGAATACCATTGGCACGGTTCGGCTGGGTCCGCTATACATAATCCGAGACAATTTTTTTCCGCAGCATCAACGAAAATAGTTTACATTAAAATCTCATGCCAACTCTACAGTGTCTACGCACGTAGACATTCACACATACACACTCACATACCACTGACGGCGGCCAATAATATAATTGTCACTATAATATTTTTAGTAAACAGCCGTCGTAGTCTTACTCTGGTAGCGTAGTAGTCTCATCGCACAGCAACACTGCAGCGTCCGTATTTATTGTTACAAAAGTACGTAAGAAGCATATTATTTATTATATATTATATACATTAATATATTTACAAATCGATTTAAGCACTCGTCGAACACAAACAGTTAGGCTCAACGATTTTTACGTATCAGACTTTTTGAATAGTTTTAGTGTAGTGCTTGGATTTATTTTATCAAGTGACATAAAAAAAGAATGGTGCGCTCTCATTAATTTAGGTGTATATTAGTATAATAGCAATAAATAATTTAATATAATGTATTCAGAGGATGCCATCTCAATATTTGTTTTCTTCCTCAGACCCACGTGAAACATAAATAAGAATCAGTCACATAAAATCGTTTTTTATGATTTTTGATTAATTTTAGAGTTAAATCTCCTATTACAATAATTATAGAGGATAATGCTTGTGAGGGTGTAACATATGTATTGGTTTTATATTTTATTCTTATTTGACTTGAAAGAAAAAAAAATCATTTTAATTCATGTATAATTTTTGTAATGTGTAATTTTACTCAAAGATTACTAAAAAAAAAATTATTTTGTGTAATGAGTTTTGTCTACGTGTGCGTGGGCCAGAGAGAGAAAACAAACAGTTCTCTGACATCATCTCAATATAATATAATGCGAAATACCTAATATCATTGATTTATAATACTACGGATTGGTCACTGAGGTACAATATATATTATGTTGCGCTAAATTAAAATATAGTATTTAAAATCAATGCTTATAGAACGTATTTTATTGTTGTAAGCACTAAGTTTGATCGAGATTCGTCGGGCCACATGGCTGCAATGTCCGGTACGTTTTCATTGTCCTACAACCGTCGGCGCATGGACGGCGGTGGTACGATGGGAGGAGGAGCAGGACGAGTTCCGTGCCGTCATTATGCCACGGAAAGAAGGCGGCACAGATATTCATCGTTTTCCATAATGAAATGGTTCCGGCGGAGCAAGCACTACGACGACGACGATTCGGCCTGGTTCCGGGACGATTTGCAGCGCATACGGCAAGCGTACGTGGAACAGGAAGCGGACTACGCGGCAATTTCACCGGTCGCAGCACGCCGCAGGCCTACGACCGCCGCCACGTGGTCTAGGTGGTCCGGTAGCACGACGACCGTGTACAGTTTCGCGTATGTAGACGGAGCGCCAAGGGACGACGGCAAGAATGGTGTCGTCCCAACAGGACGGGACAGACATCGTGCAGACGACGACGACGACGACGATGTGGTCGAGTACATCGACGCGGCCACTCTGCCGGTGGCGCATCGGCGGCCGACCGACCGCCGTCAGCCGCACTCGCCGTCCAGCACGGCCAGGCCAAATGACCGTACTGGCGGGTCCGCGATGACGGGGACGATGACGGCCACTAGACGACGTAACAAGAGAGCCGCTCCTCCTCCGCCGGCGTTGACGGTCAAACCTGCCACTGTGGCCGTCGTTGACGGTGCGGCAAACACTGCGACGGTGCAGCGACGAGCGGCTGGTACGATTTCGAGGAAAAAGTATAGGGCGCCTCAGCCGCCGGCGGACGTGTCGGTACCGCGGCCGCAGCAGCAGCAGCAGCAGCAGCAGCAGCAACGCGGGCCATGCCGCCGAGCCGCACCGGTGCAACACCGTAGAAAGGGTCCGGCGCCCAAGCCGCCTGTCGTACAGCAACTGCAGCCGAAGCCAGTCATCGCCGCCGCCGCCGCAGACGACGGCCAGGAAGCCGGTTCAAATGTCAAGCGAAAAATCTCGCAGTACGAGAGGGACCGACTCATGCAGCGGGTGGACAAGATCGAAAAGCATTTTTTGGATAAGACGGCGACGGCTCCAAAGGCGCAAACGACGGCGGTCACCCGTCCCCACGGATTCGCGTCACCGGCGGCGCTGTACACAGCCATGGCGGCCACGAACCTGACAGAGTTGGACAAGAGAGCGGCCGAGATATGTCGGCAGAGGAACCACCGCGGGGTCGGCGTACCGCTGACAGCCGACCACAAGAACGCCATCGTCACGGCCGTCATCCGGAAATCGTATCCGAAAACGACGACGACGACGGCGGCGGCGGCGGCGACCGACGACGGTAGGAGATCAGACAAAGTGCCTGCGCCGTCTGCGGCGGACGACGAAAAGCAGCTAGTCCGTCACAAGCGTTTAGCGTTTTTCCAACAACAGGGCCGTACAGGACAAGCCGACGACGGCGACAGGGTGGCAGCGAGTGGCACGACCGTTGTCCCGAAACTATCGTCACACGGAACACAGACGGCCGCCGACGCGTCCAAGGTCGACGTGACACCCGCGGCCGACACGGACGTCGTCCGGAGTGGCGGCGGCGGCGGGTGTTCGTCTGCCGCAGGTACAGTATAATATTATGCAGGAATTTAGTTAGTAATGATGTATAGAAGTACGGTACTCTGACACATTTTTTAGTTTCGTAAATGTGCAACGTAATAACATTATATATTGGATTTTTCCAATGTCCAATTTATAAGTAGGTATAGCTCAATCAAAGTACCTATACAATATTAAAGCTCTCGCTCCTGTATGTATGGAACACGGGAAGTGTTAAATACGACATAGCTAGTGTGACTAGTTTTATTTAATATGTAAACACGCTGAATATTTATATTTTTTTATTGAAACACGGCGTCAGTAGTTATTTTCCTCCAAAAATGAGATATGTAGGTACCTACCGCATTCATTCATTCATTCATTAACTTCTACAAAAAAAAAAACAAATCTAGGCCGTTTTCCTCCATAGTCAAAATAAGAATTTGACTTAATTACTAAATTGTTATAATAATTTCAAAATTGAAATATAATATACACATTAAGGTTAATTTTACATTATAATAAATTATTAATATTAGCAGTGTTATATACTTTTATAGGAATAAGAATTGTATAATTAGTGTCCCAATTTCATACACAATACAAATCAAATAAATAAAATAGTACAAACAAAATAATTACCCAATATTAATGCCAAGATATCACACTTCAATTGCGATACGACTAAAAATGAATTAATAAGTACCAATTACATTTGTTCGTAGTTATATACAATTAACTTCCAGGTACCAACAAAGTTTCTTTCTATCCAAAAAAAAATAAATATTAGATAGCAGTTAATATATTAGTATATCGTGTGAGAATGTATAATTTTGGTACAATGTAATAGTGTAATATGTATATGGGTGCCACATGACGGTATTTGGTTAGATGTATTATGATATAACTTTTGTTTTATTTGATATGCCATAGCCATTTTGAAAAGTTGATATTTAGAAAAACATTAACCATCAAAACGTCTATAGAATAAAGTTGCAAAAAACCTGTTAAATACTTATTGTATATAAAATAGTATTTTATCTTGATATTAGGCATTTGAGATTATCTATATATCGACTGTTGGTATGCCATATTCATTACTGAACACAACAGTTACCTTAGACTCAGGGCTGGCTTAAATATATGCAACATTCTTAAACATACCTAACAATATTCTATAATTGTATGTATTATAAGATTGAATATATAATTTTAACATTTAGAAACAAATAGACATAATTTAAGTACAAACAAATGTGTGAACGAAAACGGCACTTATACCTACCTCATTTTTGGAACAAAATGGTCCTGCTCCATTTCATACATTTTTTTAAATTAAAGTCTACAAGAAGAATATATATAATAATTAATAACAAATACATATACAATATATTACAGCTATAACTTATTTTATTAATTATTTTGTTCCTTCGGTACATTTTTAGTAAGTAATAGATACTTTGGAGGGCACCATCCTAAAATCGCTCACAGTTAGTCCCATGTGATCAATCACGTATTCGTGTAATAGTGAATTAGTTATTATTTATTTATCACTGATACATTTATCCGTTTTTGTACGTTAAATAATTTATATCTATACCTATAACGTTAGAAAACATAAAATGCAACTTGCTAACGCTCTTAAGTCTTAACACTATTTAGAGCAAGTTGTGAACATAATTTGTTAATTTTTGTAAAACTATTACCTACCTATAAAAATAAATAATACCTAAACTGTATAAATTTTATAAAGATAATCAACAAAAATAAGCTAATACATATTTTTTGAATATACCTAATTATAAAGTGTAAATTATACAGGTGATTAGCACTTTAAAATTAAAGTTGTAAAAAATGTTTTGTGTTGGCACTGGGCATTCTTAAATATTTTTATTCTAGCCAATAGTGTACAATACAGCGCAGGGGGCTTAGGGGCCGTGGCCTCCTCCCAAGCTCGTATTACTAAAAAAAATTTATATTACATTATAACAAAATTACAAAAAAAACATTTTATAATATCGAAAGTTCTTTGAAAATTATGACTTATCCCCCCAACCTTGTTTCTGGAGCTGTCCCTGATACAGTGACGCAGCAGCCAGAATTTTGGTTTGGGGGATAAAACTAAAACAATTTTTTAATTTTCTTGAAATTACTGGCAGGGATATTATATTATATTATATTATATTATTATATTATATTATATCGATAATGTATTGATCATTGATGATAATATAATATATGTATGGTGTATACAAATATATACTTTATACAGTTATATATATATGTACATTGACGTCCACTCTCCCGTAGAATGTGTAAAAGTTACTTGCTAATTCTAGAAGTATACTTGAAAATTCTCTCAAATTACTCGTAAAATATTTGTACAATATTTAGATTGATAAGTTCATGAACATGGTACATTTAAATACTTAGATATAGAAATGTACAGTACCAATAGCTGCTGTTTGTTAAGCTATTTAAATATTTTTAGTGATTGAAATTTTTTATTAATTTTCATTTGGAAATTACGCTTTGAACATGGTTTGTCATAATAAAAATAATAATTTAATTACAATAATATTAAAACAGAGTATTATATTATTATTTTTATATTTATACATAATTGAATATTTTTCATAGTTTTTGTATAATTGTATGTGTTTTATTCATGTTTTTCTTTAGATCTATGTAGATTGTATTCATATAATATTTATACTGGCACAGACCTTGTTACACCATATACACACTTAAATAATTAAATAACCACATTATTTACTTGTAGTTACCTACTATAAAATAATACTAGGGGCCGGGTCGATATTGGATTTAATTCAAAATCGGCGTCAATAGAAAAAAACGAGTAAGGGAGTAAGACGCTCTGCTGTACAGTAGGTTACAAATAGGTTTCAGTCAACATTTTTTATTTTAGATTCTGAGTGAAACGATAAAAATAAAATAAAAATAAAAAATAAAAAAACATTCATCGTTTCACTCAGAATCTAAAATCAAAAATGTAGACCGGCCGATCTCAAGTAGACTTGACGACAAATTCAAATCTGTTTTCAGAATTCTTATCGCTTCACTTTATCAGTCGGTACGTTTGCCAAAAAACACCTCTTATGTAACGCGTGTGTTGGACAAAGACAGTCGTCACCGCCACCGATCCCCTTAAATTCGAATTAACGATATAGTATCATTGTATACGAAAAATGATTCTGAGCGGAGACTGTATGTCGGGCTAGGATATTTTGTATTATATTTATATTGTTATTGATTATTATTACTAACCGATAGGTTGAATTAATATTATTTGCTACATTGGTATTTTATAATATACTTCAAAAGTTTCAAGTACAATTTACAATAATATTTTTAAATTACAATAATATGACTATAAAAATCGTTATTCTTATTTATTTAGTATGTAATTTCGTCTACATTTGAGCTCAAAAAAACTGTGTTTATATTTTTTTAATATTTTTTGGTTACAGAAGAATCTTGTATGAATCCTTGTTTCAAAATTTCAATCCTTACCTATAAAAGTTGAACGTTTCAAACATTTTTATCTAATAAATAGTTAGTAAATTTTATCAACATTTGAACTTAATACTTACAAAAAAAAAATCGTGCCTATATATTTTTATATTTTTCAACTGCTATTGAAACAATATATCAGAAACTTCGTATTAAATTTTCACGAATTAAAACTATAAAACTGAAAATTGTAAGTTTATAAACAGCGATTCCAAATAATTAATAATAATATTTTTAAGTATAGAAATTGATAAAAAAAATGAAATACATATGATGAAAATTTAAAGTATCGTTATTCTTTTTGAATCACAACAAAATAAGGAAACCACTCCATGGGAAATCAAGTGAATATCCAATGTTGAAACAATTTTAACTTCACTCATAAAAATTTGATTTGATTTTCCAGTAGACATTTTTTTTTTTGTTGACGAACTTATAAAAAATCTTGTATTAAATTTTAAAATCTTGTTTATACCTAAAAGAAAATTTTTTGTGAATTTCTATACCAAAATAATTTTGCAAATTTTCGTGATTTGTACAAATTTTGCTAAAACTTAAATTGTATAAATTATTATTGTGGATTTACGATGAACTTTTTTTATAATTTTTACTTATAAAAAATTATTAAGAATTTTTACATTTTCGAGGTTTTTATCGAACTTATTTTTAAAAAAAACTCATAAAAATAGAAAAATTCAAATGGCCATAAATAGCTCAACATGAGTCAATATATTTTGAGAATTTTACAATTATGTAAAAACTGTAAATAATAAGATAATAAGCAGTCAGTAAAAGTTTTATCTATCTTCGATAATTTTTTTAAAAGTTATGTACCTATACCAAAAATTAAAATCGATTTTGTGTAAAAAATCTCGTTTCTCTTTTTCTTGTTTTTCCTGGCGCTTTTGAAAACTACTGGGAATTTTGAATTTTTACCTCCCGAATGCTCTAACTATATTCGCCCCAAAAAAGATACTGAAGTTGAAAATTGAACCATTATTTCAACTTCCCAGTTATTACATATATTAGCATTTACTACCCTAAGTACCTACAGTAAAATTTTTAAACTGTGTATAGTTATAGACTTCTAGAGTATTAACATTAAGTTGAGGGATTCCAAGATAGCACCTATTAGCTAATACACAATTATTGTTATATTGTTACGGACTTATTGTTTCCCAGAACTTATTAGAAATATGTTTATTTTACGATAAACGCTTGCATAGGTAGTCAATAGTCATTCTAAACGATACATGGTAAAGTGATAAGTGGTACAAATCAAATACCTAATTAAAAAATGTTTTATTTAATACATGACATATTTTCTAAGGTTCATGGATACATATTATTATGAGGTACAAAAACTGTGGAAAAAATTAAAAATGTATTGATGCATATTATATTGAATTATATCTTATTTTAAACTAATCTGTCTATCGTTATAGCTAAACTAATTTTAATAATTATTTTATTAATAATACTCGCATTCGTGTAAGTAGAATGTACATAGTTTATGATCAAAAAATAAAACTAAATACAAACATAAACTGATTTTTCTCATATACACTATTATATATTTAATCAGCATTTTTCTGGTAATAAATATGCACTGGTGTCTGGTAACTTGTAATCACATCTAGGCCCTCCCCACATCATAGGCGCACATGGGAGGGGGGGGGGTGCTTAGCACCCCAAGTTTCCTGTAAAATTTATTTCAGTAATCCACCAATAATTTGTAAATTATTATGGTTTATTGAGTTGGACATTTTTTTTTCCATTATAATTATTAATATCTATTTAAATAGACAATATTATTATAGTTCACCAATTCACAGTATTGTATGATTGCACGTATTTTTCGTCTAAACATTAAACAATAAACAGCAATCATAATATTATAGGAAATTATATTAACATTTATCTAATCTTATTTTATATTCTTATTATTATCTACTGTTCGCGGTTGGCTAGACAGTCGATGCAATAATTATAAATTTAGAAAAACGTTTTTCGGAAGAAAGCTTAGAGCTGGCCGAATCTGTGGACAACTTTTTTAACTAGGATGAACAAAGTGTGTGTTTTATAAACACTTATAAGGTATATTTGATAAACTAACTATTTAAAATATTTAATACGTGGTCATATCTTTTGAAATATTATTAGTATATAAATCTGTTTATGTATATCAGGATATCTTGAAAATATCAACAACTAGTTTATCAGCAGAAATGTTGGTCTTAAAGAATAGTGTACCAGCCAACTTTGTATTTGAATACTTGAAAAATCAATGTCATAAATGTTCGTTTCCAAATGTCTATAAACTAGTTCAAGTGGAAATGACAATTCCAATTTCTTCTTCAACGTGTGAACACTCCTTCTCGACTATGCGTAGATTGAAAAACTGGTTACGCACCAGTATGGGCCAAGAAAGATTTTCTAAGCTATCTATACGCTTAGCATTGAGAGAGATCTTACCAATAAAATAGATGGGGAAATTATATTGCAAAAATTTGCATTATCAAATAGGAAATTAAATCTTGTTATTATTGTATTAAGGGGTGTGGGAGGCAAAGCCGCCCACGGGCCTGTGTACCATAAATTATTCCAGCACCCTCTAAATTCACACCCTATGTGTGCCTATGCCCCACATGCCGTATACAGACTTCCATATAAGTTAGCAGCATGCCTGCAGCACAAGACCTCCGTAATTAAAAATTATTATGCTTATTTATCCATTTTCAATTTTTTGACTCTGCGCTTGGCGTTTAGCTTTTTGTTTTGAAGTTTTGTATCAATATTTATCAAATAAAAGAGAAAAAAGTAAAACATTTCGAATGTCTATTAATAGCTCTAAGAAATGCAAAATATTTTGAAAATTATATCATGGCATAAGAAAGAAAAACAATTTTAAAAATAAAAATAATTATTTGGTGACAATTTAAAATAATATTTAGCTACCTAATATCTAAGTATATTTATTGAATTTCAACAATAAAACCAAATTCACTATGTAAAAATATGATGCAAATAATTCCGTTTTCCAAATTAATTTTTTGTTGTTAAAGATTTGAAGCAAATGCTCTAAAATGTGATGACAGACATAAAATAATACAGATTATTTTAAAACCAATACATTCATCGCTCAGAATCTCTAATACATTTACATACATTTAAATTTGCTAACTGCTGACATATTATAATAAACTCTGTATACTTTAAGAGTGTAAGACCACAGATGATGGTGACCAATAGGCCGCAATAGCCTATAATCTATTTTATATACATATCCAAAGTATCAATTTTACATTAACTTATGTTAAAGATAATTAATAATGCATGTTATACGTGTTATATATTGTATAGTTATAATATACAACTACTAGGTTTAATTGTATACAGGTGGTGTACACATTAATATCTGCAATATACCTTGTACAGTGGTGTATTATAGTAGGGTGGCCTATATTATTATTATTATTATTATTATCATATAATATGCCTCTAATCGATGTAGAGAATAAGCTACATATTAATTTGATTGTATTACCGTTTTATTACCATCTTGAATCGTGGTTTTAATGAATATAATTTTTATTTATTATTATAGACACCTGCCTTTTTATAAAATTAAGCTTCTTTGTTTATCTGTAAATCTATAACTATAATAGTAATTTTAATTCTACGACAAATAAATCCGCATATAAAATGTCTGTTATTAAATGTTCCAAAAAACCATCAATTTATGTTCTTAAAAAATAGATTGTAATTTAAATGTTCCATATTAATAACATATTTTTTTAACTTTCCTCGTAGATAACACAATACCATTTATAAAAATTCACAGCTTTAAAATCAAAGACAATATATAAGTTATGAATGTATTTATAGATATGTTTTGTAGATCATTCATAATTTTGAAAACCCATCTATAGGTACTCAATTAGGTAGAATCCTACTATTAATAGTTATTACTTTTTAATACCTATGTTATATTGCAAGTACATTGAAAAGTCGTCCGAAGATTCGTTTATATTCCTTATTTTTTTATAAATTCAATGAGTTCTGTTTGGGCCACATAGAAACCACTGGCGGGCCGCAGATTGAGTATGGATGGCCTATACAGCATACTTTTTTTGTTAGGCACATTTCGTATCTTTTACTAATCACAGTTTTCATCTTCATTTGTAATTAAATTGGAATTATATGGATGTAATGTTCTTGTTTTTGAGCTGATCTACAATCTTCTTTATGTTAGGACGATGGACTGTAATAAAACGTTTTTGAAATTCACCTTGATTCCTTAAATTATTTCTTCAACTGTGCGTAGACTTAGGTTTTGTGTTTATTCATACTCTTTTCATTATAGATTAATGTGCCACATACTAGTCAAAACGTAATTAGTGATTAAAAAAGGTTATTTTTTAAAAAATTGATAGCGTTTGGAGGTTAAATTAAATTTAAGGTACAAGTTATCTTGGTACTCTTTATAAATATTGGATTTTGGGTATTTATTTTAATTTTTGAGAATCGTGTGGGATGGTTGGCTGTAATTTTTAAACATGACCTTCTGAGGAACTTAATACATTTACGCTAAATATGCCACTGTACATGTATATACTTACAATCAGAATGAAGTATTAACCTTAATTGTAGTAAATTTTATCTGCTACTTTTCAGGCACTAAAAATTTGCCATCTGAAGATAAAGATAATAATTGTTATCAGCAATTAAAGGCCATGGAAATGCAAAGTGACCTAGTACTTCATAATGGTCCCTTTGAGTGCGCTGTGTGTTTATGTACATATGATAATAATGGCGTTGTGTTACGTGATTGTTTGCATGTATTTTGTAGGTATGAAAATACGACTTTGTTGTTTCCCATACTTACATATAGTGTAACCTACCTATATTATTTACCTATATATGAATATGATACACCCAGGGATGGGCAGTAATATCGGTTTGTAACATGTTTGATACAAGTTAAATCACCCCGTTGCATTTTGACATTTTGTAACTTGTAACCTGTAATCAGTTAGGTACTTACTTACATAATTTCCATACTACATTAAGATGTATTTCATTGTAACTTCATATCAAAATTACAGACTCATCCCAGGTCCGAACGAATCTATATTTTTTGGCTATTAACTCCACATAAGCCGTATTTTCACATGATGTAAATAGGTAGGTGTTTAGAAGAGACTAAAACACCGGAGCTTCGCATTTATCAATAAACATGGTCATATCGCTACCTACATTTAATATAGTTGGCTTATAGCTTAAAAGTATGGACAAAACCTATCAAAACATAATCTATTCATGCTAAATTTGGTAATACACTTACTAAAACACATCCCAATTTTTTCGATTTTCATTAAAAATTTACTAGCCAATTTGCAGATGGATTCTTATATGTGAATGAATTCTGAGTACAGAAATTATTATAGAATAATGAGATATCAACAGCAAATTGGTTTTGAATTTTTAAATAAATTATTATAAATATCATAAAAATACAATATTAATATCATTTTTTTTATAGGTTTGAGTTTGTCACATATTTAGCATCGCTCAATACCTAATGGGTATGACTCTATTTTTAAATGATTATTTTATGTAGGTACCGATCTGTATAATAGGTACATGATGAGTATTTCTTTGAAAATGTATTAAGAATTAATTTTAAAAATGTTTACATTATTTATTAGTTTATTATTATTTAAAAAATACGGAGAAAATATTTTTTTGCGAAGTGACGGTTCTATTTTATTTTAAATTGCAGTGATTCGTGCATAGTTACGATGCTTCTAAAGTAACTTGTATTTATAGTAGGTCTACCCATTAGTTACATCGGTAAAGCACGATTAAGCATATACCTTTTTAGTAACACCATTGTGCCAAGAATATTTTATGCGATATTGTCACATTCACGTTGCCGAAATTTTGTAATTTATTATTTTCACGTCTTATTATACCAATTATTTTTATATCAGACGCTAGCCGAGTGAGCCGAGCCCACCTTTATCGACAATTTTATCGATTAATAAATTAGTTCAGGGGCAATAAAGTTCTGTAATACGTTTTAGCATTGGGGAAATATAAGATAACTACGATACGATTCCAAAGTTATTATAGAAATAATATTAGTGTTATTATTATCAAACGGATCGTTAAAATAGTATAACGTGACAACTTTATTGACTACGCAATAGTATTATTATTTATTTATTTTTTGACATGTTGTATTTTGAATTATTATAATTATATAAATAAATATTCTGCAGACTGTAGTTCAAAATTGAAAATGGCAACGCTGCATGGTTTTTTTATGCTCAATCGTGTAGGTTTTGTTTTGTACTTCGATTTTCTTTTGATATGCCCACAATTTTACCCAATCGTGTCGCAAAAAAAGGTGTTTTATGCCCAATCGTGTCTCAGTCAGTTATATCATATTCGATTTATATCATTTAACTAAGCAATATTAAGAGAATGTTAATAGAAGAAGAAGAGTCCAAGTAAATTATACTTGTAATCAACTAATTACCTACATAAAACTTGAACAACTTGTAACTCGTAACTTGTATCGGATTGTTCTATAAAAATAACCTATCTAATTATTGCTCAGCCCTGGATATTATATTACATAGGCGGAGATCGGGGGGGGGGGCTTACGGGGGCTTAGTCCCCCCAAAATAAATGATTTTAAGTTAAAGACCCCCTAAGAATATTAAATAAACAATACCGTAATTTTGTATAGTTTGCAGAACTTTTTTCATTATTTTATATTCTTATATCCACAATTATATAAGTGTACCTAGTACATTACATACACACTATTTACCAATTTATTATTTACGGTAACACACCGAACAATTAAGTCACAATTCACAATAATATTATATTGTGTTTATATACCTAATATTGTACATATTTTGTACCAATTGGCCATCTATATTGAATAACATATTATACCATTCTATTTTAGATGGGAAAAATATTATTTCTTTTCCTAATTTTTGTTAATTCTCGAGAAGCGATAGCTATTATAGGACTATCGCTATAGCTGTATTAAACCTATCGTAAAGTTTATCGCGATTGAATGAATCGTTAACCGTATTGACCATTTTATACTAAATTATATTTTACTTATTGTTTGATGTTCTTGGGAAGACATTTTTTTTGAGATTGTGATTTAGATTTTTAATAAATAATTTAGTTCAAATATGTTTGAAATATTTAAATTTAAATCGTTTATTAATTATTCTCTTTTTTTTATGTTTGTAACTATTTAAGTTGTTATGATAACGAGTCAACGAGAACAATTTTTTATGAGTGATCTAATGTAAAAATTAGTTTGTTGGGGGTGTGGGGGCAATGCACCCACGGGTGTGTTTGTCATCAAATATTTGAGCCCCCCTTAATATTTCACAAGATCTCCGCCTATGAATGTATATACTAACCTAACCTTCTATCAGTGTTGGGAATTGACTTGATAAGAACTTCGCATATCTCATTTAACTTAATGATAAATGCAGATGTATAAATTCTGAAATTATCTAGTAAACATTTTATTTCTAAAAGTTGTATCTATTAATTATTTTCATCGCCTTAAAAAACAGCCTGTTAGTTTTAAGTAAAAAAAAAAAAATGTTTTGGTTGTTTGTAATTCCGAATAATATTGAAAACAAATATTATATTTATTTATTTTGAATACCTATCTATATCCAAACAAATTTAAATGAATTAGTGGAGGTTAGACATTTTCGCCAAAAAAATGGATTCGTTTTGGGTACAGCCCATTTGCGCCAAAATAAAAAAGGTATATTTTTTTCTCAAATAATAATCAATTAAATAATAATTAATACAATTTTATTTAAATCATAGTTAATTGGTAAGTAAAGTAAAAAATACGAATGTTTTTAAAATAATAATCAATAATAGCTGTAAATACACATTTTTTTACAGAGTAATTAGGGTTCTAAAATTTCATGAAATTAATTTTTTTGAAACTTTCATAAAATATTTCATTTTAATGAAAAATTAAATAAAATGTTTTTTTTTTTTAATTGTAGTGAGAACTACAGTTAACTTTTACTAAGTAAGGTAGTTATTTAATATTTATTGCCTTTGTGTATTGTGTATAAGTATAATATACCTATGAATCTTAATGTATACTGTATAGTTTATACATATAAAATATTAATATATATATAAATTTATTATAATGTAATGTATTTGTATATGAATATATTGATATAATGATATATCAGTATATCACATAAAGTATTGTTTTTTGAGTTCAAATAAAAAACATATTCATGAAATATAATAATTAGTATTATAATTTGTAAATAATAATTATAAAACTTTAAAAATTAAAATAATAAATATAAAATTAAAATAAAACCTTTAGTATATTAGATATAAATCAAAATATATAATAAAATAGGTATAAAACTAAAAGTTAATATTTTTGAGATTTAAAATTTCATTTTGAATTCGGATGATAGCTCATTAAAAAAACTATCTATACCAGATCTTGATCCTTCGTCATTTGAATCAATTGAATCTGTTTTTATTTCCAAATCACTAATTGAGTTTTTTTCTTGTAAATCTGCTAATTCATGAGCAAAATTGTCTACATCTGGAGTTGGATCATTTACAAGTAAATCATTTATTTTGTCTGGTTTTTCATACTTTAATAGTTTTAAAACCTATAAATAGTTCAAAATAACTGTATTTGTAATTTATTTAAATCATACAAACAAATAGACAAAGTGTTAAAATGATTATTATATTAATTTTTATAATGCTAATAATATATTATCTGCAGATTATGTTTTATAAAAATTAGTTTTCTTACTCTTTCATTAGTAAGTCGATTCCTTTTAAGAGAATGAACATTGTTGTATGAACTAAATGTTCTTTCTGCGGCAGCCGAAGTGGCAGGTAATGACATCATTTTTATTGCCATCTTTGAAAGTTCTATTTCTGAGCAAAATGCATTCCACCAGTTTAATCTATTAGTATCATTTATCGCTGCCCACAAATATTCTTTACAAAATGGTCCAGTTTTATTTTTAAAATGACATAAATCAGCTATAACTTGTTTAGCATCAACATCTAAACTGTCCAAATTCTTAGATAGTTGATAAATAAACTCAACTGCATCACTATGTTCTTCAGTATTTAAGCATTTGCCTAAATATTTTGGATCAAGTAAATGAGCTGCATTATGTATGTTTGAAATACACAATTCTCTTCTGATTTTTAGTGCTTTGATAATTTTTTTTTCTTCAGTTTTGAAATTTTAACATTTTTGTATAGTGTTTTTAAAAGATGTTTCAAGTGCTTTAAAAATAAATGTTACACTACTTAATTTAGGAACATCACTTTTGATTATTTTTATCCATTTAGCAAGTGGGTTTACAACTTGATGAAAATAGTAAATTTTATCCCAAAAATCTGCACTACTGATTAATTTCTTGACTTCTGGTTTTAAATCTTTTTCAATGGCCTCTTTAATACTCATTGACCTGATTATTTGTTTACTTACTAGTAATGAATCTAAAAAAACAATTACTGAAGCCCACCTTGTAACAACTGGCAACGTAAGAGCATTAGAGTTTTTATTATTTTTTCTTTCTTGGAGAAACAATGCATTTGTAATATATCCTCTTCTAATATTATTTATCCAATATTTTATATTTATACTTCATTAGCTGATATTGTCATATGGATGATAAATATGAAATCAGTGTGACCATATAATTTTGACTTTATTATGGACATACCAAAAAACACAACATTTTGAAAAAAAAATATTTTTCAATATTTCATTGAAATATTTCAAGAAGGGTGAATGTTTCAATTTTGAAATATTTCAAAGTGAAAATTTCATGTGAAATATTTCATACTCATAACCCTAAGAGTAATACAAATTGAAATTAGTTAATAGTTAATGTAATAGTTAATAGTACTTACATATTTTTTATTAATTATAATAAACTAAAATTTTTTTTTTTACAATATTTTCTTTTTTTAATAATAATTTATCATACAATTTTTTTAATTAAATTATAGTCAATAATACGATATTTTTAAAAATAATTCAATAGATAATAAAAAATAAATAAAGATTTTTTTTAACATATCTTCCTAATCTTTATTGTAATTAAATGCAACTATTTGCACATATTAATAACGCATTAATTTTTTGTTTTTATAATTCACAATTGCTTTTAAAGTTTTTTTAATCTGGTTTTAATTTGTGCTTTTTAACTTCAATTTTTTTAGGGTTAGGTATATTTTTAAGTTTTTAACACAATTGTTGATTTTAATATGAACATCTGTTTGAACTGTTTTTATTAAAATTTCTAAAAATGTAAAAATATTAGGCTGTGATTTATAAAATTGTTCATTAAAATGTGAGTGAAAAGATTCACAGTTATTGGTGGTTCTAGTTAAATCAGCTGCAAACGCTGCCCAAATGTTTGGAGGGAAATTGCTATTTTCTCCGATGTAGTTATCTACTAAATAATCTGCATATTCTCGGTATTTAGTATCATCAGGAATTTCAGACATAAAATCATCAATGAAACAAGCGAAAACTTCCTCTAGATCGAGGAAGGTTAAACCAAATGTAAATTTAACCACTTGTTATCCTTATAATCTGAAGTTAACCCTAGTGATTGAATTTTCCTGTACCAAGCTTGAGTCAAGTGAAAGCGACAGCCTATAATCTCGGATAATGGCCATACTGAATTCACAGCGAGATAGATGTATAGCTAATTCGAAATCAACAGTGACGTATTTTGGTTTAAACATTAAACTGAAATTTTGTATGGCTTTATTTTTGATGTATGATAAAGCAAGTTGATACGTATCTGTCGATTTATTATTTAAAATACAAAATACTAATGGTACGTAATAATCGTTTATAAAAACATGAATAACAAACAATTGAACCAAATATTTTGGACAGTACGAAAAAAAAATGTATATCGTTTCTGACTTACATAACAATTTTAAATTTTCGTGACATGTAAATATAATTATATTAGATAATGCGTCATTAATAAATAAAAATCTTCGTTTTTAAAAGTGGTTAATTGTAGATCGTTTAATGCTTTATGCACATCAGATACAGATTTAGGATTCGAAGGAAGAGTTTTTTACGAGCATAGTAAATACTTTTTCGTATAGCGGATACATCAGATATAGTGAAATGTATATTAGTTATGTGGTTATTCATTTCAGTTAAAATAATTTTCCTAGGACGAATACTTATGTCTTCGACAGCTATACGCTTGCATGCTGTCGTTACATTTTGTCTTGCAATAGTTATACATTGTTCGTGATTATGCGAGTCTATAAAATTAAAATTAAAATCGTTTATGATTTGATAACGTATAATTTAAGTGAATTTTATTATTATTATCAGAGTAATACGAAATAAAAAAAATAAAAATAAAAATTGTAATATTGCGAAAACAGTGAATTTGTTTGATTACCTACCGTAGGTTATTGTAGGTATTACGGAATTGTATATTACACATTTTATTAAAATAAAAATTAATGTTTGCAACATACCATGCTTTTTAATAATTTTTCCACCTTCAATTAATATTTTTGCTGGACATATTTTATTTGAACAACGCCACCGTTCAACATTTTTAGAAGATGTGTACGCCAAAATATACTTATGAGCTTATGGCCATTTTCAACAACCATTTTCTTCCCTCGTGTGCTTGTTATGATTGTATACTCCATTCTTATAATTGATTATTCAAATAATTAATAAATTCGAGAATATTATTAATTGGAACGTAACGAATGTCTGATGAAATCACACTGCGGTCATTCTTTTGGTGAATAACGATACCTATATATCCGATAACGGAGTACGATAATATTATATATCATAATAAAACTGATACCTACATACCTTGTTAATTTATCCTTCAACACAATAATATACAAAGCTATAAAATCTATAGACTTATAAAAAGAACTTTACTATACGTCATAGATACGACGTCTTTAAAATATAAGAATTAACCAAGTCGTTAATTTAAAATGTTTACACAGGTAAATTTGGCGCAAATTAGCTGTTTGGAAAAAACATACCTTTTTTTATTTTGGCGCAAATGGGCTGTACCCAAAACGAATTCATTTTTTTGGCGCAAATGGGCGTTGCCCGAATTAGTTATTATCTTACATACGATTTTTGTTATCTGGTCTCAACACTGCTTATATAAACTATAAACGTACCACATAGGTATACTTACATTTGATTTACGTAAAACTATCATGTCTTCTTACTCAATTTATGGGACGTTCGACAAATTTGTTATTCAGGCTTTGTCTGCAAATGACGATTGATCATTCAAAAGCCGAACAAGTTGAATGTCCTTATATAGACGAGCGGTATTCTTGTACGGGGGTCTTGCAACACCGTGAAATAAAAAAGGTAGGTACATACCTAGAACCTTTTTAACTCAAGCTGTTTATTGCATTTTTTAATGTTTTTTTGCACAGATATTGGATTCGGATGAAGAGTATGAAAGATTTTTGCAAAGATCAGTGGAACGGGCCAGACAGTTGTTGGCGAAAGAGAAAAACGGTGGATCTTTTCAGTGCAGACGACCCGACTGTACTGGTTGGTGTTTGATCTATGATAAGAATGACGTCTTGGACTTTAAATGCCCGGTTTGTGGGACAGTAACATGCGTACGATGTGGGGTAAGTACCTACAGAGTATTTATGAGGTAGTCTAGTATTCGGAGAATCCGAGCTGCCACCAGAAAAATTGGTCACATACAAGTTGCGGAAAAATTCCCCAGGTCATTATTTTTGACATAACTACAGTGTTGCGGGCACGGTTTTGATTTATATGTATTAATACTTGAATCTGAAGTCAATATGAATAATTTTATCGTGTGTTTTGTTTAGGTATTAACAATTTTTCGAATGATGAAATATGAAACCATTCAGTCGATTTCCCTTAAGTGTTGCCCACATATCTTTATTATGATATAACGTTATTTTTTATTTTTCAAAAAAAAATGTTTAATTACCTAGTTATTTTCTGAAGTCTAAACTATACTGAGAATGAGGTACCTGACTATGACTGTTTTTCGCCAGATAGTATTATTTTAAACTAAACCTAAAATACTCCGATAAAAGTCGTAATTTAAATCGGTTTATTGGTTGGTGTGACATTAAGATAAATGTTAGCCTCAACTAACTTAAGACTAGATTACCTGATGTTATATAGTTCAAAATTAAAATGATTTATATTACGTAGTTAATATTTCAATGAAGTCAATTTTGTTAGTTAGGTAAAATACAAGAAATAGGTCAAAAATGTTTTGAAAAATCAATTTACAAATTTAAAAAAATGCCCCAAATAAATGTTGTGGTTTCAGCATGGAGTACTCGAAACACAATTGTAGCTTGGTAGACATCTAGTAAGACATTCCGAAAAAAAATGCAAATGCATATATTTATAAATAGACAATATATACAATGATAAGATTTTTAATATTTTTTTAATTTTAATTAATATTTTACATTGATTATTTAAATACAACTGTACATAAAGCTAGTAACTTGTTATTAAAATTGTGGTTAAGTGTTATTTTGTACCAGAGTGTATAACTTGTTATGCTCTAGTGTCTAGATGCCATACAACGAAAAACAAGAGGGTTAAAAAAAAAAGCTTATTTAAAGTTCCCAAAGTAAGAAAATAAAAAAATTATCAAAACTTTAAATTATACATTACTATACCTACTATGTCTTATTTATATTTAGACTCGTAGTCATTATAGAATATTTCAAAATTTAAACTTTTTTACTACCACAAACCATTTGAATTTTAATTGTATATTTAAGTGTACTTTAACAGGGCCAGGTAATGAATAGTAATTCATAATTTATACGAGTACTTACATAGACGAAACTAGACACTTTTATTAGGTCAGGCTGAATGAAAAATATAAAAAATACTTCTATTAACTTTATAATATAGTAATTTTGTTAAATGTATATATAATATATATAAATTATTTTATTATGAATATTTTTTTACAATTTAAATATTTAATAATAAATGAAAAAATATGATAATTAATTAATACATTTATAATAATAGACAACGATTAAAAGGTACCATTTTTTTAAATTCTTCAATGACATTCTCAACATCAATGTTAATAGCCAAAGACTGTTCCATGTATGGTAGCATAAGGTCATCTAAACGGTCTTGTTTCATGGTGGATCGAAGTTTAGTTTTTACATGAGTGAGTTTAGAAAATGCTCTTTCACAAGAATCTCTGGTTACTGGAATCACACAAAAATCTCTAATAATTTTTATAAAATTATTATATATACCTTCAATTTCATTTTTTCGGAACCAATCTAGCCACGTCATATAATCTTGTTTACCAAGTTGTGTTACACAATCTAAGTCACTAGACAAAAGTAGACGGATTTCAGAAATTAATTCCTCTTCAGAAATATTAAAATATGACGATAATAATTTAATATCATCTTTATGTGGCAAGTTTTAACATTTTCCCGACTGCTGTGATTAAAGATATTGTATCTTGATCAATACGTTGATCAATACTACATATAAGAGAATCTAACACGGGAATCAATACAGTAACACGAATTTCTTTTTTTTTTGTATTGAAAATATGTTCATTATCTATGTTATCATCAAAACGTTTTGATTTTTTCCTTAACTTAATCGATGGTTCATTAATAGCATATTCTTTGCAAATTTTTAAAACGTTGTGTATGCTTCATCTCAGAAATCATTATTACAACATAATTGTTGTAAAGCTGAACAAAGATTCTTAACTTCATTTATTGCAACCAATAAATTAATTGAAGGATTTTTAAGTGTTTGACTTATTTTCAGAATTGATTGTAAAATGGGATTAATTTAAGAAATCATATCTAGTCCACATATTCGTACACTTATAAGAGTGGTATAATACAAAACGTACATGTATACGTTTACATGTATAAATATAATAATATTATTATTTATAATGCCTAAATAATTATTAAAATATATAATACATACAAATTTTTAGTCAGTATTAGGTCAGGCCATGGCGTGACTGGCCTGACCCGTAGTTATGCCCATGAGTATTGAATACTTAGTTTAAATTAAAAAGAATGTAGGTATATTATATTAGGTGGTAAAACGTAGCCCTCTTATCGAACAATGCGCTCCTGGTGGCAGAATAACCATACGACTTTGGTCGGCTCGTATTGTGTTACGGAGTTTAGTCTGCTTATCCGTCATCTTCGTGGCTATCAATTGGAGAAATCTTTTATAAAGAATAACATAGGTTTGCAGCCGTTTGAAAACTGATCACCGCGTCATTTTTAAATTGCCGAGGTTTTCAGACACTCATTTGCTAAACCCTAACGACAATTAGCCACCAGGAGCCCTACTGCAAAGTCTCTAGTTTCGTGAGTCGAATTGTAAGTCTATCTATCATTATTAACACAGATAAGGGTAGTAAAAATGTAAAATGATGTACAAGCTATAGACGTGTATTTACACTTTTGAATGAATCATTAAATATATATATTTTTTTTTTCTATTGCGACACTAAAAAAATATATTTTAGAGAACCTACGCAAGTGTGCCTAAATTTTATCAGGGCACCAATAGGCCACACAATATAACAATTATTCTATCATGCATTGTACAAAATATGTATCACAAACGTGCTCAGTAAAATATAATACAATTTAAATACAATTTTTTTTTTCTTACTTTCGTACTTATCAAATAATATTTTAAATTTTGAATGGAACGATGAATGTATTGATTTAACAATTAGGTTTTTTTTTTTTTAAATTTACATCTTTACCTTTTGTGACAGTAAAAATGCTTTGATTTTCTTTAACATAATTTTTTTTTAGTAAAGTGAATCTAGTTGGTACTTTGGGGGCCAAACATCGAAATTCTCAATAGTTTTCATAAGCATCATGAAAAAAAACGACATTTTAGACATTTAAAATTTTAAAATTTGTATTTATAAATATAAAAATAATACGAGGTTTCTTATAACTTTTTATATCAGTTGAGAGATATTAAAGATCCATAGACACTGTTTTATTTTATAAGTATTTAAAGTTAAAATTTTGTCAATGTTCATCAAAATCTGAAATTTTTTTAAATTAGTTAGCAGTTAAAAATGTATTAAATGTTCAATTTGTATAGCTAATTATTGATAATTTAAAATAAGGATTCTTATAAATAGTCCATACTGTAACCAAAAAATATTTTTATTTTTTTTATTAATATTTATTTATACTTACCATCTGTTACATAATAAAATTGAGCAATAAGTGAAAGAGATAAATGAATAAAAAGTGGCTTGAAAAAAGAACAGATTTAAGAAGCCTTCCAGTGAAGATTATTACAGTATATATACAGTTATTTAAAAACATTTTTATGAGTTTACAATAAAATTATAAATACAATTAGGCAATGAGCTAAATTAATAGGTCCCAACACCACCGCCTTTTTAGTGACCAAAAAATATATATATTTATAAAATATTTTATACAGTTATATTTTACAGACATTTTAAATTCTAATATGGACGAAAATTACATATTCAAAATAAGAATAACAAGTTTACTTGTATTTTTGTAATTTAAAAATATTTTTTGTGGGTTTTTCAAACTTTTAAAGGATATTATTATAGTTAATATACAGTATACACTATGAAATTTCCAAAGCAAAAATTGATTTAATCTACGGTAGTATTAATCCCTAACATTAAATAAATTACTTTCATTGTGTATAGTAAAATTTATTTAAATACCAAAAAGTTTTAAGTCCACGCGAACAATATTTTTGAATTAAATAGATTGAGAAACTAAAATCGTTATTCATTATTTAAATATCTAATTTTGTCAACATTTGAACTTCAAACGATAAAACAAAAGATAATGGCTATTTTTGGAAAAATTTTGTTTGGTATGTTTTGTTTTCCTAATATGTAGTAAATTGCATAAAGAAAAACTTGTGATCTATGAGTGTATATAATATTTTGTAATTTAGCTAGCCTAACATGTTTTATCAGCACTTATATATAAATACATATCTTAAAAATTCTTTGAATATTTTAAAAATTTCTTTGAGTAAAGAAAATTATAATTTAAGTAATACCTTCTATAGTCCCTTAAGGTTCTATGATCAATATTTTTAGAATATTAAAAAGATCTTCTATGCATTGTATTTTTAACTGTTGAAAACAAATAACAAATAGATTCTAAATTGAAGGTTCAAACCACTACTGTAGAACTAAAGCCGTGGATTTAACTTGAACTTTATTTCTAGAATCATGTATATTATATGTTGTAGATTTTCTGTCCTGAAAATTATGCTTCACTCATTAATTTAATGCAATGTTTTAAATTAGAGCTTGAACAATTAGGTGAAAATTATAAATATGTTAGTGCCCCACAGAGGAATGCTCAGGAACTTTGAACTGTAAATGATCAGTTTAATTAACATAAATTATTCTATTTGATTTTCCGTTCAATATTATCGATGTATATGTATGTTACTTACCATTATTATAAAAATGTACTTATAAGCCCGCATATATGTTTTTTTATTTGACAACAAGTAATACTATATACCCATTTTATAATTATTTCAGTCAATCCACACACTAGGAAAAGGTTGTAAACGAATCATGGATGTAAATGACTGTGACGGCACGCTTGAGGTAAATTATTTACTTAGTTTAAATTGTTTTAATTTAACTATATGAATTTGTTTTACTCTAAGAATCTTATCGAACGCGGAGATGCTATGCCATGTCCAGGATGTAGTACAATTCTGTCAAAGCAGCAGGGTTGTGATTGGATTAAATGTGCTGTATGTTTTATGGAGATTTGCTGGGCAACTAAAGGTCCAAGGTGGGGACCTAAAGTAAGTTCAAATAAAAAATTCTTTAAGTGCAATTAATTATGGCATGCGTTAGTAAGACTAAGACAATACATACGGGTATAATGCTAATATTTTTAACATCAATTTGCTTGGATGTGTTTTTTTTTAATTCAATAATAAATCATTGTATACAAAAAAGAGCAGAGACGTTATGTTATCCTAGAATACTTGTATAAATAATCGAATTTAATAGTTTAAACAATTTTTTATAAAAATTGAAAGTATCTCATGGCTATAAATAACTTAACGGTGAATTTTTGTTTTTGATATTGGTAGAAAAACAGTTCAAAAATATTAAAGATGTATTGGCACTTATTTTTATAAGCATTTCAAGTTATAATTTTAGAAAAATTCAAAATTTCAATTGTTAATTACGATTTTTGCGTTTCTATAAGAAAAAAAAAAAATTATAGTTGCCATTCACAACCAAAATTTGATAGCTATTCCAGAAATTTAGTTACATGAGACTAACATTTTGAAAAATACCCTCAACTATGTAAATAATTGTGACAAAAATAACAAATTGAATAGGGATGTTAACACTGTAAACTTACATTGTACAATTGCCAGTTGTCTTTAAACTTGGATCATAATATACAGATTATTTGTTTTAGGGAAAAGGAGATACCACAGCAGGATGTATGTGTGGCATACCAGCAGGAAGAAAATGTCACATTGACTGTAAATATTGCCATTAGGCATTTGATGGATTTAGGTGTACATTGTATTTATACATTAATAAAACTAATTTTTTACAGTGTTTGAAAAGTTATTAGCTCACATAAAAAAGAGCTTTGTTTACCTCTCATTTGGGCTAGAATAAATTAACCTGTATCTTTCCACATTCCTACTTAGGAACTTATTTTATTGCGTTTATTTGTTTTGAATTATATGAACTAAATATTAAAAACAAACAAAGCACCTGTGTATCTGTGTAGTAGATGGTAGATAGTAGGTTATTTTCAATGCAGTGATCAATAAAATTATGGTTAACATTTTGATAATTTATAATTTCAACCTAAGACATCAAGTTTAACAAATAACAATTAAATGCTAAAAGCAATACTACAATTTCTTATTTAAGTAAAACAAGATTATTAAGTTATCATTAGTCAGATTGTAATGTCCCAATTTCAATAACTATTATACCGATAAAATAATTAAATAATTAAACAGAATTGTGTATAAATATGTATATTGTTTGTTCGAAAATTATTCCAAGTATTTTTCAACATAAATGTATACGTAATAGTGAAGTGAAGGTGTTAACGATTGCTATGTGAAATACTGAAATCACTTTCTATTTATCCCTGCTCTTGCTAAGTTTCCGAGTGTCTCATAACTCATACACCACGGTGTCCATCATCCTTGTATCGTAGAGATGCAAAGTAATTCACACTGTTCGATACTCGTCAGGTAAGCATTTTCCCAGCCGATAAAATGATCACCGCCAGTTACAAGCAAATCTCGAAGCTTCGTCGGCTATCGCGATAATCCCCGCCGCACTCCAGCATAACAGGCCGGACCTTTTACCGTGGGCAGTGTCTTCCTCGTGCGTTGTAGAGCAGCTAGAGGACGGTGATTCTTCCTCTGTATTTTGACGACCATTCGACATGGTGTATCACCATGTGAAACGACAAATGTACAAAGGTACAGTGCAAACATATACTAGCCCTATATGGTTGATAACACCAAAAGTGCTTTTATTATAACCAACACTGTTGTCTATCGGTTGATAACCTTAAATTTATTCGACGGTCGAACCATATTTGTAATTTTGTCGAAAATTGAATCTAAAAACAAGTGCCGTTTTCTTTATTGCTTCAACAAAAATAAGTAATCGTATATGTGTTGGGTTGTTGATTGTTGCAATATTTATATCCTATAAAAATACAACGAATGTAAAATTGTAAAGTTTCCCCAATATACCCCACGAGAAACACCTGAAAGGAGTGTGGGTAAAGACTGTACAACTATTAAAAGAAAGTTATATTAAGTCCCCACAGCGGTGGCGGTGGTGGTATTTAAAAATTGAACATTTTATAATTTTGTAATTACCTGCAATGATTAATTTTTGAGCTTTGATAAACGTTAAAATTTGAACTTTAAATGTTTATAAAAAAAATTGTGCCTATGTATCAAAAACCGAAATATTCCAGTTTTCCTTAATTTTTATTTTGTTTTTCCCGGTGCTTATGATAACTAGGGCTCGGAAGTTGTAGGAGCTAAAAAAGGTAAAATATGCACGAAAAAATTGCAATATATGCATTAAAAATGTTAAATATGCAAAAATATTATTCTGAATTCCAAAAATTAAATACATCAGATGTTGTTTACAAATTAATCATATGCATATAAATTATTTATAACTAAAAAAAAAGTATAACTGGTTGGCATTTTGACATCTCATTGAGCTGAAAATAAAATTAATAATATTTTTTCAGTATTTTTTAAATTACGAAAAAAATACATGTTTTCTAATACCTGTTAAGTTATTGCATTGAACCACCAATATTTTCTAAGATTTTCTATTTCAAATGAACGACGATTATTCGATAGAAGATTTTTATATCGAGAAAACTATCTTTCAACGTCAGTTGAAGTCATCGGAGCATATTTATAAAATTGACTATGGCGATGACAATATATACCTTCGTTGGTCATTTTGAGTTTTATATTCAATATTAGTTGAAAATTTGAAATATACAGGTTAAGAAAGAAAAAAAATCAATTTTTTTAGCAAAATATGAAATATGCATAATATGTGTATAAAATCAATAAAATAGGCACTTTTTAGCTAAAATTGGCAAAATATGCAAAATAATGATAACTATTGGGAATTTTAAATTTTGACCTCTCGAATGCACTCTCTAGCGTATTTTTCTTTATAGAGTACAGACTACATCATAATAAAATGGTTTAGACCTTGAAGAAATTACTTATCGTCAAATCATTAACTATAAGTTATAGATAATGTTAGTTTACATACTATGAATAATATATATTAGGTAAGTAATTTAACAGTTAGTCTTTTCTTTATTATCTTTAATATTTTGTACGAGTATATGGCTATTAAAGTTATACATTCATGAATTTAAGAGTGTATGAGGATTGAGTTGATTTTTGTTTCATCAACCGTTGAAATGTTCATTTTTTTGATGCTTCTGGAAAAACTCCCCCAGACCATTTTTGTTTGGTCGCATAAGTATGAACCTGAAAATTGTAACAAACAAAAACGATATTTTTTGGTTAATCTGACTTATATTTTATTTTGCCTTTGGCCATTCTAGTACTGCATTATGAGGGTTGAATTCACTCATTGTTGACGTATTCAATTTAATGTAGAGCCTATATTTTATTGTGTTTGGAGATAATTGTGAACGGTCTGCAGTTTTAATAACATGGTAATAACTGATTAAGCGCTCAACATCCTCTCTGTGAGGTTTCATTGAAAATTACAACAACCAAAATTATTAAGCTAAAAATAAAAATTAAGTTAGGTAACTCTTACTACAAAATATTAGTCTTAATATACAGTCTTACATTGACTAAGCTTATATATTATTTGTTATGGTACATACTATTGAAACAGTTAATGATTCCCAACCAGCACAATTTATCAATATCTTGAGTAGACCAGTTGAAATAAACTTATCTTTAATCTGCGAATGTCCAGACGCGTCTTGATATGAAGTCACAAAATCAACTTAAGTGAAATCTGGACATATTAATGAATGGCATTCTTTTAGTTCCATTTCTGATACTGACATCTTTATAGACTGCAATGGTTTTAATTTAGACAAGTTGGTTGTGTCTAATCTTTTGAGCATATAATTTGTAATATGTTCAATAATATCATTATTCATTACGAGTAGCTGCAAAAAACCTATTATCTGTCACAAATTGATGGCTAATTTTTCTTGAATTTGAAACATAGTCAAACAGCTGGAACCATTGAACGCATCAGACAACATTCGAATAGTCAACCGCCTATCTTAACGCACAAGTGCCCGCACCCGCTGAACGTTGTTGTCAGTTCGAACTTCAACTGCCCTTCCACTTCGCGGCTCATCTTCGACGCTTTCACGACCATTTTTAAATTCTTTATGCCACCGGAATAACTGTTCACGACTCATGGCTTCATCACCGAACACTTTAACTATTTTATCAAATGTTTCCTTTGCAGATTCGCCGAGTTTAACACAAAATTTGATCGCGTACCGTTGCTCGATATTACGTCGTTCCATTTTCGTGACACGCACTACGTACACTAACTCAATTTTACTCTCAACGCCATGATATGCCTCTACAAGCATAATATCATCATTAGTGTGGTTGTTTTGAGCATTTATAATAAATATGTTATTTATGACATAATATTAAATCAATTTAAGTAGGTAAATGTATCATTTAAACGACTTATCTGTATTAATTATTGAATATTTTAATTGTAAGATATTTAGCAACTGGCGATTCCCTTTCAACCATTGGACACAGCTTTCGTGTTATTTAGCAAAATAACTGTAGGAATATGTGAAGTTATTATCAAGATAATGGGACCAATGTTTATGCCTGAACCTAATACAGCAATTTGCAAAACTTTGGCTCTCGGTTTTTATGAGAAATGGCAATTCCCAAATTGTATCGGTAGTGTTGATGGGAAACACGTTACTATCAAGTGCTCGGATAATAGTGGGTCTAGACATTTTTGTTACTTTAAAAAATGTTCAGTAGTGTTGATGACGATTAAGATTTGGAGTATAAATTTATTTGTATTGATATTGAAGGTTACGGACGATATTCTGATGGTAAGGTTAGAAGAGTCTGCATTCGGTAAACGTCTGGAAGCCTTTAAACGTTCCAAAAAGTACACCATTACCAGGTGAAATGGAAAATACGACAATGGTCCTCGTCGGAGATGATGATTTTGTTTTGAAAAGTTATTTATTGAAACCTTTTAAACGTTGATAATCAGGAAATTATATTAGACTTGATACATATAATTATAGACTGTGTAGAGCAAGGCGCGTTGTTGAGAATGCATTTGGTATCTTAACAAAAAAATGGCCAGTTAATAAAAGTGCAATTTAACTAAAAGAACAAACTAAAAAACTAATAATATTAACAACATGTATTTTATATAATTACTTACGCATAAAAATTTGTGATATTAATATCACAGAGGATTTAAACGAAGAAGAAATAACTCAAAGAGCTTTATATGAATTTGAAAATAATAACCGAAGAGGAACAAATGAATCCATACAAATTCGTTGAAAATTAGTAAATTTTTTAATTCGTAAATTTAGGACCGCAGTTGTGCACTGAACTTCTATATTATTATTATCATACACTGTTGCAGATGTATTATGCAGTCGTACACTTACCCTTCTTATGAAGTTATGTACTTACGAGTATATACTCGTATGCCTACTTATTTTCGATATTTTTTAAAATTATTAGTAAGTTCATACTTTAACTTTATTTAGTGTAAAATATCAAAAGTGATTCTTTCTGTTTATGCTTTACTGGCTGACAAAAGAGAATAAACTCACAAACAATTTTTTCATGCAGTTACATCGATTAATCCGAATGTTAACCCAAATACTGTCATGATCAATTATAAAAAAGCAGCAATGGATGCAGTGAAATGTGAATTTCTGAATGTGGTTATTTATGGTTGTTTTTTCACTTATCTCAGTGTGTATGGCGACATGTCCAAGAAATTGGTTTATCAAAAAAATATAAAGAAAGACTCAAAATTCACTCTGCATGTCCGCATGTTACTAGCTTTAGCTTTCTTACCTCAAGAAGACGTATTAAATCATTTGAAACTGTGATTGAGACAAATTATTTTTCAACCATTGAGGAGCTTTTAACACCACTTATTGATTATTTTTAATAATAATAATAAATTTATATCGTAGAGAACCAAAATTTAGTATTCCAATTAACTGTTTTTCTCTTGTGGAAACAGATTTGCCTCAAATAATTCAATGGAGGCCTGGCATAACTGCTTTTCGCCAATGTTGAATTCATCGATTCATCCATCTAATTTATTACTGCACTACAAAAAGAAGAACGTGTCAATCGATTGAAAGTTGAACAATTAGTTGCAGGAAATCAACCAGCCGCATATAAAAAAAAAAACAATGATCGATCAAAAAAACTTATAAATATATGCAGTGTTTATAATACTAGAAGTATAGAAGATTATTTACGATGGGTTGCACATAATTTTCAACTGCAAGTTTGATTTTATTATTAGGTAGGTACTATTATATTATATTTTTAATTAAAGACAACTTTGTTTAAGTTTATTTGTGAAAAATCAAAATTTTATTCGTTGTTTTTATCAGGTATAGCTACTATTTTTTAAATTATTGAAAACCTATTATTCCTATTATTTTAATTATTGACAACTTTGTTAGTTTATTAGTGGAAAATCAGAATTAAAAACATTACAAATCACGACACTACCAAACGTATACTATCAATTGTCGAGCGATCTATTGTCCACTATCAATTGTCATGGATCCATGGATTTCATTTAATGTTATTTGATATATTTGAGATACAAGTTAAGTTATACAAAACAAAATTGATCAATATTTTTAATTTAGATCAATAATATTTTACATACAATAATATGTACACTATGTCTATATACATTTCGAAGATGAAATTCGTTTACAAAATGTTCATAATCTCGTAATTTGAATAAAATTAGCAGTCTAGACTTTCAATACTTAATTGTGCATAAATAGTACACAATTTATAGCATTGTTGTTATTCGTAAAATAAAGTAAATATTACGATTTAAAAATTGAACCTTAACTTGATTTTAAACAATAAATCTTAATACAATATATAAACAAATTAATAATTTATAGAATACTAGCTCTCCGAGCATCATTCGGGGAAACCCCCCGTCTCCCCGCTATTCGCCGAAAGGGGATACTGATTTTGGAGACACAGTCGTTGAAATTTAAAAGTCTCATCCGTAGGTCGGCCAAACCTCTAAAGTCGGAGGATGTGATAAGTATTTTTGAAAAATCCTGGCGCTTTCGCGGTATCGCTTTAAAGGAGGGAACATTTAAAATTCAAATTTATGGTCGAGAAATGTGCGATTCAACTGGCTTGAGAGTTGATACTGCCCAGTCTTGTGCTTTTATAAATGTCGAAGCGAAAAAAGTGAATCTGAAAGTCGTATTTGAGTGTCTAGCAAGTGAGTCACAGTCACATCAAGTGAAAATCGATTAAGGTTCATTCTAGTCAATAAAGCCGCGTACACAATTATAGCATTTGCGCCTAACGTAACGCCGTATCATAATTGAGTTCTGTGTTACATGTTACGTAATTATTATTTGTGAGTAGGTTTTTGTGATGTTGTGATGCTGCTTTCTTGCGCAGTGTCCCGCCAGGCTTGGTGGTGTACCTTCACTTTACTGTGGTTCTTTGCAGTAGTAGTACGTTCTTCTAGTTTTAATTTTAATTTTTGAACAATAAATAATTTGCAAATTAGTGCTGCAGCATATATATATGTATTCATTTATCACTAAACAAAAACAACTAAAACAAAGAAGATGGTGGCAGACACAATTGTAGTTACGAAGAAACGAGGATCCTGAAAATAACTGTTAACTGATTTAAAATTTCGAGAAATTAGTTTAAAGTATAAACACTTTACGAAAATGCACTTACTTATTTTGAGTATTGATAAATATGATTGGTCCAAAAATTGCTAAACAGGATACTTTTTATGAGAAAATCAATAAGTATTCAAGAAAGGGCGGCATTAACATTACGCTTTTTAGTAACAGGTGATCCTTACTCTAGTTTGCAATATTTTTTTAAAACATCAAAAACAAACCAGAAGCCAAATAGTACCAGAAGTTTGTGAAGCTCTTGAGTAAGAGGTTTGGTGCCGAGGTCTCCGCAAACGTCTTCCAGAGGATGGTGGAGATGGAAGTCCGTGAACACAACGCTGTAACGTCTTCAAACGTGGCAGGTCCGGTTAGGTCCTAACCTAACCTAACCTAACCAGGTCCGCATCTGTTTTTTCCTCCTTCCTCCGGTATACTTATTTCTTTCCCTTCTATAGACTTCCTCTAATGCGGCTGTCCTTTCCTCGCATCTCTCGGCCCGTGACCTGCGAATTTTCCGTCTTATCCGCCTAATGAGCCGCCTCTGCGTATCGAGTCTCTCCGTGAACCACGAAGGAGCCCCAAACGCCCGCGCCCTCACGTACGGCATCGACTTCTTACACGCGCCACTAATTGCCGAGGTTAGGTTATCCGCTCTGGAATCGATATCTCCCTCCAGCCAGCTAGATTGACCGTCAAACAGTCTCTCTGCCAGCCTTTGACGAAATATGTCCCAGTCGGCTTTCTGGACATTGAACCTTTTACTCGTACTAGTCGTCGTCTCTTCCTCATCCCAATCATAGTCGAATAATATTAGCCGATGATCACTGGATATTGCGTCCTTGACCACCCTCTAACCTGATACTTTCACCGCGGCTTTTACCGACGCAAGCGTCAGATCAAGTATCGCGGATCCCATACTAGTATAGAAGGTAGGTGTTGAACCAACATTACAGCAGATCATGTCCCCGGCCATTATCATGTCGCCTACCGTTTCACTTTTCACGTCCGTATGTGTGTCATTCCATAGGGTAGACCTGGCGTTGACGTCACCCCCTATGATCCAGTCCGCACCGCCCAACTCACGGATCACTTTCTCCAGCCTTTCGACATGGAGTTCAGTTCTCTCAGAGAATTGGAAGTACGTGCTGCCCACATGGAGGCTCCGGTTCCCGCTTTGGATTTCCACTATTACCGTGTAAGTCCCGCTAAACTGCGCGATAAGTGTCGCCCCCAATAAAGGGTTCACCACCAACACTGCAGCCGCTGGTTTCTCTCCCGGTAAGTTGCCCGTTATGAGTCTTAGCGGAGGTTTGCCGAGACTAGCAAACGTTCCACTCTTCGTCACGTGGGGCTCCTGGATTAACACAACATCCAGACCTCTCTCCCTAACCTCGGACAGCAGATCATCTGTTGCCAGTTTCCCCCGTCACCTGTCCTACTCTCACACAGCCCATCTAAATTTCCGGGCTTCCCGCCGGAAATTTACCTCCCACGTTCGACACTTCGTGGTGTCTCCGAAGGCGTGGTCCCACGCCCAGCCACTGGAGGCGCAACAAGCACACCTCTGTTCTGCCGGACGCGCGGCACACTGCACAGCGTGATGGGGGTAGGACTGCGCGATTATTATTTTTCTGACAATAATCGAATATTAATAAAATGTTCGATTATAACCGATTAATCGAATAATCTGAGAGTATTACGATTATTAATCGAGATGAGGAATATTCGAATAGTAATTGACTATTCGAATTACCGATTAATCGATTAACCGAATAATCGTTGTATTATTTGCAATCGAATAACCATATTGATACTACACAATATATTTAGTGTTCTAATAATAGTAATATGAGTAATCAAATATATAGTCTGGTTTAAACGCTTTATTCATTAAAAACATAAAATAAACTAGTGGTACAAAAATTAACTGCCGTTTACCTTAAGGGTCAGTCTTAAACTTAAAGATATATACAAATAAAATAATATTTAAAACGCTGGTTTAGCTATATAGTCCTTATTCATCGTTAAAAAAATTAGCTGGCTGGCATGTTCGTTAGTTAACGATGATCTATGATCAGTTAATACACAGCCCCCTTTACTAAAAATACGTTCAGACGCAACGCTTGTAGCTTGAACGGTCATAACTTTTTTTGCTGAAATGAACATAATAGGGTAAGTTGTTTTGTTTATGTTCCACCAATCTAGTGTATCTTGTTCAACACCGATTTTTGGATTGTTAATGTATAAGTCCAATTCATTTTTTATTTTTTGGCTTAATGGAACTTCCTATAATGATACAATTAAAAAGTATTAATAATAAATTAAAGTAATTTATAGGTATTCACATTCTTACTTGAAAATTATCCATACTATTATTTTCAGGGGTACCAAAAATTACTGACAATCCGGTTTTTGTTTTTTTTTGCGATGCCAGTTGATTAGCAGTATTGTTGACGTAACTATTACTTTCGATACTCTCGTATGTTGTTTCACAAAATTCTCCGATGGTTTTCTTTAAAACAGATAATTCATCATACATAATATACTCGATTTTAAACCTAGGATCTAATACGGCACATATAATTAACAATGTGTTATTTTGATAACATTGATCTAGAATCCCAATAATAGTCGTGTACATGTGTTTAATTTGTTTTCCATTGATGTCCGTATCTCCACTTTCATTTTGTTCTGTTATTTTAGATAATTTTGATTTTAGCTTTGATTTTAACTGGTAGTATAGCAGAACCTGTGACATATGAATCGTCAGCTAAATTATCAGTTATTTCCCGGATTGGCTGTATAATACAACTTAGGTTTTTTAACATGATTATATCTGATTCTTGGAGAGATAAATTTCTATATACACCATTTTGATACGTCCGTAAAAACCTTGTGAGTCCAAGTTCTTGCTCAATAATAACCTTAATTAATTCCAACATCGACCACCAACGCGTTTTTGAGTAAGATGGAAATTTTTTTTTTGGTAAGCTAAATTTCTCTTGGACTATTCTTATTTCTCGAACAGCCTTCCAACTATGAGCAAATATATTGTGAATTGATTTGATTTTATGGATTACATCTTTTATCTCGTCCATATTAAAAATACGTGAAACTGCTGTGTTAAGAGCATGACCAAAACAAGCAACATGTGGTATATTTAAATTGCGTATAGCCTTTAGCATATTAGATCCATAATCAGTCACTACTGAACATATTTTCCAATCTGGTACCTCATAATCTAAAAACAACATTTGAACTACATCAGCTATATTCTCACCAGTATGGTCTTCTGAAAGTTCAATGCAACCTAAACAGGCTGAATTTAATTTAAAATTAGCATTGATGAAATGGCACGTGAGACTAATAAACGGTTGGTTTGAACTTAAAGTCCAGCAGTCTGTAGTGAAAGTAAAAAAATTGGCATTCTTAATTATATTTCCTATAATGTTACGTGTTTCACTGTACATAGACGGAATTCGCGATTCCTTTAGAGTTTTTCGGCCTGGTAGTTTGAAGCTAGGATTTAACGCATTTACAAATAGTTTGAATCCCTCCTTTTCCACTAAACTGTATGGCATCATATTTGTTGCAATGAAATAGGCAAGGGCATTATCAATTTTTATTTTTGCACTTTTATTCAGAGTAAATTGTGTCATTTTCATTTGCCTAGTACTAGTTGAAGTTGTCTTGTGAATCGTGGCAATTGAGGAGGTGTCAGTCTCAGTAGCAGTATGAGGCAGAGAAATACTTGAATCTGATTGACCTAGTTCTGGTAAATAATTTGAAGTAGAAGGTTGTGAGAGTAACGAATTTGTTTCCTCAATTTCAGACCTAATAAAAATATAATGAAATAGGTAAATGGATATTTAGACATTTTTATCTTTAATTTAAATTAACAAAATAAAATTTCTGAGCAAAGGGATCAATATTGATAATAATAAAAAAAAAATTAAATATTTATATAAATATTTTTTCATAAGAAAATCAGTCCTTCAAATTTTGATAATATTTTAGTAAACTAATGTATAAACGTTAATTGTATTTTTTTTTTAAACGTGATGACAAAAAATATGCATATGATACCTATAATACCATTTATCTTTCAAAATAGATAAAGACAGCGGGATTTTTAGAAATTATTTAAAGTTACAATGCATGTATAATGTATATAAGTACTCAATTATTTTTGTATATTCTTATCCAGTTTGAATAATAAACATAATATTTATTTTTATTTTCAATGATATAAATATTATTATTAATTGTAGATAATTACCTATAAATTATAATATATTTATAACAAATACCTACATAAACATTATAACAAGTAAAATGAATATTATTAATTGTAATTTTTTTTGAATCATAGTAGGTATAAAAAGTAATATTACCTATATAGGTATATTTTATTTTTAAGCTATTATTATATATTTTTATTATTGTAAAATATGAATGTATCAATTTTACATTTTGTTATTAGGCCATCTATTTTTATTTTTAATAATTGCATTTAAATAACTTCGAAACTAATCGTTCCAATTTTGATTTAGATATCTCGATATTTTCAAAAATATCATCTGCTTAACACTATATAAAAGTAGGCTGATTCTCATATGAATGAAAAAAATTTGCAATAATACAATTCACAACAGTAAACTTCTTACATGATTTAAAAATTGAAATATGGTTCTTTAATATAATAATTTATTAAACATTTTAAAAATAACAATTTACATAAATTCATTATTCGTAAAAAAATTATTGTGAGCATACTATACGAATCACCCAATATTATATGGTGTTTAGTGGTATTGTTATTACATATTTTAATGTAAGTCAGATTTTCATTAATTAATTTATATATTATGTGTTTGTTTTTAAGTTTAAAAATGTAAACGTTTTTGTGTAATATATATGTCGATTTTCGTTTCCTCTTTAAATAATAGCGATGGAAAAATATTAAATATAGTTTTGAAACTAATAATTTGGTTTTTAAATAACATGATTTTTGTGAAAAAAATGTATTATTATTTATTTTAATGTTTTGGATGGATTATTTATGGTAGCAATTAATATAGATAATATAGATAATAAATACCTAGTTATAGAATCAAATAACGTATTTTAATAAATTTTTAAATAATAAAATAGCAAAATATTATATTCTCATGTTAAAAGTACCTAGGTACTTTCGTAATTATCTTTTAGTCTAACAGTTGTTATTATTTTTAATATTCCAATGATGTTCTAACAAATACTATCAGACATTCTGTAAATTTGGTATCATTATTATTTATAATAGTTTTACGATTCCAACAATTTTTTAGAATTAATAGCACAGAATAATATCTAAGCATAATATTATACCATTTCACTAATCAACTAGGTACTGATGTTCAAATACTTCAAAACATATGCACTATTATATTCAACATATAAACAAAACATTTCAAACTGGTGTATTCAGCTTACGTCCATTATATCAATATTAAATTATTGATAATATTCCGATCATACAATTTTGCACCACATACATTAGTACCCCGCTTTCCCCTATAATACATGTACTTCTTCAGCCTTATAAAATAGGTACTTGCAGCAATGTTATAGGCTCGTAGCAATTTTATATAATAATAACTTTTTTAATATTTGATATATACATTATACATATAATAGACAGTATTTGCATTACTGCAGGATACAGCAGTGCAGTACACATTATAAAATAAATAAAATCCTTAAGCTTAGGGTGTTTAGGCATTCAGCTAATATTAACATTATTACTCACGTTGTAAGTTGAAACTTAATATTATTTTAATGCAACAAAAATTAGTATTGCTTAACCTTTAAATACAATTATTAAAAAGAAGTTCATACATTTCAAAAATGATATCGACATGGCACTAATTTCGGTAAAATTTAAAACTCTCTCAACAGTCGTGAACACGTGAAAAATAAGTACAATTTGTATGTACTTTAAATCACACTTATATTGAACTAATATTTTACTATCTCGAATCATGGACTATATTAGAGCTTATAAGTTTTTACTTACCCATCTTCGTCAATGGAAACATTGGAAACGTCTTGATCAAACGCACTTCCCAATAATTCCATTCGAATTCGATCAAGTTCAATATATTTTGTCTTGTGTTTTAATTTTAAATGATTCCACATGTTAGTTGTGCTTGATCCTGGATTTGCATATTTCTTTTTGCATATTAAGCATATTACTTTAAGTCCTGTATCGTCTTTGCTAAAAACTTGCCATACCTCACTCATATTTAATACTTTTTAGTTGGTAACTTGGTAGGTAGTAACTAATAATGAATAATGATTACTTATGAAATAAATAATTAATATTTAATTATACGAATTGTATATAAATAAATTTTTATATATAGATATAAGTAGTAAATTTTAAATAGTAGGTATAAGTTAGTATATAAAAGTACTTACTTTCGTTGTTCTGTATATATTAGTAGGTATTATTATTAAATTCCGCGTGTGCTGAATGCTGATAGAGAATGGAGATGAATTAGCTATCAAATAGTGTTTAACGTCCGACGATTGTGCAAACAATAAGTCAATAAAAAATATTACAAGTAAACGATAAAATATAAATCGCCATTAATAAATCATCATCAGTTTATTTATAAAATCTCATTGTTACATTGCCCATTTCCCATTGGTAGACCCACTAGACCCTCGGAAACATGCAAGATTTTCTTATCTAGAATCTATTTATACTCGGCAGTCGAATAAAAATAATATTTATTGTGTCTATTTTTGACACAATAAAAACTAAAAACTTGGTTATTCGATTATTCGATTATTCGAATAACCGAATATTAATCGAATAATCGATAAATCGGTTATTCGATTATTTATTATTCTTTAAAAATAATCGATTAATCGAATAATCGATTAAAATATTCGATTAATTAAAAAAATCACACAGCCCTAGATGGGGGCCCGAGCAGCGCCCGCAAACCACCGACGGCGCCTTGCAGAGCGATCCAACATGTCCGTAACGTTGACACCTGTGGCATCTCCGCACATCTATGCTGGGGCTCACCCGACACCGCAACAGCCCAACGAACACTACCGTGCCCACAAGCGCGCCAGCGACCTCCGGAGTAACCTCGAACTCGACGTCACGTCCCCTTCTCGTTATCCTCGCTCTCCGCGGAATAAGGGAAACGCCCCGGTTCCACCCCGCCGGCAGATTCACAGAATCTTCATTCTGCTCCTCCATCAACGCGGCGACCCCGTTATCGTCGACCTCGATCCCGACCCCGTGTATTTTTATACGAGGATTTCTCACCTGCTGGACGTAAGTCCAACGAAGTTTTTTGGAGAAGTTTCCTCGTCTCCTCATTCTCCGGCTCTATATACAATTTGTCCCGTCCTACCTTCTTTATTCGCTTAAATTTCGGCGAGCATTTCTTTTTCTTTTTCGGAGTTTCCTCCACAGAGTTTCCAACAAAAACGAAAGGAGACTCTCCCGTCTTCCTCTCTACCAACTGTCCTGTCTGTCTTTTACCATTTCCTTCCTTATCTGCATTTCCATATAGTTCCCACGAGATGGGGACGATCTATTTAGTCCATTATGTCACTGCGCCCCTCTGACATAATAAGGAATTCATACCCCCGCCCTTCCCAGGGGGGGGATCCCTATAGACACGGTATTTTTACCTCCTTCGTGCCAACCTATTCTCATAGCTAAGTACCTGAGCTTAGGAGGTGTCTGGAACATCCAATTAAGGATGCTCCTCGCCCTTGTGCGTCCGCAAGGCAGATCCGATGTAGGACCCCTCGGTTGTCCGTCATATTAAATGACGGGCCGAGCGCGTCTGATCCAGCTAACCAAAGCCAGATCCGCTTGCTACCCCTACTAATAGTTAAATTAACAGGGGTAGCCCCCCCTAGAGACTTTTGAGACCCTAGGCGGTTCTCTGACTTTCCGTTACACGATCAAGTCACCCGAGGATCATTTAAGTTCCCTGGTGTTTTTCTCTGAAGAGGTTATCTGAGTTGCAAGTTTCCTCCTCGAGTCGGGGGCAGTGTCAGCTGCCGGACCGAACCTGGTTCAGCTGATAAAGGCCACTTCCAGTTCATGAGTTTCGGAGAGCAGGCTCCCCATTACTCCCCAAGGTCCACAAATTAATGTGAACCCCGTCTAGCGCCCTTAAGGCCCGTCTATCCTACTTGATAGCCGTTTTTCAGAGTCCAGGTTTTAAATTCCAGACTCCGCCTCGTCATCGAAATTTCAATGCGATTTAATCCATCGGTGGGGCCCTATTTATTATAGGAGATGGGTTTCTTGGGTCGGCACTGAGTTCGGTTTCAATTCCGACCTCTCCGACCCCGGAACCGAGCGCAACGAATGACAAGGCACAGCGAGACCAAGGGTCAGTCGTGTCTGAAACCAGGGTGCGTGACCCCTCGATGCACCACCGCTACTCACCGAGAGCATCGGACCGAGGTCCAATTATTCCAAGTGAGCGCGTAGTGGTACAGCAAAAAGGCCTAAAGAGAAAGACCCGACGAAACCGCCAGGAGCGATTCCGCCGGGTCAGTCCCCTCTGCGCAGAGTATAAACCGCACATCCCCCACCACGCCGGAAGCGGCGACGGATGCGTACCGACACAGCCCTAACGTCTGCGTTCCGAAGTCAGCACCGCGCGCTGGAGCCGCCCACAGCAGCTCAGACGCGCGGATTCGGTTTATCTTCGAGTATTTGCTATAATCGTTCTGAGTTATCTCCTACTCGGCGGGGCGACCGGTCGGCTGACACCGGGCCGAGCGCCCCGCCGTAATCGAGACAAGCATATAATAAATTTATAGTTTACCGTCAGAAGCCACCTGCTTCGGACGCATCGCCCAAACCGCGTACGCAGCGAAAGCTACACGATCCTAAGACGCCGCCCGTCATCGACCCCGCCACTAACCGCTAGCACGACACACCAACCGCCCGAACCTTGCAATGTTCGGACGGCAGCGCGAACGCACCATCGACCCGCATCGTACCCGCGGCGTTACCACGGGGCCAAGACGGGCCACGACCGACGCGACTGTCGTCGGACCGAACCCCGGAGAACCCGGAGCACGGACCGAGACAGCCGCGTCTCGGATCTTATCTATCGATAATCTGGCGGATGTTCTGGGAGGACCCTGAATAATCCGAAGTCTATAGCGGACACGGTACCTAAACCGTCACGCTGGCGACCCGGTCTGTAGCGGACACGGAACCTAACCGTCACGCTGGCGATCCCCGGCTGTGGTTTCGCTAGATATTAAAGACCGTTTCTTGTCTAAGTTTTATATACGAGAACCATTACTAAGCTGTGGATGTCTTCATAAATGTCATTAACTAATCGAACCCCCTAATACTAATTGTAGAGCTTCTCTCATATTTTCTTCACCGAAAGTCCTTAAGGTAACCCCATCTTTGTAATCCTAACAAGTAACAATGACTGTTGACTGTAAAAGATTGAAAATATAGTGTCTAGTCACATATTTCATCAAACATTGACAAATTCATGTACGTATATAATTCGTACTTAATTGAACTATTAGATACATTAGCATACATACACGTTTATTATAAAATACAAAATTTACTATAATGTTTGTGAGAACATAATTTGGGTGATCACTGTCTGACCGAACCCCTTCACACAGTGCCCTTAAAGGCTAACGTACAATATAAATTTAAATCATCAAATACACATAAATTTAAGTAGTAAAATATAGTTAAATACTTTAAACGAAGTTATATACTTATGTGACTTTTATAATAATGTTGAATTCACTTACCTATGTTCAAACAAAAATGTAAAAAAAAATTCAAGATCATCATTGTGATGACAGACACGTAAGGTGTGCCTCATTCTTTGTTGTAATTTAACTACTTTCCAACCTTCTCACCTTCTTGGACGCTTTCTACCACGTTGTTTTTTTCGCAACTTCACCTGCACCTGTTATTCTGCTCCGAGCCTGCTGTTCGAGTGCTCATCGCCTTCAAACCCAAATTCAACCCACTCACATAACCTTCAAACATTCCAAAGTTGCTCATGACTATACGATATTCTCTCAACTGCGTGCCAAATGTAAACGTCAGTCAAAACTTGATTATTCACTTTTCATAAAAAAAAACCCCGAAAATGCCATCTCGACCAATCCTTCCCACTTCTGGAAATTTACTCAAGATTTAAAATCTAACCCTCCAATCCCATCCACTGTTCATCTCCATGACGAATCAGCCTCTTCCCCCGTTGATTCAGCAAATCTATTCTCTTAATATTTCCTATCTGTTTTCAAGTATCCTCTCCCCTCCCTATCTAGTACCCATTTAGATAATTTATACCCATATAATCTACCATCAAACTGCCACTTAAGTCTTGATGACGTTCTTTCTGCACTTGTATCACTAAAAAATAATAATTCTAACGGTCCAGACGGCATCTCTTGTTAACTAAAGACCTTAAGTTTACAATTGATGGTGTACAAAGAACAGACAAGTGGGAGCACATTGTACAGTTGTACAATACGGACAGTGCTATTCCTGATTCAAAAATGCTTCCTCGTTTGTCAGATAAACATGTTATTCCTAAAAATATATCTAAAATGAAGGTGAAATGTGCCACACAGATATTCAGTCATCGTGTGTCAGCAGCTATGAATTTTCTTGCTGGTGAGTAATATTTATTACAATTAAATAATAACTATTGTGTACATTTATGGTATTTTTGTTTACAGCTCAAAATATTATTGATTCTGATGCTATTGATAGGTACTGCAACACTTCTATTATTTGTTGATAAGTTGTTTGATTCAATGAACGGTTTTTTTGAGAAAGTAGTTGACGGCAAAATTTATAGAACTGCAGTTAAGACAAATTCTGTTCACCATCAACTATGGGAAAAAGTCTAGCAATTTTATCTACAACGAAGTTTGTGGGAAAAATATGAAAACTGTTAAGTGTTCCAACATTAAGAAACTGGATGACCACTATTAGAGGTAATTAATTAGTACAGTTAGTCAGCAATCTACTAATAATAATTTTTTAAAGGATTCCAATATCTATCAAAAGTGCTAAATGTAAAAGGATTGAAGTCATTGTTGCCCAGAAACTTAAATCAAGATCCGCTGGAAAATTTTTTTGGAGCAGTCAGAAGTCTTGGTTGTACTAATCCCACTTGTGCATCATTCATTCAATCCTATAAAACTTTAATGCTCAACAATTTGGTATCAACTCATTCACCTGGAGCTAACTGTGAGGAAGATCTTACTGAGGGTACTTTGACAAATTATAAAAATTTATTTTGTTCTCAACATGACATAAATTATACCCAACAAACTTTAACGGCTGATTTACCCAGACCTTCTCTACCAATTCTCAGTGATAATACTGAATATTTAAGGCAATTGACACATACCTATATATCGGGCTTCATAATAAAAAAATTAAATGCTGATGTCTTAAAAGATTGTAAAAAATGTTTAAAAATAATGTGTACTGATCAATTATCAACAGAACATCAGCTAATATCAGTTAGAGAATACCAGCCTACTAAACTTAGTTTAAAATATCCTTCTACTTCATTTCGGTCCTTAATTAATAATATTATTACTTACATAAATAATGTATTACCTTCAATATGTCACCATCAACAAATTAAATTTACTCTATTAAATAATCTTTCAGCAAAATTTGATTTAAGCAATTTATATTGTTCTGACCATACCAATTACTAGGGCTGACCATACCGTTCCCATTGCTTCCGAGGCACCGCCATCATTTATTGACAGTATCAAATATTAATACATATGTGGGAGGCAGACGGGACAGCTCCCCGACTTACCTCGTTCAAGCATTTTCAAAGTTTTGCATATATATAGTATTTATGTATATAAATTGTAAATTTGTGTTAATACAAAAATGACTAGAAACTCCAATACACCGATACTAGTAGTTAAAATAGTAAATTGGGTTAAACTATATTTTGTATATTATTATTAATGTTTCTTGAACAATATTGAAAATATGTGATAAACTATTTTATTTAATATTTTTACATTTAATTAAGCTTGAATTATTATATTTATAATTTATTATATTATAATACTGTGTACTTAATGCTATTTACTTATATTGTGTGAATACAGTAGAACTCCAATTATCCGAATGTCCAATTAACCGGACGAGAAAAATACGGCACTTGCCGTTATTCATACACGTGTTTCATAATCGTTTTTAGATTAGATAAAGAATAGGTACTACATATATATTATTCTTAATAATATCCGTCATTCCAACGTAGGTATATTAAAAATTATCCATAATAAAATACATATACATATAACATTTTACAATATTACCACACATACATAGATATTATTCTTAGTAAGTCAGTTATTGTATAATCGTCGCACGGTATAGTACAATAGTACATAAATAGTGAATTGTCGTGTTACAATGTCGTCAAACAGAAAACGTGTAGTGCTTACTATGAAAGAAAAAGTAGATATCATTGCGCGAAAAGCATGGTGTTGGAACATCCATTATTTCAGACATAAAAAAAAATGCGGACTCTATCACCAGGTACGTGAATAATCTCGATGATGCGAACGGTTCTTATACATGGTTTTTGTACAATAAGTAGGTTTGGTGAGTGACAAGTAAACAAATTAATATGGGTAATTAGATTAGGGAAGATACCCAGTTGTAACACCCTATGTGTCATGAATAACAATGAAAAGAGAGAGAGAAGAGAGAAAAAAAATATATATATATGTATATAATATCAGATAATAAATAAGTAATTAATTTGAGGTTTGGAGGTGTTATCTGGTAGCGACCTCCAGCACTTATTAAAGAAGATGTCTACACCATTGCCTTTTTAGTCTACGGCGCGGGTTACCAGGGAGTGTGTTAGGTGATAATTTAGAGATTAGTGGATTTGTGTGCTGTTGAAATTTGTTGAGGAGTCTGGTGTAATATAGTTTGGAGATTTGGTTAAGATTTTGGATTCTGAGATCTTTGTGGAGGTTATTGTTGGTTAAGTACCAAGGTGCTGATGCAACTAGGCGAAGGCATATTGACTGAAAGGCTTGGATTGTACGGGTGTTTGAGGGTTTAGCGGCACCCCATAATTGGATGCCATAAGTCCATAGTGGCCTGAGTAGTGACTTATAAATTAAAAGTTTGGTGTTGATGTTCGTTTTGGATTTCAGTAAGGGTCTAAGGAGGTGGAGTCGGGTATTAAGGGCTTTTCGTTTGGCTTTTAGGTGGGGATTCCAGGTAAGTTTACTGTCGAGGATGAGGCCAAGATATTTTACTTCAGATTAGGAAGGGATTGGGATGCTGTTTAATGTGACTACGGGGCAAGATCCTTTTTTTAGGGTGAATGTTATGAAGGAGGACTTGGTTTCCTTGATTTTGATCTTCCATCTTTTTGTCCAGAGGTCAATTATGTTAAGGTGTCTTTGTAACATATTAGAAACTGTGTTTGGGTTTTCATTGGAGGCCACAATTGCCGTATCGTCCGCGTAGGAACCGAGTTCAGTAAAGGAAGTTTTAGGGATGTCGTGCGTAAAGATATTATACAGAAAAGGAGCAATATCGCTGCCTTGGGGAACTCCGGCTAAGATATTGAAATAGTTTGAGCGGCTCGAGTTCTGGCGTACGACGAATGTACGATCGCTCAAATATGATTTAACCAATAGAAAGTAAGGCGCAGGCAGAATTTTTTTAAGTTTGAATAGTAGGCCATCAAACCATACCCTATCAAACGCTTGTGCGACGCAAGAAAGACGGCAGCACAGTAATGTTTTTTCTCTAGAGAAACTGAGATAGTGTCTACTACTCTGTGGAGTTGATGAATAGTAGAGTGATTGGGTCTGAATCCAAATTGAGTGTCAGGGATATTTTTTGTTGAAATAGCTAGTGGTATGAGTCTCTTCGTGCATGTAGGTATCATATGATACCGCAACTAATTTAAACCGCTTATAAAGCAGCTGTTAAATATTTTTGATCCATTTGTGCATAAAGATATCATATGATACACTTGATAACAACCGTCTCATAATATTCGTTCCTATGTTCATACTATATGAGAATTTTTAGTCACATGTGTGATAACCTCCTGTATTGATAATACGCAAAATATACCGACAAAACTGTTGTTATATCTCATCGTTAAAATATTTTAGCTACATCAAAAAATATTTTTTAGGTTTGTTTTTGTATAAGGTACACGTAAAAGTACATGTAAGAGTCAATTTTGATCGTTGACATCTATTATTGTGAGGTAATATACTCGGTATCATTTGATACAACTGTGCTTAATTGGTACCTACAACTATACTAACAAAAAATATTACCTAGGTAATATAACATTTGTTTTTATTTTAGTAATAATAAATGGAGAAGTTGAAAGACGATGAAATTGAGTTGTTCTTGGACTTTGAAATACCAAGTGACTCAGAAGTCAGCTTTTGTGATAGTGAAGACGATGATAGTGATGCTGAGAATAATAAAAACAAAAATGATGACCAGGAAGATAATATTGAAAAATTAAATTTATTGCCTTCTTTATTTATTAACTTCTTAGGGGATATGGACAATAATATAAGGTTTGAAAATAATAATCCTTCTAATGAGCCTGATGGCTTTGTAATAATCGACAAAATGATGTACATGATTTTGATAGTTTTTTTGATAACATAATACTCCAAACACAAACAGATAGTAATGTTAGCAAACAAACTATACCAAAATCTGATGTTGCTACTCAAAACAATTTAGTCTCACCCACACAAACATCTAACCAAATTCTAAATCCTATAGCCACTCAGTCACTAACAAATAAAAAAAGAAAAACTCCATCAACCGATTCTAAAAGTAAAACTAAGTTTAAAAAATCTACTTTACTAAAAATTAACAATAATAAACATAATTGTTTACCTGTCAAGAAAAAAAATACAAAACAGACAAAATGGTTTCCTGGTAGGGATAATAATCATACAAACTCCATACCTACTTTTACTGGCAATAAATTAATTAATATAAATGTAAAAGAAACTACTCCTTATTCTGTTTTTATACAATTATTCACTGAATCTCTTTTTGAAAAAATAAGAACTGAAACAATAAAATATGCTGTTCAAAATGGAAAAGAAAATTTCAACTTATCTATAAAAGAATTGAAAGTGTTGTTTGCAATCAACATAGCAATGACATATATAAAATACCCAAATGTAAGAATGTATTGGTCTTCTCAAGAGGGGTTGAGAATGAACCTTATTGCTGATGCTATGACTTGTAACCGGTTTGCCGAAATTAAAAGGTTTATTCATTTTGTAGACAATTATGAAAAACCTCAAGTAGTAACTGATAAATTTTGGAAAATTAGACCTGTTTTAGACATTTTACACAATTCTTTTCATTCAGCTATATCAACTAGTCAAAATATAGCCATTGATGAAATGATGGTTCCTTTTAAGGGTAGGAGTTCATTAAAACAATACTTAAAATCAAAGCCTAAAAAATGGGGATTTAAAATTTGGGTTCAAGCCGGAACCAATGGATATGTACATTGTTTTGAGCTATATCAAGGTGCCTCGAAAGACAAAAAATCACTTTTTGGTCCAATAGGTGATACAGTTTTGAAATTGTGTCATTCAATACATGGTGAAAACCATAAACTTTTTATGGATAACTTGTTTACTACTGTTCCACTATTAAGAAAATTAAAGTCTCTAAACATACATGTCCTTGGTACTCTAAGATTGAATAGAGTAACTGGAATTGAAAATTACCTAGTCAAAGATAAATTGTTAGAAAGAGGTAACTGTTCAATAGCCACATCTGATGACAATCTGACTGTTGTACGATGGAAAGATACTAAACTAGTACATACTATATCGACATATGCTGGGGCTAGTCCTGAAGATATAACTTCACGTTATGATAGGAAGGAAAAGAAAAAAATTGAAGTCACTCGTCCATTTACTATACAGGAGTACAATAAATTCATGGGGGGTGTGGACCTCATGGATAGAATGATTGCTCATTACCCTCATGGATTCAAGAACAAAAAATGGTACTTGAGGATTTTTTTTCATTTTTTGAATATTAGTATAATTAACTCATGGATAATATACAAAGAAAATTGTCAAAATATACCACTTCTTCAGTTTAATGCATCAATTGTTTGGACCATGCTCCAAATAGGAAAATGTGATACACCAAAAAGAGGCAGGCCTTCCTTACAATCTGATCCACCAAAAAAAAAAAAAATGTTTCCATTGTTGTTTCAGAAATAAGATATGATTGTAAGGAACATTATCCTGGTAAAACGACAAAAGCTCAAGCTTCTAAGTGTCATAATTTATATTGCAAATCAAGAACTAGATATATTTGTAAAAAATGTGATACTCCAGTTTGTCCAGAGTGCATGGAAGACTTCCATAGAAAATAAAGAATGACCTATAATATTTTTTTTTTTACTTTGTTTTGATATTTGTTGGGTAACATTTAGTATTGTTTTTATGTTTATTTTGTGCAATTTAGTTATTGTTTACTATTTTTCTTATTATATTATCTTCATAAGAAATATTACAAGTTATTATTTTAATTTTATACAGAGTATGAAAGAAGTTTTTCATTTATTTTTATTTTGTTAGTAACATATTTTTTATTTTATGCATATATTAATTGTATTACTATTATTCTTAATCTATTTATAATCACAAGCTGTGAAAGATTTAATTTTTATTTTATACAGGGTATGTTCAAAAGCTGTGAAAATATTGTTTTTATTTCATACAAATTGTTATTATTTTATGTTTGGATTACATTAAATATACAAACATCTTTATAGTTATTCAAGTTGTAGATATCCTAGATATTCCAGGGGGCATGTCCCCCTCCTACCCAATATATTTAACTTAAGTATATAGTTAATGTGTATTTAATAATTTTAATTTGTCAAAATTTAAAATGTATTAATTATAAAAATGCATTTAAAAAAAAAGTTGTTCCAAATATGCACAGAGGTATCATATGATAACGGGGTTGTAATCTATCTTCACGACATAAGGGTTGGTCCTAGATTTTTTTAACTATTTTTCTCATTATTTATGGCCCAAATTCTATATAGGAGATTTTTTTTTTGAAAATCTAAAAAGTCGTGCATGAAGAGGTTAATAGGATTTTTTCGAATACTTTAGATAATGTTGAGAGTAGGCTTATAGGGCGATAAGAGGTTACTTTTTCAGGAGGTTTGTTGGGTTTTGGGATCATTATTATCTCTGAGAATTTCCAGGTAAGGGGGAAATAGGATAAACGCAGCATTGCGTTATATATTTGGGAAAGTAATATGATTACTTTTTTGGGTAGGTTTTTGGCAATCCGATTTGTAATTCGGTCAAACCCAGGGGCTTTTCTGTTATGGAGTTTTTTTATAATGAATTCGATTTCGCCGTGACTCGTGTGTTTGGCTGGTAGTGAGACGGGTAATGTAGACTCTAAGGAATGTGTGACAATTTGGCTTTGAGCGGGATTTAGAGTTATGTCATGTGGGGTAAAGGTTTGGGATAGATGTTGGCCAAATAGGTTTGCTTTTTCTATGTCAGAGACCACCCATGAGTTATTTACGGAGGGGAGAGGAAGTTGAGATAGTTTTTAGGATTTTTTTGGTCGTTTTCCAGAGACAAAGGTTATCAGTTGTTAGGTTTTGGATAAATTGTTGATAGGTAGTGGAGTTATGATGTTGGAGTGCTTTCCTTAGTTTATTATTTAGTTGGTTGTAGGTGTGTTTGTCGATGGGATATTTGTGCCTTTGCTACCAGGATCTTGCTTTTCGTTTTTCACGGAGAAGATGTTTTATATGATTTGGAAGTAGGTTATTGGAGTAAATTGTGCTTTGTGTTGTTGCTAGGTGAATGCATTCCTGGATATCTGAAGTGAGCTTTTGGATAGTGCTGTCAATGTCTTCGCTTGATTTTAAGGAATGGTTGAGTAGTGTGCGAGTTTCAATGAGTTGTTGGAAGGTAGGCCAATCTATTTTTCCAAGATTTTGAGGAGTTGTAGAAGAGTTTGAACAGGGAATTTCGAGGTCGAGTATGATTGGTGAGTGGTCGGATGACAGGTCGTTTGTGTTGGAGATATTAGTAGTATAGTTACTTGGTATTCTCGCGATGAAGATATCCAGTATATCTGGGCGACAGTTTTGATGTGTTGGCCAATAGGTGGGGTTAGAGGGTGGTAATATTTTTATATTGGAGTTATTTGTTGAGTTATAAAGGACTCTGCCTCTAGGGTTGGTTGAGAGGCAACTCCAAGAAGAGTGTTTGGCGTTGATGTCTCCGGCGACAATGAAGTACTTACCTAGAGATTCGAAGTAATTTTTGAAATTGTTAGAGTTAATTTTAGGTCCTGGAGGGCAGTAGATGGAGGAGAAAGACAGATTAAAATGTTTGTTGACAGAAACTTGGACGCTTGATGCTTGGAGATATGTTTCACTTATAAAAGGAAGTAGGGAGTGGGTTAAATTATTTTTAACTAGGATCACCGATCCAGCGTGGGCAGTGGAGTCAGGGTGATTACTTTGATAAACTTTGTATCCAAGAATTTTAATAGACTTTGTCGGGGTTAGGTGAGATTCGGATATCATTGCTATGTCTATGTTATGGATATTGAGGGCTGCCTGAAGTTCAAGTTTATGGGGTGTAATGCGAGTATGTGAGTAATCTAAGTTTAAAGTTAGTTTCCATTGTTGGTACTTAATTTATTTATTAGTGAGGTAAGAAGGGTTATTAGGGGAGAGATTAGAGATTTAAACTCGGATATGAAAGTTGTAAGTTGGTTTGTGAATAGTTGGTCGGAGGGTGGGTCGTTTATGTGCTAATTTGATTTATTACCTTTAACCACTCGAGAGAATGACAAATGCTGGGTGTCGCTGGATTCATTTAGAGATCTTGTGGAAGCATTGATAAAATGTGGTGCTCCTGGAGGAGGTTGGTTGATGGATTGGACTTGGTTGTTGGGTTGGACTAGAGGTGTGTCGGAGTTTTCTGTTGTCGGTCTTGAGATGGTGATCGGTTGTTGTTTTTTACGGAAACGTTGGAGGTCTTTGTGGACAGTGCATCCTCTGTAGTTTGCCGGGTGGGCCTTGCTGCAAAGTGCGCATTTTGCAGGTAGGTCCTTGGATTTGGAGCATTGATCCGAGGTATGGTTTTCGCCACATCGGACGCATTTAGGCTGGTGATTGCAATATGATTTAGTGTGGCCGTACTGTTGACAGCGACTGCATTGGACTACATCTCATCTGATGTGTGGGGCTTCGAATTTGACTTTAGTGAAACATATATTATTTATCTTGAAGATGTCTTGGTTGTTGGGAGATGGGTTTAGGTCTACAAAGAATAGTGGAAGAGGTTCTTTTGATTGAGATTTTAGGATGTTAGTGACGTTTTTTACCATAAAACCATGTTTTTCAATTTCTTCTTTAATGTAATCAGTAGGGATTGTATGATGCAGATTTCTAATAACGACTCTGTAAGATTTGTCTTCGTGTGTCTGGTACGTGTGGTATTCAAGTTTGTTCTCGTTGAACAATGATATAGCGGGACGGTAAGAACTGGCTGAGTGAAGGTTTATCTTTATATTTTTTGAGCTGGACTTGTAAAGGAAACCCTCGGTTTTCGTTATTTTTTCCAGGTTTTTACACAGAGTAATGAAATTAATCGGAGATGTTAAGAAAATTGGTGGAGGAGGAGGTGGTGGTGGAGGTGACTCGTTGATTTCTGTGTTAGTATCCAGATCCATATTATCTTCTTCGATGTTGAGTAGAGAATAGCGGTTTGGCGAGGATAAATTTGACGGCTCGTTTGTTTTTTTTGTGCAAGGTGAGGTAGCGTTATTAGGTGACCTAATGCGTTTGTTGTTGTCGACGGTATTCCATTCTTGGTCGTTATCTGAGGTGGCAGACGGAGAAGTTACGTCCTGCGTCTTGTGAGAAATAGTTTTTGTGATAATTACCGGAGATAATTTCGGTTTGTTTTTAAGTTTAATAGTGTCTGGGTTGTTTCGTTGCATGGTGCAGTAATTGATAAGTTGCAGGTAACGGCCTACAGCCGATTTAACGGCGGTGGTGGCGGATTAGATTGTGTTTATGTTTAAGCGTGTGGTAATATACGATGATAATTATACTGAATAATACGGTTCGATTTAGTGCTCATTAATTTTAATTTTAATGAAGCGATAAGCGAAAGGCGATAGTGTACGTGCACGACGGCCAACAGACGTATGCTACGGACGACTTGCCGTGCGGAACTGAAAACCCTAAAACAGAATTATTAGAAGATGCTGTGTTTACTTGGTTTATGCAAAATAGAGCATCTGGACTGCCTATATCAGGTCTTTTATTGTGTGAAAAAGCATTATATTTTAATAAAAAACTTGGAGGGGATTCATCATTTGTGGCAAGTAGTGGATGGATGAGAAACTTTAAATCACGTCATGGGATTCGACAAATTGAGATTCATGGAGAAAAGTTGAGTGCAAATACCACTGCAGCAGAATCGTTTTCTCATAATGTCCAGAAATACATCAAAGAAAACAAATTTGACATGGATTTCATCTACAATGCAGATGAAACGGGCCTCAACTGGAAAGCTTTAGCATCGAAGTCCTTGGTGTCTCAACGTGAGGCAGCAGCTCCAGGATACAAATTAAGTAAAGACCGAGTAATAGTTATGGTATGCGCAAATGCTACCGGTACTCATAAAATTCCGTTACTTTTGATTGGAAAGTCTAAAAATCCACGTTGCTTTAAAAATGTGAAAATTCCATTGACGTACAAAAGTCAAAAAAATGCATGGATGAACGCCGATTTGTTCATAGAATGGTTTCAACACACATTTGTTCCTGAAGTGAAACAATTTCAGCAAAATATAGGAAAAGAAGGCATAGTTTTACTTTTGTTAGATAACGCTCCATCCCACCCTTCAACAGAAATTTTAAATGCCATAAATGATAAATTTGAAGTAAAATTTTTTCCTCCCAATGTTACTTCTCTGATTCAACCTATGGACCAGAGTGTTATAGAAACATTGAAAAGACTGTACAGAAAAGAATTAATGCGTCGCTTACTATTAGATAACCAAAATGACGAGGAATCATTTTTATCTTTTTATAAAAAAATGAATCTGAAGGATTGCTGCTACATGCTTGTTGGAGCACGGAAATGTGTACAAAATTGTACTTTAGAAAGGTCATGGAATAAGTTACTGAAGCAAGTTGAAGATACCCAAAATGTGGA